TCGCTAGGCTTGCGTAAATCCTGGCGCGTGTCAGCATATGACGTCTAGTACGATTTAGGACTTACCGGTCACCGGCTGCTCGGGACAGTCGTAGTGCAGACTCTGTTCTAGCGAGGTTGGCTCGAATGTGCTCAGTTTCCCATCCCGAGGCCAATGTAATATACATGACCTCATATTTGCTGCGTGCTTGTGTCAACCATCTCTTGTCAACAATATGGGAAAATCACGTACGCTCTGTCACCGATCACAGAGTGCTTGGCCGCAAGTTGCATCGCTAGTTTGCCCATCTGCTGCCCGAATCTGAAGTGTGCCTTGCGTTCCGCTGCGACACCCAGAGCCCACATAAATCCTCCAGGACTACCAGTGGAGATCCCATGTCTGGAAATGATTGATGAACATCAACTTGTGTCGTATTAGGTATAACGCACTTTAAGCTCAGTTCGATATTCTACGTAGGCACAGTTAGCAATGTCAAGGAGAAATAGGAGGAAAACGTGCTTTAAGTCCTACAACATCGGTCAATCCCTGGCCTTGTGCCCAATGCGCGTTAATGCTTGTATCATTGAGGAGTGAGACCATGAGCTCGACTTTTGGGTCGGAACAGTGAGGCAAGGCAAGGATTTGGTCAAATCCAGTCTCGAGAATTTGGGAACGGACACGCTCGTATCTGCCGCACATGTCAACAGCACTGTGGATAAATATGATGATAGTACGCACATAGCGTTTATTTGTTCCTCAGAGACGTGTTCCTAGAGACAGAATGTGAGGATGGCGCAGAACATAGACACGAGTACTAACTTTCAACTCCACACCTAACGCCCGCAGACCATGCAGCGTTTTGGTCAGTCCATCCTGCAAGAAATGAGATCAGTCATAATATAAGAAAATAAAAACGTACGCGAAAGTAGTTTCTCTCTTCCAACAATTCCTCGCTTGTAACCTCGCAACCTCACCTACGTCTTCGGGGGGAGACTGTTTGTTGTAATATCTCATTGAGTAATTGGTCAGAAGACCAGTTATCCCTAGTCCAGGTCATCAACCTACATCATCCTCATTCAGCGGAGTGATCGTCATAAGACGTTTTCACCTACTCTGCAGTCTTGAGCAGAAGTGAGAGGGTCGTTTCCCGATTATCCTCGTTCCACGTTTCCTCCAACAACAACTGCCGCGCACATTGACAATATTCGAGTGCCATTTCATGCGCCCCTTGGAGTGTCGCATGACTACTGACGCGCGCAGGAAGACGTCGAAGAATGCGCTGCGCTTGGGATGGTCAGGGAGCATAGGTATGCTGCGCTTCGCAAAATCGGCCAAGCGGAAATAGTCCGGATTCGCTTGTTGTAACAGCACCAGAGCGATCTTCGGGGAACGGTAAGATCATAGCACACAGTGCGGAAGTAAGGGGATACCTTGAGGTTCATGCTCATGACGACATCTGCCGGCATCTGCTCAGTGAACGCAACCGCCGCTTGGCGGCATCGATCGTCTAAGAAGGCACAGTGAGAGGAAGCCCGAAGACAGTCAGACTACTCACGGCTAAAAGCACAGGTCTCCCTCCCACGATGAACGAGCCAACCTTCCGCGAGCGCCATTTGCAACCCCTGCATCGACCTCTGACTAGACTTGAGTTCATCGGCGTCCGAATCATCAGTCCCGTTCGGAGTCCCGTGATTTCTGTTGGACCGCACGTGCCACACGTTTGGAGCGTGTTTCCCGAAGACAGTACAGGATGGTCAATATTGTACAAAACGTGACGACTCAAACCAGATGCGCGCCAAATATGTTGCCACGTGAAAGAAGGCACCAGTGATCCGGATGCGGATCCGATCGCCGATTAGGAAAGATAACCTTTTGAGCTTAGGGTTCTTTCGATCTGTCTGTTCTCTTCACCGGGGTTTGAATGCGTAATAAGGATACTATGACCACCGGGGTGTACATACTGAGTGCGTCACATTCACCTAGGCAGGGGGACCATAAGATCCTGGCATCAGAACCGTCCGTGACTTGTTTTCGGCACCGGAGATGTTGTCTGTAAAGTCCGATAGACCGAACAGACCCAGATCGACCCTGAAAAGGCTTGGCATCATACATAGGCCAAGTAATTCAAAGGCTATCTTTCCTAATCGGCGATCGGATCCGCATCCGGATCATTCAGTAGTGACTTCTCTTTCACGTGGGTATTTGCGCGTCTGTCTCTTTCGTTGAACGGTCACGTTTTGAACAATGACTACTGGTGTTCTCAGTCTTGGGTAGGCACGCTCTAAACGTGCTGCACGTGCGATTCAACATAAATCACGGGACTCGCCTGACGGTCTGATGGCTGGATCCATCATCCTCCTGGTGAAGTGAATGCAACGTCCCCAACAACAACAGCCCGGAGCCAGAGTTATGCTCGGCACAGATTCAGAAAGCTAGTGATACCCCCCCCCCCCCCCCCTCGGAATGCAGTCGGGATCATGTATCGGCCGATCGGCTGGTGCTACTCCTGAGCAGGTCGCGTACCATATTCATGAGAAGCGTGAATGCTGACTGCTTAGTACGCCCCGACTTGAACACTGAGTCGTTGGATACTGAGTCGCATCAACAGTTCCAAACCATATCAAAGGTGCACCGGAGAAATTGGACATATTTAATTCGGCAAAGCCATAACGTGAGAACCTCCTGATCCAGATCAGCGTGCTAGGACAGAAGGGGATTATGAGCTTCTGTGAGACTGGAACGCGAGGAAAGCACCGATGCTCGACGACAAGCTCGCTCGATCACGTCCATACCAACACCACGCATAACAACGCGCTCACGATCGACACGAAATCAAAATAAACGGAGCTTTCTTGTTTGTGGATAAATACCTGGACACGTATCTGTTTATACGGGTACGCTCCTTTCCCTCCCCCCATCTCCATCCCCCTTCAGCGCCCCCACAGACGCCCTCTCCCCTCCCCCTCCTCTCGTCCTCCCCCCCCACCCTCCCCGCAAACCTTTCTCGAGCCGCGTTCCGGCTCACCTCGTCGACGCTCGGGACCATCAAGACTCTGGAACACACTGGACGCCGACTTCTAGTATAGGTTTGCTCATATCACTCTCTCCCGAGCTGCAACGGCACACTGGCTTTGCAGGGTGCTACCTCGTTCGTCGAGGCTTGCTCGGGGATACTGACTTGTTCCAGGACTTAGCCACTGCGGAGCGATCGATTCCGCCTTGATGTCATCTCCGACTTGATATTGTGTGCGCCCCGAATCTAGGTGAATGTCCATACCCTACGCGAACTACTGCTGTCGACTCTTTTCTAGTATTCTATATCAACCAGCACTGACTTAGACACCGCGAAGCAACCAATCCCTCCTCGCCGTCGTCTCCAGCCTAATATCCCGCCCTGTCTGAATCTAGGTGAGAGTCCATCCCCTCCCCTTACCGCTGTTGACTGTGTTGTAGTATTCAGTATCCTCCGGCACTCGTCTGGCACCGAGCCGAACAACACACTCGACAGTATCAAGAGTCTCCGGAACACGCTCGGCACCAACCTCACTCATAGGTTTGTTTAACCTTCCCCACTCCCTCTCCCCCGTGCTGGACCCGCACCCTGGCTTTGCAGGGTGCTACCTCGTTCGCCGAGGTTCACTCGGGATACTAACTTGCGGGAATCACACAGAACGAAGCAACCGATTTCGGCCTCACCCGTCCTCCTGACTTCCCATACATGTCGAATCCAGGTGAGCGCCCGTCCCTTCCGTACAGTCTTATTGACTGTGTTCTAGGATTTAGTATCGTCAAGCACTTGTTCAGCATTACCCGAACGACACACTCGAGACTATCAAGGCTCCGGAATCCTGGGCCCCAATTAGCGGCATCTATGTTATCCCTCCAACCGAGTTCATCACTGATCAGATGTGTAGTTGTATTCCGACTGGAACACACGCCATTCACGAGAAGACGTCGACCAAATCAAACACGAAGGGAATGAGCACACCGGGAAATCAAGCCTTGCCTAAGCTTCATGCTGCACAGTAGGCAAATACACCCTGCGACCATATTCTGCTGACTGTTATTGTAGGTCTACGAACTGAACTGACGACAACAAATTTCCAGCCACTCGCTCGATGAGATCCTCTCGCAAGCGATCTCCGCTGAAGACATTTGCAAGTCAGGGGAAGAAGGAAGGAGGTTTCAAAAGAGGATCAGTTTGCACATCTTTCCTCTCGGCTCTCGCCTTTTCGATCATAGCTCACCTCTTGTTTCTTGCAGGATCGATCGACCAAGACGCTTCTTGTCTTGAACACAACGCACGTCGAGCTGTTGTAAGTGAGTACATCTCTGTCTGTATCGCTATATCCTTATCTTGCTTTCCTGTGGGAATGTCTGAGGGATGAATCAACATCATGTAAGTACTTCAATCACCGTATGCGACAGCGCTCCTCCACTTCAACAGCTCGCCATAATGCAGATACGTAAGAAAGATGACGAACAGGCTCAACACTCACTTCAGGAAGCGAGACTATTTTTTATGATCCTTCCCGAGCTATCCGGCATCCTGGCTTTACAGGATGCTGCCTCGTTCGCCGAGGTCTGCTCGGGGAGGTACTAACTTATTCCAGGACATGCACAGCCGACTTGCTCCTTCTCTACCGTGCGCTCGAACAGGTGAGCGTCCATCGACTCCGCCCATGTTGCTCACTGTGTTGTAGGATATTAATATCATCCAGCACCGGTCCTGCGACAACACGAACGACACACACGAGACCACCAAGACTCCCAGATACACTGGACACCGAGTTCACGAGCAAAGTATAGGTTTGTTATCTCACTCTCCTCCCCTCTCTCCCCTGTGCTGCAACCCTGTCCTGGCTTTGCAGGATGCTACCTCGTTCGCCGAGGTCTGCTCGGGGAGGTACTAACTTCTTTCAGAAACCGTCCTGGCTTTCGCAAGTGACGCCCTAGGTACGTCCATCGCAGGGGATTCGAGAACGATCAATCAATGATTATCTACTTCACCTATTGGTATGTTCGCTTGATGATAAAATCCGTCCGCGGTCGTCATATTGATACTGTGGACCAAGCGAAGTACTTGTAGCAGATGCGAAGCAATCAGAATGCATCATAAAGTCGCTCAAATATTGCGGTCAACCTCCTTCAACACTAATTCTTTCGGCCGGTGGATTCAAGCAGCATCGAAGGTATATGTTATCGCCATCCAGGTTCCCTCTGATAATGACTGGGTGTGCGTGATATCTCTCATGAAATTGAAATATCCTGCTGACGTCAAGTCGAAGCTTGGAAGAGGGACGGGCCCGTAAGTGAGCTCCCGAACAGGTTAAAAACTAACTTCTGGAACACAGGTTCAGTTTTTAGATCATCCCCGAGCATTCAGGCATCCTGGCTTCACAGGGTGCTGCCTCGTTCGCCGAGGTGTGCTCGGGGACAATATACTGATTTCTAGGACTTGAACAGTACGAAGCAACATATTCCTCCGCCATTCGTCACCGCCCTCGTGTCCCACGCGCTGCAAAACTAGGCGAGTGCCCATTCTCTCCCCGCACGGCGATTGATTGTGTTCCAGTGTCCAGCATCCTCCAATACCACTCGTCCAGCCGGGGCCGGAACGAGATACTCGAACTCGTCAAGACTCCGTAACCCTTCGCGCCGACTTCAGTGCCTTTTCAACGAGCGGTTTGTTTACCACCATCCCTGAATAGAAAAGAAAAGGCATCCTGGCTTTACAGGGTGCCACCTCGTTCGTCGAGGCCATTCAGGAACAAACTCGAGGCACAATGACCGGAAATGGACCTCGCTCCTTCAATACATACCGAACCCAATCCGACCTGCTCTTCCATCTGTCATTTTGAATTATTTGTATGTTTTACCTTGTGTTACAATGACTGGAGGCCTGCGTCCACTTTTACCTTCAACAGCATGTTTCGCTGCATTCCTGTACTGTTTCTTGATTTATTGCTCTCTATGTATTGCCATGCACCCCCTCAAATTTGTATTGAACGACATGCCGCTTTGATGTATCTTCACCTCATACCAAGGTACGACAAGAAATATCATGCATGTGCATATTGTCCTATTCCACAAACACACATTGATGGTGGTACTGAGTCGATAAGGTGTGCAGGAAGGAAGCACTGTAGATCCTGAATTGAGGCTTCGAATCGGACCTGACCAAATTCAAATCTGAATATGGGAAATATAGATATGTTTGCATGCCGCAGGCCTCTGTGTAGAGCGGGGCGCAAAAAGCAGAAAGAGAAAGCGAAGGAAGGATGAAAGCAGTAGGCGCAAGATGGGCTAAGGAAAGAAGGGGAGGAAAGCAAGGGAGGAGAGAAAGATGGTATCAACAAGGCTAAGGACTCATCAGAGAAATTCGTAACATATTCCTGCTCAGACGGAATGAGGAAGTGAATGGAACGGAAGGGGACAGGGCAGGTATGAATGATTATATTGCGTCCCCATCAATGGATGTACAAATGCTCAGTTCTGTCAGCCCCCCTATGACCAGCGCTACCACTTTCGCATAGGGACCACCCGTCGGCGATATGTGCCGAGGACTCTTGCATTTGAACCGCGTCTTTCTGTTTCTGCCATTCGTCCCTCACGCTTTGAACTCTCGAACTCTCGTCTTGGAATTGGAAATCATGTCGTGGTGGGAAGAGAATCGACGCTTCGATCGTGCGACCGAAACCCAGGCTCAGAATATGCCTAACGGCCAGACCTTTCGATTCCATCCTGCTGCACCAGTTAAAACTGGTCCACAACTGCCAACCAATCAAAACCCACTGCGACCAGAATATGCACCATATACCTACAGAGACTCGCTCATAGGTACCCCTCCTAATGTGTTCTACATCCGCGACCATGTAACTGCCAATCAGATGGTACCAATGCTGAGCAGGTACGCCGCGTCCCATATCCGCGAGACGCGTGAAAAGCTGACGGTTAAGTCCACTTGGCTTTGACACCGAATGGCGACCTAACTATGTCAAGGGGGGTCGGGAGAATTGGACATCTTTGATCCAATTGGGAGACGAGCATAACATCCTCCTGATCCAGATCAGTGCTATGCAATGTATGTTCATGCGAGCTCAAGCGCCATCAGTCTCATCTGCGCACCAGATTTCCCAGAATCGCTACGAGAGTTACTGAGCAACCCGGCGATCGTTAAAGTGGGCGTTGGGATCCGAGGTACTCCTCTCTTACTGTTCCGCTCTCACTAGCTCATAACGTACAGGTGATGCCTTCAAGCTGCACAGAGAGCAACAGCTTGAATTCAGTTCGCTGCTCGACCTGGCCGATTTTGCCAAGTTGGTCGACCCTGACAAATGGGCACCGAACAGAAATCCGGGCCTGGCGGCGCTCTGCGAAACCTATCTTGAGCGCACGCTGAAGAAAGGGAAGATCACAAAGAGCAATTGGGAGATGAATCCCATGACGAAGGCAATGCAAGACTGTGAGTACTTGGCTGCTTTCTCTGTTGACGCGGGTTTCTCAAATTGGACAGATGCGGCTAATGATGCACACGTGTCTTTCAAGATATTCCGCTTTCTGGAATGTCTTCACACTCAGATGGAGTATGCCCCGCCTTTCACTGACAGTTTATTCACGGTTGATGCACGCGTCTTTTGGGCCGCGGAAGAAGAAGCATGGCACCGTCGGAAGGCAAGAAATGAGAGAAACAGGTCAAGGGAGGCTGAGCGCCAGAAGCAGGAACAGGAACGCCTGAAGGCCGAACGGGACGTCAGCGCGCTGACAGCACCTGCCGTGCTCGGGTTTATCACGGTGGTCAACGAACCACGCCAGAGTAATTCCATCCGGGAAGCTTCGGCCGTGACTCCTTTCCTTCTGTAAACGGAGTATGACGCTTCAGAGACATGCCGCACAGGAAATTCCCCGTGATTGTCAAATTTCCTGCATCGCACACATACCTCCTTGTATCATTGGTATATCCAGTAATGTGCCCAGCATTTCGTAGTCGTTTAGAGTGTTACACTGCCATATGCTCTAGACATTATTGTATTCCTAGACTTGAATTGTGACACGGAGTGATATTTCGTGGGTGTCTAAACTAGGCAAAAAAACAGGCATGACAACCGAACAACTCAGCCAAAGAGAAGAGACTCAAATCCCGTCCGGTAAAGGCATCGAGATGGCAAGGTTGGATTGCGTCATCTGTGGCGGACCAGCACCCATCGGTCCCGGCGGGTTCGAGAACGGCGGCAGGAGATCACCCGTGTTCGCCCCGAGGGAGAGATTCCAATTCTGGTCCAGGTCCATACTCAAGATGTTTTGCCAAGCCATATCATCCGAAGTGTTTGTCATCCAAGAATTCGGCTGCGGACCAGTGCTGCCCTCGACGCCGTAAGGCGCGTAAAAGCTGCTGAAGGAGACTTGTGGTTCTTGGCTCACTTGTTGTGGAGGCATAGGAGGGTCGATTGGGTTGAGGATACTCGTGCGCGGAGCGGAGGAGTCGACAGTGATGGAATAGTTCTTCTTGGGCGGGCCAGAGCTTGGGGAAGAGATGGACCCGCTAAGAGTAGTGTCGTTCTGCACTTGATTGATGAATGTGCCGTCGGGGTTTTGGGTGAAGCCAGTGCCAGGGCCGATAGTGACAGTGCCAAAAAAGGGTATGACGAGGGTTTTGTTCGTACATCGGCATTTTCCGTCATTGGACATGTTCCGTGCTTGCTGGAGACTCTCAAGCACCTCAAGCGCTTGGGTAGCGACCATACTGTGCTCCTCGACCGAGGCACAACGGAGGAAATGGATAGTCTGGTCGATATACGCGGAATCTTCTGCGTTCTGAGCCTCGTCCGTCCGCTGCTCACCTTCCGGCCAGAGCTTGCCCATGCCGACAAGATGTAGGAACAACAGGACCGCTGAAGTGAAGGCCTGGAAGTCGATGACTTTGCACATGTACGCGGCAGAATGGCGGTCAATACGGAGCTGGATATACCTGCGCAACATCTGGCGGTTACTTTCTAGGCAGAGCAAACGGGAGTACTCGAATCGTACATCCGTGAGCGAGCGGAGGAGGAATGGGAGATGCAAGAGCCCCCGGACTTGGTGGTACCAGAGCTGGCACATGAGGCGGTCGTAGTGGCTCGCACGGCCCTCATGCTGGGCCTGGGTGACGTCCCACCACCTGGGAGGGAGGCGTCGGCCGAGCTCTTCAAGTTCCTGATCTATCTCGAGGGTGAGGGTCAGGTCAGGCCCGTTGAAGTTCTGGTTCCTGTCGATGATCCTCCCTGCGAGCCGAGTGATTCTCCGACGGAAGAGTTCTGGTGTCTCCGCCTCGTCCTCCTCGTCAATGGTGAGGTTGCAGTGGGCGTCACAGACGGCATAGGGTAGACCAAGGAGGAGGGAGAGGTACCTGTCGCCTTCGTATATGCGCCACCAGGTCATGCGCCTTCGTTTCCATAGCGGTGTAGCTTTGTCACCTCGCACAACGGGGTCTCGTTGTAGGCCCATGAGGACAGCAAAGCTCATCGCTCGGCGGTAGGTCGTCCATGCCTGCCTGGGTTGACCGAGGTTGAGGTGCAGCCTTCCCTGGAGGATCATACAGTCCAGTCCATCGAGAGAGCTGGCAAACTCGGCATCGAATACGATGAGTCGTTGAACGAGCATCATATAATGCTTCATGAGCGCATCTGCGCTGAGCGGAAGGTTGAGTTGGGAGAAGTCGAAGTCCCCTGGCAGCTGCTGGATGGTCACTGCTATACAGAGCAATGCATGGGCGATGATCGCCGGGTGGCCTTTGGAGAGCGCGCGTCGCAGGACGGCGGAGAGGGACATCTGGTCTGTGCCTCCCATAGAAGCGCACAGATCGCGCCAGATGACCCACCAGCCACTGGCATGGCGGAAGAGGGTGTCGAGGTCTCGCTCGGAGGGGATTGTACGTGTCAGTGCGCGCCTGACAGTGTCGAACTTTACTTTGGAAGCGGTGTTGCTGACTGTTCCTGGTGATGCGGCGGAGGACTCGCAGGAATCGACGAGCGTCGAGCTCTCTGCTTCACAGGCATCTAGATCTGCCTGGTCGGGTTTACGTCCAAACTGGGGACGTCAGCGCACGTAATATAGGGGAAGCCCAGGGACGCACAATAGCATTGTCAAATAGAGAAAGTGCAGGCGCGGATTCGCATACGCTCACACGTCTTTCGGAGACGTCGTGCGGTACGTCACCTGGTGTCGCGAGGTCGATATCGATTCCAGTCTCCGCGACTGTCCTCCTGAGGTCTTCAGAAGAGAACCCGTTCCTCGACAATAAGCGGTCCACGAGTCCTTCGAGCCGACCTACGCGCTCACGCAGGTTCTTGCGTGTGTCAGGGACAGGCTCTTCCTCTTCTTGCGAGAGGCAGCGGGTGCCACGTGCGACACACTCGTTGCATATCTGCGCGGTGGATGAGGCGAAGATGCACCGTACTTTGCGTCGACGGCCTGTGTCACAGAGAGGTGGTCAGCGTCAGGGTCAAGAGGGATAGGAATGTCGGGATCCGGTGGGTGGGTGCGAGTATGCTCGTCCGACAGCAAAGGCATGCTCTCCAACAAGAGGCATACTCGTCCGACATCAGATGCACGTTCGTCCGCCGGACTTAGTCCCTCTCACAGGGCTCCGTTCGCAAGAAAACATAAAAGAAGAGGATGAAAGAAAGGATGGTGGACACTCACACTCGGCACAACTGTGTGTCCCCTTTCTCATTTTCTTTCTAGGTCTATCGTCGACCTCACCGTCCAGATCAGCATCGTCACTCATTCTTCTTATGGTACCAGTCTTTGGGTCGACTGACACTGGTGCTGCTGGTGAAGCAGGAGAGAGGGAGTCGCTGCAGGCCGACACTGGCATCCTCGGTTCTTCTCTAGAGGGGGCAACGCGTACGCCAGATTGTATGGGTTACGCGGGCGAACGAAACTGCAACGGGCTATATCGTTACATGCAAAGGAGAAAGGCTTACAAATGTGCATTTGTGATTGTCACCTATTGACTCGTCGTGTGAAAGTCTCCCGATGCACAGGAAAAGTCTCAGATCACGTTCATCCGAGGCGGGCGGACTTATTTTAGATGGGCGGACGAGTATGGACGGACGAGGAGCGGACCAAATCCCTACGGGTAGAGTTGGGAAGGTGGACGAACCCCGGCCCACGCTCAGAAGACGTGGAGCTGCATCGCCACTGCTGACCAACCCACCCCTTTCTTTGTCCCTGACCATGATTGGTCAGACGGGCGGTGTTACGACAGTCTTCGTGGGTTATTCAATCCACGATGTGTATAGTCTGACTCATTCACGCAGCTGGAAATCTTGACAATGGCCTGAATAATCCTCTGCACTCAACGGCGACGGAGAATGACTGCACTTCATCCTAGGACTGTATGACAACAACGGTGGACGGTGGTCCTACACCTGTCTTTCTTGCTAGAACAGTTGGGCGAGGTATAAAATCTGCACGATGAAGGACGTCAAACTTCAGACCAGAAAAGTCGCGCCCTCCGCCCGGCATCCAGCTACCCTCCTCCCCTGCTAATATCCTAGACACCGACACTAATGGCCGCCCCCGCTACTCCTCTGGCTGATGCGCTCGCCCTCCCTGATAACGCGGTGGTGAACTTCCCCCGCACGGAGAGCTACGACCCCTTGTCTGAACGGTCCTCAATCGCTGATCGTACGGTGGTCGACTCCCACCTTCCGAGCTACGCGCCGTCCCTGAGCGAGAAGAAGCCCCAATACGCCGATGCAGAAAAACAAGACTCTGCGACCGGAGAAGCCGAGATCACATACCCTACAGGGTTCAAGCTGCTTGCTATCATCTCCGCTCTCGTGCTGTCAATCTTCCTCGCCGCGCTGGACATGACGATCGTCGCCACCGCAATCCCGCGAATAACTGACGAGTTCAAGTCTCTCTCAGACGTAGGATGGTACGGCAGCGCCTTCTTCCTTACGCTCGCGTCGTTCCAGTCCACCTGGGGGAAGGGGTACAAGTACTTCCCGCTCAAGCCGGCGTTCCTCCTGTCCATCGGGATATTTGAGCTCGGTTCGCTCCTCTGCGCCGTCGCACCAAGTAGCAGCGCGTTGATTGTTGGCCGCGCGATTGCCGGCCTGGGTGCGAGCGGCATCTCCTCCGGAGTATACACCATCATTGCGTTTGCCGCTCCTCCCGCGCGCCGTCCAGCATACACTGGGATAATCGGTGCCACCTACGGTCTGGCGAGCGTCATCGGCCCACTCCTGGGCGGCGTGTTCACCGACAAGCTCACCTGGCGTTGGTGCTTCTACATCAACCTTCCCGTCGGCGGTCTCGCAGCAGCAATAATCGCGATCTTTTTCGTCATGCCCGAAGCTGCCAAGCCCGTCCCAGCGACATGGAAGGAGAAGGTATTGCAGATGGATCCCCTAGGCACGGGGCTCATCATGGGCGCTGTGATCAGCTACCTGCTCGCAGTGCAATGGGGAGGTGTCTCCTTCCCTTGGTCGAGCAGCACAGTCGTCGGACTCCTCGTAGGCTTCGCACTAATGACAATTGCGTTCATCATCGTCGAGTGGCGCATGGGTGAACGAGCAATCCTCCTCCCCCGCCTGTTCAAACAACGCACAGTCGCCCTCTCAGCAGGATACATCTTCTTCCTCGCAGGCGGCTTCTTCCTCCTCGTCTACTTTGTCCCGATCTACTTCCAATCCGTGGACGGCGTCTCAGCCTCCGACTCGGGAGTACGTAACGTCCCCCTCATCCTGGCCGTAGCGCTCTTCTCCATCATCTCGGGGAACCTCATCTCCCTCTGGGGACACTTCGTACCTCTGCTCATCCTAGGCTCTGTGCTCGCAACCATCGGGGCCGGACTCATCTACACGCTCGATATCGGCACTCCGAGCGCGCAGTGGATCGGCTACCAAGTCCTCGCCGGCGTCGGGATAGGCATCGGGATCCAAATCCCCATCAGTGCGGGGCAAGCGATGGTCGACATGGCAGACCTCGCTCCGGTGACGGCGATGATCCTCTTCTTCCAAACGATAGGAGGAGCGTTCTTCATCAGCGCAGGCCAGAGCATATTCACCAACCGCCTAATTGCTGCTCTCCCGATCACCGCCCCAGGGGTAGACGCGGCCATGGTCGTAGCCACAGGAGCTAGCGACCTGCGGGCCATGTTCCCCGCTGAAGCACTCGCGGGGATCTTGAGAGCGTATATGGACGGGCTGAAGGGCGCGTACGCGCTCGCCATCCCGCTCATGGGCATCGCGGCCGTGCTGAGCATCTTTGTGGAATGGAAGAATATCAAAGGGGTCGCTGTTATGGCTGCATGAAAGCGAAAGGCGTTATAGAAATCTGGACCGAGAGAATTGGACCGTAACATTATACTTAGAGATCGTGCATTTCATAAATTGTATCACTAGTCATGTCCATACTATAATGACAATTGTATCAATACCAAGCGTCGCGCGTGAAGTCCAGTCCAGTCTTAACGTCTTAATGTACATATATCTACCTTCCACTCCTTCTCACTATATCTGCTCATCTTCTGGTTTGTCCGTATGGCGTCGTTCACCCTGAGAAGTATATCGACGTCACGCTACTCCCCGGCAAGACCATCTGGAACACCGTCCCGCAGCTCAAAGCGTTTTGCACCCTGAGGGTCTCCCAATCCTCGTCCTGCGTCGTCTGGTAAGCCTGGGTCGCCGTGCCCAGCTGAAGAGTGTCCAGCGCCAGGAGAGCCTGGTCTGGCTCTAGGTTGAGCGCGATCACGGACCAGCCGCCGGAGGGGAGGCTGAATGCCAGCAAACGGAAAGCGGGGAGCGGGGTGAGGACGTAGCGCACTGCGCCTAGGGGGATGGCGTGCGCGAAGTGCTTCAGGACAAAGTAGCGTTTCGTCAGGTAGATAGCGGTGTTGCCGTTACTGGCATAGGAGGCATCGTAGTATATCTACGACTGGGTGAGCGCTGGAACAGGGGAATGGGGAGAAGAGGGGGCGTACGAGTCCGTCGTTCCACCCCTGAGTGTTGCTGGTCGTTGCGCACGCAGGGTCGGAGGCGGGCGAACAGCCCATCTCAGAGGAAAGCGCGACCCACCAGTCAAAGTGCGCATCGCCGCTAGAGCATTGGGTCAGTGAGGCTCATTTCCAGAGGGAGGTACTAACGTAAGCGTGAACGACCGGTAAATGAGGTTGGCCATCTGCAGCGCGCTGAGCATCGTCGGGCTACCCAAAAGCTCAGCATTCCCGTAGCACGAGCGGGACCCCACCATTCAGAGAAAACGGCACTCACTCGTACCCCTGGCCATAAGCCAACGCGCTCGCCGGATCTGTACTATTCTCCGCGCCGACAAAACAACATATCTCCGTAAACCACATCTGCTTCCCTCCGCTCAGGTAGCGTCCCTGGTCGCCCATCGCTTGCAAGGCAGTATCAGCCGCAAAGAGGTAGTCATGGTGGCTTATGACGGCGATGCTACCTGCTGCACCGGGGATCCACAAGTCGGCTTCGACGGCGAATTGCACTTGCGTGCTCGTTTCGTCCGCTTGGACGAGGACGGATTGTAGCCCTGCGGCGTCTAGTGCTGCCCGGATGGATTGGACGACCGTGGGCCGGACGGAGGGGACGACGACCATGCCTTCCTGTGTGCAGGAGAGGGATCCGCTCGCGGGAGGGAAGCCGTTATCAGGCTCGTTCATGGGTGAGACGTAGGCAAAGTGGATCCCCTGCGAGGCCCAGTACTGCACTACACCAGCGAGGTAGGTGCCGAACAGGGGGATGGAGCTGTTGAGCAGCGCCCCGGCGCACGAGGCTTGGGAGGTGGTGAATGAGGGAGGGGCAGAGTTGACGAATACTGTTAGTTGGGGAACGGAGTACTGCGCTGCGGCGTGTAGGAAGTAGGAGCCTTGAGGGTCGGCACTGTAGTTCGAGCTGGTGGTGCTAATGTACGTCGTCTCCGGTGCACGGCTGTATGAGGCAAGAGGTTAGCGACGATCAGGGAGGTGAGGAGAACGCACGAAGGGACGCCAACGCCCACCCCGCCGCCGCCGACGTTGTACCGATAGGAAGTGAGGCCGAGGGCGTCGCTGCTGAACAATAGGTAGGAGACGTTTTGGCGTACTGCGTCTGGATAGCTGGGGATCGTGAGCGCGCGTATGGGTAGAGGGGATGGGCGTACTTGTAGAGATCAAGAGGCCACCAAGCGCCGCTTGCGCCTATACCTTGCATCGTCTGCGCTGGCTGTGTGAGGTTGGCGACTACGGTATATCATTAGCATAGGTTAGAGATGTGTGATGTATGCTTACTCGGTACGCCAGACTGCCATAAGAATACCTCGCACAAGAGGCCTATTGCTAGTTGAGATATTGAAGCGGGCATGTTGGAGAGTAAGTTAGAGAGATGCATTCGTGGATGTTGGTGGTATAAAAGAGGGAGATATACTCCTGAAGAGTGAGGGGATAGGGTGAATTTATTCCAATGAATTCTAACAATAGGGCACAACGATGTAAAGAGTAATGTATGTTATTACACTTCACAAGGGATCACATTACATATAAAACGCCCACTGGTGGTCTATCAATATACATATTCAGTATCATTCAACATAGTTATCAATAACATTATTTCAATATATTAATCTACCCTCTTTATCCATATCCCCTCTCTATAATAACCCTAACATAATAATATATTCCCCTAACATACCCACTAGCGCATGTTGAATAGCCTCCGTGAAGAAGAGGTCAGACAAACGCCGTTCCTTTCCTCACGCGTCCCTCGTTGTCCGTCCACACACAACTTTCAACCGTTTAAAAACACTTCATCTTCATCACAGCTCTGTTGTATAAGAATCAACCATGCCCCCTCCTCCTCCTTCTCCTTGGCCACATTATGGTACGTCCTTCAATTAGGCATCAAGAAGCACTGACGATCCTTCAACCACAAGCTTGGGCAGCCGGCCACCTTCTCCTCCTAGTCTGTGCTATCAAGTACTTGGTCTCCATCTTCACATTCAAAGCAGCGAGCAACGTCATCTGGTATAAGCGTGCGTCTCTCTTATGTCAAAGCTGTGATCATGTTAACGAACAACCCCCTCAGTAAGCTACGCGGGTGCCTTGATCAGTTATGCGATCGTTTGTTTGTGAGTCCTTCTTCGCCACATTAGCCACTATCTAATCATCGTACAGCAAAGCAGTCGGAGTGCGTCCACAATCCGAACGAACCAGAACCCCATTGATCGCGTGCAGATGCCCCAGGCTTCCCCTCAGTACGCTCAGCGCGCGTTGGCTGATGAGGTGTGCCCGGGATCCTTTCACATCGCAAGAGCCCCGCTAACCCATCTCAGAACGTACAATACTTCCTCCTCTCACTGTACTGGTACGCTCCCTCCCTCCCCTGTCCAACCAAAACCTAACCAGAACCAGGTTCCTCACCCGCCCAATCTTCCGTTCGTACTTCCACGTCCACGTGCTGCGCACGACTCACCTCGCTTGACCACTAGCGTCCCTAATCCCTTTCGCCACTTTTTCTGCCTTCCACACACTCACGTTCGTACGGACGAATATCATCCCCAAGATCCTGCCTTCCAAGCCTCCTCCTCCGGCGCAGCCAGGCCAGCCAGCCCCGAGGGCAGAACAACATCCGTACGCAAAGGCGATCGGTACTTGGGTCAGGAGTAAGTGTCTGCCGTCAGCGTCACGGTGCGGAGGTGCTGATTCACCGCAGACAACTATGAAAGCGCGATGCAGATTGTGGCGTTTGCAGAACTCGTCATCTTCGCCTACGTTTCTGTCGGAGCGCTCATGTACGTCCTCCTTCCCACCTCATGTTCTCTAGTAACCGTCCCCCCACAGCCGGCGCAACTCCCTCCTCACTCCGGTTATCTACGCCCACTTCCTTCGCCAGCGGTACATGTTCTCCTCCTTCACCCGCCAAGCCGTCAACGCCTTCACCGCCGCGGCGGACGCCAGGATCAACGCTCCCGGCTCGCCTCCCTGGCTCCAGCAGGGCTGGGTGGCTATCAAGCTGGCTGGGGCAAGGTGGGCCGCTGCCATCCCTGGGGGAACGCCAGCCGCACAGCCGCAGCAGGAGAGGAGGCGGTAAACGTTTCCCCTCCCATGTGCAGAGACGAACCGTGACGATCCCAAGGGGTTTGTGCATAGTAGCCGGAGGAGTAGGGCAAAAAGTCTTGTTTGACCGACGTGGATTTGGAAGTGTGTAGTGCGTGGAAGGACGTTTTACTGTGTGGGACGCTGTGGCCCGGACTGTGTGCAAGGGCTTGACATGACCGCCTACAATATCTGCCCTAATTGTCGTGTGCTGCCAAATCGGAATCTCTTCTCTTAGCTTGAGTATATTCAATGTGCATTGTCTACGAATACAATTGCCGTGATGACCCCAACGAGTTCTATGATGTACATACTCCGTTCCTTAGATAAAGGAGCTGCTAGTCCAGCTCCCGCCAAGAGATATCCCTCTCACCCTGTCCTGAGCCCCTCGGTGTCCTTCCAGGACTCGTCCACCCAGGGGCTGGACCCCCCTGCCCAACCCACTCACGCTGGCGCTCTTCTATCCTAAGCCGCTCTGAAAAGCTCCTAACCCAATAGGGGCGCGCATGATGCCCCAGCTTGTGCGCGCCGGGACCGTCGTAGGCGGTCGGTTGGGCAGGTTGAGCCGGTTGGACGGGGGGAAGGACGGATATGATGCGAGACGGTGGGTAGATATGTTGGGAGGCGGACTGCTCAAGAAAGGACTGCGAGGGTTGGGAAGAGAATTGAAGCGTTCGCGAACGGGAGAGAGGCGTTGGAAGTTCGCTAGGCGGCAGAGAGCACAAGTCGGCAATATTGACCATGCTGAAAGAGGACGGTGTATTGTGCACTTCTGCAAGGTCGTGCCGTGCTGCTGCTTCTGCTATACTGGGAGTGTCCACATCCATAGACGGTGCGTCTTCTGTGTCCAGGATTGTTCGTCGCGTATCGCTCTTCATCTCCGAGCTTTCGACCTTGGCTTGCTCCGCCCCAGTCCTTGGAAAGCTCCGGTATCCCCACCCGCTGGTATTGTACCGTCGCCTTTGGCTCGCTGCATGCGCGACGCGATTCCCAAAGATGATGTATGCTGCCCACGTAACAGGGCTCAGGAAAATCTGGAGAAGCACGAGGGAGAATAGGAGTGGCAAGAGGAGGAGGTGTAGAACGACAAGAAGAACGAGGGTTGGGAGGGGAGAAGGAGATGTAGGCGGGAGAAGGAGGGAAGCTGGGTAGCTGCGTCGGTGTCGTGGTGCAAAGAGCGGTGCCATTTGAGGGAATCGGTACAAGGTTGTGGAGAAGAAGAGCGGAGTAATTGTTGACAGTTATATATCCCCAGGCGGTCATTGTCATGTTGCCTCGTGGGAGAACAGGAAGCGCCACACGAGGCGAGACATCACGAGGTGTCCGCCCTTTTGTCGCGGTTGTCTGAACCACCATACATAGCACATAAGTCCGGTTCAAGGAGATAGCAGTATAACCACCGAAAACCCTTCGAGAGTGCCTCTGTGTGAGGGATCCACAGGTCACAGAGCCGAAATGTTCTCCAAACTTGGGCGTTGGTTGGTGGGTGGGTCACGGGTGGGGCCTGATGACGTAGTGTAGAGGGTCAGCCAATAATCGACGGTCTGGATGTTCCCAAGGTTCGGGCCTGATGATCGGGTCGGTCTGGCCACTCCATAGTGGTATCCGAACAGGTCTCGAGTCCCTTACCAACTTTGTCACGTGAGTGACCCGCATATACTACCCAGAATGCCGTTCTTCGCACCGACGATACCCCCACACCCCCTTCAAGAAGATGTTCCTGCTTCCGCTACCCCGCAGAGTAACGGGAAGGACGACGAACACCCCCACAGGCACCATTTGCAACTCTATCGCGGCCCCACCACGCATCATCCAGCCTTGTGTTTCCTGGACGGCGTAATGAACCTGCTATCTATGCGTCTAGCTATCTCTAAGTATCGAACGGTGACGTCCGTGTGCGGCAATCAGATATAAGTGGGCACGATATATGCGCTTCTAGGTGTACCATCAAGGTGCATATATGCAGGTAAGCGTCAAGGGACAAGCAAGCAAGGCGGCACTCGCTATATGCTGATAGCTGGTGCTGTGCTTGGTTATTGTCCCTTAATCCTTCCCTGCAGTCGGACAGTACTGGGCAGCAATATCAGTACTGATATACTGCTCGACAAATCCATGGGCCACAACTCTCGCAACTCGAGAGAGAAGCAGACCATTTACAAGTCGAGCCTCACATCAGATGAGATATTGCGTGAAGGTATAACACCTCTCTTTTGCGGGATTGAAGGGGGAGCCTCGACAGCGGCAGTAACCGATGTGAGCGAGAGCCGGCCGGGGGGAAGGTGGGGAGAGGAAGGAAAGGTGAGGCTTCGAATCGTGGGATCTGGTCGTCATTATATATTGCGGGGATGACCCTTGGTGATCAATGACGTTGACTGCAATGCGTTTTTTTGGGTTATGTAATCAACCTGCCTCGTGGCATTACGGCCGACAAGTTCAGGGCGCCTCGAGGGCGTTCAACATCCAGCAACAGCATATATAGGGCACCCCTGAAGGACACGCTTTGCTGTCAAGCCCATCATCTTCTAGCGTGAGGGGCGGAGCTGAGCGGCCGTGGATGACATTGGCAAATAAACATGGTCAAGGGACCCGTCGTCATTGGCATCGCACAAGGCCTATCGTGCGTACCATATCTTGCATCGGAGATACGCGGACTGATTAGCTTGCAGATCAGTTGCAGTCCTCCTGCTCATATTCGCACATGTGAGTGACGCTGTGGCTGGAAGGGGTTCACGAACTGAATAGTGGTTGGAATAGGTTGGTCAGATCAATACCTCAAAGCTGCCTAGCAGCCTGGGCATGGTCTCGATGAACGTCACCACCTTCGCGTGCGTCACCACGTCTATTATGTGCTGGGAGTTACTCGCTAACTTAGGTTCAGAGCATGTCTGAGCAACTCCACCGGAGATCCCTTCCCAGCGATGTACCAGTCAAATGCCTCTGCACCTCTTGGCCAGCATCTGGGACTGCGTGACATCTACTCGTGGGGCTTCTTCAGCTACTGCGCCTCTGTGGTGTCCAATACCACCGAGAGTCAGTGCGCCAATCATACCTTCGGATTCCATTTTATGCCGCTTGAGACGATGCTCTCCGATATCCCGAGCAATTCAAGTACCATGTCAGTGTTATTCCAGTTCCTACTTCGTTTTCGAGATTAACATCCGTTGCAGATCCCAATTCACGATTCCCCAAACAACCCAATTCACCAACAGCGACAACTTGGGAAATATGTCGGCTGCTGGATTTTACCTCATCTTCATTGGAACACTCTGCGCGTTCTTAGCAACGATGTTGTGCGTTACAAACTCACAAAAGTGCGGCTTACCGAGCTAATCGGTTCTCACAGCGCCATCAAGCACCAGAGAGTGACGTTTGCGCTGGCAATGTCTTTTGACATAATTGCTGTCTTGTTCGTTCTAGTCGGCAGCGCCATCTGGACCAACCTCGTTCAAAGTGCCATGCAGATCAACACCACGCCTGCGGCCGGTGGGAGTTGTCTCGGCATCTCCCTTACGCACGGCACCTCCCAATGGCTCATCTGGGCCGCCTTTTCTATTCTTATCCTCTCCCTGATCCCCTACATCATCAGCTTCGTTTCCTACGACCGTGCTGTGCGACCGCATGAGGTCCGACTAGATCGGCACGTTTCTGGAAGACGATACAAAGATCCGACATACTATCCACCAAAGTCGCATGCGCTGGCCAACGTCCGCCGCTCGTATAGCAAGAGTGGAACGCCCAAGTCGAATGGAATCCCGACGACGTCGGTGCAAGCAAGTAGGGCGAGCACCCCGGCCCGTCCTCCACCAACAAGGCAGGCCAGCCAGGCCTCTGCGCCTGCTCAGCCGAGACCGAGCGGTGAGAGACAGGCCTCATACAACACCTATCCGACGAGGAACGGTACTGCTCCCCCGACGACGCGCCAGATGTCCCAGAGCACAATCCCTGCGAGGAAACCGCTACCAACAACGCCGACCACGCCTGTAAGACAAGGCCCTGTGCCTCCGAGAAAGCCAACTTAGGGGACGTGGCGGTTCTGAGAGCCTGAATGACGAACAATGACGAGGGACATTATGCTTTCCTTTGGAATAACACCTGTATGTTTGGGCAGCTGGATATGCCCGTGCCTTCCTCGTGTACTACTTCATGACGAGACGAATGAGCGAATGAAAAATCTTTAGAGCACGTATTGTACAGGGGTATACCCAACATATGATTACTCAATAGGACATACACCCGCAACAGCACTGTCATATCTCGGAAACAAGAGAGTCCATCAGAAAATGCCTAGATATAAGATGAAGGATGAATGAGAATGAGAGTCCATGTGATGCTTTGTTGTTTTGAGCTCCAAATGACGTTCCGTGCAACCTCACAAGAGAGCAATGACCGCTCCGATGACTGCCGCCACAGCACTCGCAGCCACGGCACCCACCATCCCCGCCTCGGTTCTCCAAGCACTCGCTCCACTGTGGCTTCCCCCGCCCGACCCCGACCCCGACCCCGAGCTGGGGTTAGGCCCTGTACTACCGCCCGTCCCGGATGGACCAGCGCTAGATGCAGTCGGTGTGAACACGCCTCCGCTCGGCACGGCAGCAAGGCATGCGCTCGCGGCTGAGTTTGCCATATCCGTCGTGATGCTATTATTGGCGGTCGCGTTGCCCGAGAAATCGCACGCTTGGGCATTGCGGTTCGAGAGCTCGTAGTAATAGCTGAATGCCCAGGATAGTTGGGTCACCGCGTCGCAGTCGGCAAGAATACCGTACGTTCCAGTTGTACCGTTCGCGGCGATGATACTGCAGTTGGCACCTTGCTGGCCGAGGGCGTTGCACACGTAGTTGAACAGGTCACCTTGAATGTCGGTGTTGGTCGGCGAACCAGTATACGGACAGGAGAAGGCAGAGTCCCGGAAGCAGGCGCACTTGGCAGCATCGGGAGTGGGAGGGAGGGAGGTTGATGCCAAGAATGATGAGTTCTGCCCCGGACAGGCGACGGGGGAGGTCGCGGGCGCGGCAGACTCAGCAGGCGACTCAATAAACGTCACGTTGGAGAACTCTGATTGCAAAAGTGACCAGTCCGAGCCGGTAATCACACTGGTATTATCCGATGAGATATTGACCAGGCCGTACCCGCCAACAGCGGGGAAGTAGGAGAAGGCTAGACCACCGGACCACTCGCCGACTGCATCGAACCATGCATCAGAACGGAGCCTCAAATTGTAGTATGACAGTACTCACTCATTTGCGACCCATACAGCACCGGCACCTCGTTCCACAACCTGGGCAAGTCCTGCACGCACCCAAACTCGGAGAAGTAGGCTGGAATGGGATAGTTGCTGTAAGCTGCAACGGTGCTCGCATAGCTGGTATCGAAGCTGCCCGTAGAACCGCACCAGCGGTAGTTGTTCAGCCCGTAAAGGTCCAGGGAGGTTGCCTCGCTGTCGCATGCCAGATAGTTGGCTAGCGGATCCCTCCAGTCGTCCGTCGTATCGCTTCCGTCAGTGCTGGCGTACCCGACCAATGCACCAGAGTTCTTCGAGGCGAGGTATGCCTTGATGTCCCTTGCAGCCGCTTTGATGAAGGGCGCAGACTCAGTGGTGGCGTCCGAATTGACGACCTCGTTGCCGACGTTGACAGCGAGCAAGTTGTCATACTGGAGGAAAGCGTCGATCGTGGCGGTGTACACGTCGAGCAAGCCAGTAGTCCATGCCGGCTGGGCGCGGTTGATCGAGCCGGTGACGGGGATCGCGAGATCGAGAATGATGTAAATCCCTGCTTGAGAGAATGCGTTCATGCAGCTGTCGTGGTTCAAGGAGGAATTGACGCTGTATACCCGAATTGCGTTCGCCTTGAGCGAGGTGATGTATGGCTTGAGTATGGTTAGCTGGTATTCTGGGTCAGTGAAGTGACGCACGAGATCACGAGCACATCCCTGCGCATCTACCAGAGGATCTATAAAATCGGTGGGCTCAGGAAACGCGCCTGGAACGCCGCTTGCGGAGACTGTGCCCTGCTGCTGGTAGCTCACTCCCTGCAACCCAACACGGTGAGAGGTACGCTTTGAGATGAAAGAAGACGAACCTTTATGTAAAAGCGATTTCCATCAGGAGTGAAGAGATATCGACCTTGCTTCGTTACCTGTGGAAGTGCGAGTGCGCTTGTCGCTGCGAGCAGAGCGATGAGAGCTTGAGGGAGGTGCATGGTGGGGGTCAAAAGGGGACCAGGGAAGGCGAGAGAGGGCGCGGGGTGACCAGTGCCAGTGAGGGAATGTGCCGGGTGTAATCGTCGGCGTTAACTGTTTGAAGCGCAGTTGGATTTCTGGTTGTGGATGAAAGGACTGTTAAATGGCTGATGCGGACATGGACTGAGAAAGAAATATATGATTATCCCATAGAAGCCCATAAGGCCGTACGACCGTTCCATCGTCAGCATCCGCGCCGAAAACATCGGCCCTTCTTAGAGGGTTTTTCCCACTTTTCCATTTCCGCTTTTGAGTCACGTCAACAACATCGTGACCTTTTGAATTGGGTAGGCTTGAACCACAGTTACTCTTCAGTACTTCGGTAACCCTTTGACCACCCTTCTTATTACCTCGTCCCCGGTTTCATCGGAACACATCTTTCTTGCAAATCTTATCAGAAATTATCTCGGTACCATTCACACCCATGATCAGATAGATGCACACGCCCATAATTCTTAGCACCATTCACCCGCCTTAGTGCCAGTGCTTTGTAACAACACGTTGCACGTACAGCCCTTGCGTCATGTCCGGGAATGACGGCCTTATCACTACATGTGATTGTCAATCTCCGTTGCCGTTCCTCAAGGGGTGTGGAGTGCTACGAGTCTGGAAAAAGACCACCTCACAGTCACAGGTGAGGAAAAGCACGCGGCACCGGTACCCTTGTACCTTCGGCAGGTGGTACTTTTCATCTCAGTGGTCTCTTTGCCAAACGCAGCACTAGTACGGTAATGCAAGGGATGATATTTGATACAAGCATGATTGAGGCATTCCAGTTACGGGTCGCCTTTTCTCACTGTCCAGCGGAGTCATGGTACTGGGTGTATCCGAGGCAAAATTAAGGAAAGGATGAGGATCATTCAACGAGTGCAGGGAGTGAAAAGCAAAGAGAAATAAATGGTAATGTCCATATGCAGAGAATGTCCTTAAATAGATTCACAGAATGAACATTTGACGTTGAGCATGTTGCGGAAAATAGCGGCTGTCAATGACATCAGCTAAAGGCACCGAAATTCAACGCCAACACTTACGTATAGCGATCAACGCGACGAATGTGGCGAGTACGAGGATATACACAATCGTGTACTTGATCACTATGTACCGGCGGCTCTTCTTCTGCTTGAGGGAGTATAAAGGTGCCCGAATCTGCTTGGATGGCCGCAGCCAGAAGAGCACTGTGACAAATCTTAGTCGCAGGATTAGCAAGTGATATCCACAACACGTACTTGTGGAATGCAGACGATCCACGAACGGAATCACCATAGGAACGGAGCACATGAAGAGCAGAACATGACCAAGCAAGAAGTCACCGCTCCAGAGGGACAGTTCCACAATCTTGACTATGAACTCTCTTGCCGGCTGGGACATGATGTGGTGACCGAGGCCACGCCCATACCATTTACCGGTCCACCATGCCCTGTTCGTCTCGTCGTTCTTGAACTCACGGCTGATGAAGACAGAGATGAGGGTCTTGTGAATGGCACGCTCGATGAAGATTACAGCGAGGAGACCAAGAACAGCATGTGATACGTCCCAAGATTCCAGGAACCAAAGGAACTCGAAGAACCCGATCATGCCTACAGCTCGAGTCAGCGGTCGCAGTACAAAAGGTATTGGGCAAACTTACCGAAAAGAGCCAAAAAGTGAGCAGTGGCAGCCATTACTGCCCCAAACTTGACGCAGGCACCACCAAGTACCGGGCCCAAAAACAGTGATACGAGGAACAGCACGATGAGAACAGCCATGTTCCAGACAATTGGGCCTAACGACACTATCGCAATACGAACAATCGGATTTGCGGATAGGCCAGTCTTGGGATCAGGGAATGACTTGACGAACATATAGGCAATGATGAACAGGACGGCCATGATCCAAGGGAAGATAATCTCGGAGAACAGGACGGCCCGCCAAGAAGCTCGTGGTACATCACCACCGGTGAGCGGTTCTGAGCGCTGACCCAAGCGTTTCTTTTTGTAACCAGTAATCATGGTACGACTGAGCCGGCAGTATCCGATCCAAGAGTTCGTGTGTTGCTTTGAGTTACCCCGAGACATCCAACGCAGATACTCGCGATAGTCAATAACGAAATCGGCAAACGAGAACTGATGGGGGTTGAACAAGAACGGAGCGATGCAGAGGGCCAGAATCGAGAGCCAGAAGTATATCAAGTGCGGCATCCAGATCGACAATGTCGCATAAAGCAGCATGAGCAATGCACGTGCCCCTAAGTAGATACTGGGTCCAGCGAAACGAGAGTAGAGAATGCTGAAGGAGATCCGCGTTGTGGCGAAACCACGGCCCGTAGCGATGTAACGAGCACCACCAAATGTCAAGTTGCTCAGAATTGAGTGACAGTATATCTGCGTGGAGAACACTTCGAACAGCGGGGAAAGCGACAGGAAGTGTTTGCCCAGACGAAGCAGAGCGCGACCCGTACCACGCTCGGTCAGTTCTGTTACATTATGAGCATGTGATCGACATAAAAGCACGATATACTGACCTTGTAAGAACAGCGGAAAGAAGGCGATGAAGAAGACGAGGAAGATACTGATGATGCAGTGCTGAATCCAGAGGAACGTTGGGATAAGGTTGTAGCAACCGGGTTGACCACCAAGAACATCGCCGTTTGCGTTTGTTTGGCAAACGGTCAGCTGCTTGTTGAGAGTTCCCAGGAAAACCACTGTCATTATATCTCAGCCACTGCATCAGGAAGATATACGATAGCGAACTTACGAGCAACCATGAACATCTGCACCGACGCAATGACAAGAATGTTGTTAATGTGGAAACCAGGATGTCCATAGTAGAACGTAAGGAACCTATCAATCGGCAGCTGCGTACCGAGATAGTAGTATTCTCTGGACAGCATCTGTTCACCCATACCCGTTCCGATTTTGGTCTGGAAATTGAGAATAGTGCCAAAGCCGAGATCACGGCCCTTGCCACACTGGTAATATTCGGTGTGTTTGATCCTTCCACCACGTCCGAATGCATTCATGCCGGCATAAATATCTTCGTTCAAGTGCAAGCCTTTCTGCGCCTTGGATACACCACCACGTGTATTCATGAATATAGCGTTCAGGAAATCAGGATGACCATAATGCAGTTTGCCTCCAATCCAGGAAAGCGCCCTAGCCGCGAGAGTCCCAAATGTCTGTTCCTTGCCAGCAGCAACATCACCCAAGATCCCGATGTTCTCGGAAAAGATGTATTCGCGAGCGCCGACGATAGCGACAGGTGGTTTAATGAACTCCTTGGAACCCCAGTGTGCATAAGGTGATTGGCTGGACAGACTGTATTCCTCGAACTCGCCGAGCACGTTACGGATCTTCAGACATTCCTCGAGATAGTTGTCCTGGTTGGCATCGATCAGCTGGAGATACTCGCCACGGTAGAAGATGATTGCGTGGTTCTGGTTATCAGACTTCCCGTCACCTAGAATGGGGTTGCCTGGTAGCTCGACGCGGAACTTGGGGCGACGTTTGCCAGTCTCCGGGATGATCTCCGAGTACCCATCAATCAAAGCAGAAAATAGACGAGGCTCCCCGCCCTCTTTGCCAGGGGACTCTTCATCCAAGTAGGCGATTTGCAAGTCAGGGTATGCACGCAAGAGAAATTCCGCGTTCGCAAGCTCTTCGGCCGTGAACTTGTTGTAACGCTGCATGGAAACGACCATCTTGAACTTGCGACGAGCCATACGCTCCAACTCGCGCTCGAGTTTGTCGGTATTACCACCGAACAACTGGACGACTTCGGGATTCTCAACACGGTAGAGGAGCTTGATCGCCTTTGAGTAGTTCATGAAGCCTGAAACAGTGCGGTATAACGTCTGAGCACGTAGAGAGGCCCAGATACGCGTCCGAAGAGTGAATTCAGGGGCCGCAGACTTGAAGCCAATGCAATAGAAAGGTAAGTCATCCGCCTTGTTCGTGATCGACTTTTCGTCTCCGTTGACGCCAAATGGATTGCTGGCAGTACCGTTGAAAGCAGCTGCCTCTTCCGCGAGGATCTTGGTATCCTTGACGAAGTTGTCCCATTCAATCGGATGCAGTTGCTTGAGATATTCGAGCAAGGTAACCCTGGTGTTCTGATCTTCCTCACGAATGATCTCACGAAGAGAGAGCAAGATCTTCTCCGAGTAATGAGGAGTTAGGACGGTGAATGTCGGCATGGCGTCCACAGGAAGAGGCTCAGGAATAGCCGTCGTAAGCGACTGTGCGAAGAACGAGATGCGACGTTCGGCTTCGGATCCGGGAGGGAAGAACTCTCCCTTGTATGTCCTGTCACCCTGAGAAATGAAGAAGGGAGGTGCACGGAGTGTGCGACGACCATCCTGGTCAGACTGAACTTGATGGTATAAAAGCTTCTGTACGTGGTCGATAGAGAGCAAATGCTCGCGGTACATCGATATAATGACGGCATTCCAGATTTGCGAAACCAGCACCTTGGGCTTGTACTTGACTTCCATATCGGCTGTCGCGAGCAACTTGGCATATATTCGCTTTGGCAATCGCATGTAGATGTCCTTCCACGGTGTCCAGATGGAGAGGCCGAGGGCGAAAGAACGACCAATAGAGAACACAGTATACCAGATAACGTACCACAGGAATGTGTCGAGGAAGAACAATGTCAAGTCCATGAGGAACATGATGGTGAGTGTGAATGCGGCTTGATTCGAGCACAGTGCAGCACCAAAATACTTCTCTGAACACCGCTGAACCCTCATACCCACGAGAACGAGCACGGGTTCCCGGAAGGATTGAGTGAGGAAGAAGTACGATTCAGTTGCCTTGCAGCCGAAAACGAGGACCCACAGTCCGAGACTTGCGGTCCGGGCCTTCACATCCAGCTTAGGGTAAGAAGCGGTGAAGGTTTGGGATGCCAGATACTTCCTGTTCTTGCCTGCTACGCGATCACCAAACATCCGACCGGAGGGCATGATAGCAAAGAGCACAGTAGCGGACACTGAGGCGCAAAATTGAACAATGCCCAGAATGAGCGCCACCTGGGATGTGCGATCAAAGCCTGCGATGTAAACGGTAGGACCAGCTGTTATTCCGAGTGTTACGAGGAGGAAAAGGAGGCGACGGGTAAGATGCGAGGTGTTGTTCCATGTTGTGGGTATGAAAGAGAATTCGGCCAGCGTCGCAAGTATCATAATGATCGTCGAAACTGCACCACCCAGGGCGGTGCATGACCAGGTCATAGGTGCGGTAGGGGTTGTAGTGCCTGGTTGTGCGTAGATGGTAGGCGCATTGTAGGCGGTATAATACCAGAAGAGAGAGATATGGATAACCCATATGCGGTTGAAGTCGACAAGTAATTGAAGGAACGAACGCTTCTCGTAGAAAGTCTTGAAGAATACACGGTTCCAATCGATTTTATCAAACTTCATGAAGCGCTTGGCGGGTGGCAGATCAACCAGTCGTGTCTATGTACTTTCAGCATCAAAACAACACTTAAAAAGAACAGAGGAGACAAACCTTGTCGGTGAGCACGATGCGAGCAATCCCTTCCGGGTACCAGAAAAGCTGATTGACATCATCATAACCGATGATGTGCTCATGGTCCTTTTCCTTCCTAACGAACTTGCCTTCAACGACCTCGTACCCTTGATCCCTGAAGAAGCGGTACAGCGGCTTGACGACAGCACGGAGATACAAGCCTTCAGGGACAGGTTCAACGCGATTCTGGCACTCGGGCGATCGGTAATAGTCATCCGCGCACTTGAAAATGAAGCACAAGCATTCCGCGACGAACCGTACGTGGGCAGCTTCACCCCAGCAGAGCAAGAACAAGGCGAGCTGTCGCAGCCTGTCATATTGGGACATGGCGTTCATAGCCTCACGCCAGCGGTTGAGCGCGGTGTGCAAGCTCTTTTCGCTGGCCGTTTTGGGTTGACTGCGAGTCGGCCCACCACCTCGCATGCTACGCATACGGGTGAGGGTGCTGGGGTTCTGCGAGCTGCCGACAGCATCGTCTAGGTCGAGCTGAGCAGCGAAATACCACTTTCGATAGTTTGCGTGTTGGCCTCCGATGTAGTCGGCGTGGAGGGTGAGCAGCGCCTGGTTCGGGGACATTCGACTGGCACGAGAATCAAGTTGCGTCATCAGAAAATCGAACATATTGCGCATCGAATCACGCTGGAAACCAAACTTCTGCGTAAGGTCGAGGAATATGTCTTCGATCTCTTCCTTGGATAAGGGAATTTGACGTCCTGGAGACCATGCCGGGTAAGGTTCACGCGCGCCTTGCGGGACGTAATCTGTGAAGGTCTGTGTTGAGCTTTCCGACGTCGCCATGCGTGGCGGCATCAGCGACTCCGCTGACGGAGTATAGCGCTGTCCGTACACATCGGCTTCGCTGACGGAATCGCCGTCGCGCGGTTGGGCTGTCGACATCCAATAATGGCCGCAAGAAAAATAATGCAAAGATCAGACACAGTGGATTACAATGGAGGAGGTTGAGACGCACCATATGAATCGTACGGAGCGCTTTGGTCGTAGTAAGCACCATTTTGACCTAATAAATTCGCTAATCAGACTTGGGCCCGTGCGGATGGACATCGCTGCTTACTCGCGTCGTCGTCGTAGTAACGCTGCCCCTGAGGCTGACCGCTGGGGGTAGAGAAGGGGTCCCGAGGATCTGGCGGCGGTGCGTACGGTGCATTATAAGAGTTTGGTGCTGGAGGGCGGGACATTGTTGAGGGAGGTTGTACAGAACACGGGAATGAAGTAGACCGTCCGCGCCCCTTGTGCAACGTGTTGCTGTGAAGGGAAAGACGAACGGGAGGATATAAAGATAACGAAGGAAAGGATGTCTATAGCAGGACAGCAGGATGAGAGGATGGTGGTGGGTGATAGGAGAAGGATCGTCGTCGTTGGCGTGCGCTGCAAAGGCAAAGGCCTTGTTGGCAGCTTCGGACTATCCAAGGGCGGTGGGGCGCGAAGAGAAGGCAACACAACCACACCGTTACCGTCCTGTGCCAGACCCGCGTGTCGGACCCAAATCTCATCTCCCTTTTCTCAAAGGGTCTGCCGTTAGTCCCGTCCATCGACTCTCGTCGACCTTATTATTATCATCTGCAGTTTGATCACTCATCAATACATTCTATTATATATGTCTTTTTCTTCTTCTTTTTTTTCTTTTGCGATGTGACCCCTAATAGTAACAATATCATCCAGCCACAGCAGACCTGCCACTTGTGCACATGCAAGGAATCCATCTCCGTGGTAGTGATGACGCCACGCCGCAACCCTTCGCGATACACGGAATCCACCCTTTGATAATTTGTATATCCGTTCCAGACAACACATCCAATCCCGCACAGCGAGGATTGGCCCGCACTTTATCCAGCACCATCCAAGTTAATGACATGCCCATTATGTACTTTACATAGAATGTACAATAGCGAAATCTCGCTCCTCGTCAAAAGACAGTGTTGCGGTTTTACCATGCACCCCTGTTCATTCTTCCCGCAAACAACCACCTGGCAACAAGAACCTGAACTTTTCAAAGTTATCAAGGAGATAGCGTGGGACGCCAATCGCTGATTTTGCTCTGTCCGTGGTATGAGTACACACGAAACGATTATTTAGAATTACATACGGATCAGGTTGCATGGCATTGTAGAGGTCCTTGAACTAGACAAAACGTCATCAAACTGAAGACTCCCATCCAGGAGGTTGCTTACTCTGTAGGCCTCGGGCAACATATTGAAGATATCGGTTCCCTCACAGATAATTCTCTGTATATGGGCAGGAAGTAGCAGTGCACGATTCCCTCTTAGCCGATCAGCGTGGGAGAAACCTGATGTACATTCAACAAGAAACAACAACGCGTTAGACTTCGCCAAACCTTGCATTTTCTCTGCGAATTCCCCGATTGTGCGGAAACAATAGCTATGCAGTGTTACCCACGCATGCGCACAACTTTTGGCTCACACAATCGTACCTGCAGTGAAACCCAGTATCTGCCAACGCAACATTCGTTGACAACGAGTGCCGGTAATACGTCGTCTGTCGATCCCAGAGATGAACCTGAGCTCGCCAACTTCGGAATCCCAGCGGCCATTCTAATGAATACAGGTATTCCTGCATCTGAAGATGAAGAGGGCTCGGTGCTTGACATGCTTGCACAAGCCGGATCGAGTGAGCTGAGGGTATCTCATCTACATCAGAGAAGATGACAAGTGGCATTGGTCCGTTCCTCGGGAGATGAGAGATTAGCAGTTGAGTCATATGTGCTCGTTGGGCATTCTCAAAAGTGAATGGATCCGGTGGATGTGGTTGCATACCAGGAAATTTTGAATAGCTGATTCTGTCATCGAAAGAGGAGAAACGCGCCCGGTTGCCCTCGAAATGCATGGCTTTCGGGAGTCCGGTAAATGTGCCTGTTCCAAGGTGAGCCGTGTTCGCCAACCTTCGCAGTCGACTCAACTGTTGGACTCGACAAGAAAGAATCTGTCGACAATGCCCAAAAGTTCGTGCATGCGAACTTCCAAAAGGTCGAGCTCGGTGCTGACCATGACAGCATCCCAAACGGGAGGTAAGGGATATGGGCGCGCGGTCCATCCGTGCAACTTGCACAAGCCCTCGTCGAATTCAACGCCCTCGGCATAGAAGTGATGTATAATTTCCTTGGGCCCATCCGGGGCATCCCACAGTGGGCGGGTTCCATAAGAAAAAGTATCCCATATTTTTCGTCTGACCAGATATCAGTCCAACAATGCATCAGGACCAAACGATGCTGAAAGGCCCACGCATTCAGAAACAGCCAGAGAACCGTGAGAGCAAGCACGATCAAACCCACCGTAGGTGGGCAGACCGCAAAGACACGCTTTGGTGATATCCATCGAGCCATACAGACAATGTAAGACGTCAGTTAGATAGAACAATATGGAGAAACCCGCGCAATTCCCTGGAGGAGTTGAAGAGGGTCTGCACATGAAACGCAAGGAAGTCATTTGCACCGGAATCTCCAGGGGCTTCAGTTATTGTGTCATGCCCGTGTATCAAATGGATACTTCAGTTTTTTTTTTGGGGGGGCCAATTACTGTGTCATGTCCGCAAGGGATTATATTATTGGGGCACTGTACTATACATAGCATGCATATGGCTGGGCAAATAGTGTTCTTCATTTAAGTACTTGTCAACATCGAAACGGACCCTTTCGAAGACACGCGCGGATTCTCGAGCTCAGCGCTCAAACGGACATGGGATGACAGTGGCAACAGGCACATCGCTTCTTGGTCACGTATTTACACGAGGTTGGCCGACTTGCCTTTCTGTTTATGCAACTTCTCTTATCTAAAATAATTGTATGTGTTGAGGACAAGACTACAACAAGCCGCGGTCCAGCGAGCACGAGCTCCGCATTTATATATAGTTGTCTCCTCCAATGTTTTCGGACTCGTGAGGGCGGAAGAGGGCTTGGTTGGGCTGTATAGTGATATAATACCACACCTTACGCGCTCCGTTCCATCGGCGATCATCACCTTTGGAATGTGTGAGTGTGTCTTGCGCCTGCTCAGTCATGATGTACAGAGTTAAGATCATAAGGGTATGTATGTAGTTGCTCGAAGTAATCAACCTGCTCGCAAAACCTTTGCACTGCAGTACGGAGAGAGCAACATGAATGGCTGCAACTCAATGGCCTTGAGCTGAAGAACATGAAACCGCCTCCCAATCCTCACTTGTTCCCATCGCCGATCCGCTGGAGCTGTCTAGTGAACTCTCTCTCATGTCTGCTGAAGACACTCCTTCCCTGATACCTGAGGTTCTCAAATGTTCCTCTCCCTCTGCACGATGGCGTTTGACAAGGGACCTGGCATACTCCATATCCCTGTAAAGCGCTTCAATAGCGTTCGCAACACCATGTTCCTTTGCCCTTGTTAAGTACTGACTCCATGCAACTGCTCCAAAGAGCTTACCGCACAAATCTTCTGGCCAACTAGTTTAGCTCGAGCGATTTGTTTTTCGTCAGTAGTGGCATTGCGCAGTGCGTCCGTAAGGCTGTCCACGGTAAGCTTACGAACACTGGAGCCAATACCCAAGGCTTCGACACGATCTGCCCAGAAGAATTGGTCCCCGAAGAAAGGCTTGATAATGGTAGGAATCCCAGCTAGACTTAGAGTGAGAATCCAAACAAGGCAGAGCAAGAACACCATACCACGTAAGCTAGCACCTGTTGTACCCGCTCCACCGTGATGACAGGCAGCGTCGATTCGTGCAAACAGCCAGTCGTGTGGAATAGAAGCGATTGGATAGATGGTTGACGGTAGTTTGGCGTGCTCTTTCTCAAGAGCCTTTGGATCTTTCTTGGACGAAAGTCTATCCGACCACCCTTTGGACAGAATGGCACGAACACCGCTTTGCTCGATGGCTTGTATCACACATTGAGTCATTGCGTCGGGATCTGAGACCACAATGCTGCCGAACCCGATATAAACTAGTTTTCGACCTTCAGCTCGTGCAGAATTGATGAATTGGACGAGATCGTCAGGAGGTGTCCACTTTTTTGCTTGAGAATTGTCGGGGTCATCCAGGAACCAGTATCCTGCATTCGCGTTAGGGGGAGTGAAGAACTTCTTGAGTTTTATTGGCCTACCGGTGACTCGAATCCATTCATACCAGTCCAGTGGGGGGGGGACAATAGAAGGACTGAAGTTATATAAGAACGGGACCTTGTGCTGCTCAAGTTTGTCAATATTGGTCGAATCAATATTCAAGGTGTTGCGACGCCAGCGGTTGACCTGGCCTGCAATGGCTCTCCAGAAGACTTGATCGAACATAACATAGGTCTGAATGCTTTCCAGTTAGGGTAGGTGTGTGATGCGGCTTTCTATCTCACCATGTAGTTGTATGATCCCCCCATCTATCTCACATCAGCATCAAATGGCCTAAATTTCAAAGCACGCTCACCTTGCGTTCAGGGACCGCAAATGCATGAGGATACGCTCTTGTGCGACTCCATGGCATCGTAAATGCGCGGAAGTAGGGGATTCCCAGAGCCTCCGCTATATGAATACCAGCCATAGCGCTTGGGCTTTCAACCAATACATCACTCCCCTGGCAAGCTTCCCAAGACGTTTTCAACAAGTCATCAATCCATCCTCGGAACTGTGAATATGGTTTAATTTCACAACCGCGATGAGGGGTCTGTGCGTACTTTTTGAAGCCCTTCCTTCATGAAAGAAAATGTGAACATGCCGTTTTCAACACAGATCCTCATGAGTTCAGCGGGATCACCTCCAACGTATGCATGTTCAATGCCGTGCTGTCAAACTATCACTTATTGCGATACGATCCTTTCATAGTTGAGCTTACACCTTCGACCCACGCCTTGAACTCCCCGTGAGTAGCAATCCGCACATGATGTCCATCGGCTTGCAAACCCTTGGCAAGCGCAATATATGGTTGGACATCGCCTCGTGATCCAATCGTCAAGAATGTGAACCGCAGAGGTTCTTGCGGTTTGAACGTCAAGAACGTTGAGGAAGTGGATGTAAACATAACGGCGGGAGCGACCTCCTGCCCCGCATCTAGACGCGGAATTTCGGATTCCAAAGCAGGCGTGGACGGTTCAAGGTCTTCAAGTATATCGGACTCCTTCTGCGACTGTGTCGGTGCAGATGGACCGATCAACTCTTTCTGCCGTACTACATCCATCTGAGATTCCAGGAGCCTGATGCAGGCATCCCGCCGGTCAGCGGAGCTGAACTCCAGGAACAACTCTTCGTGCCCCTTGATAATCACGGCAAGACCGTGATATGTCAGAGTAAATGCCCTCTGCTTCTCAGCGGAAATGATGTCTCTGATGGGAATGATCATCTCCGGCATAGTTTAGCACGTTCCTGGACAGAGCAAAAAACAACTCACTCGTGTTTTGGTCAAGGGCTGCGTCGATCGGAAACAGAAGTGATTGGTAGATATATAAACTCGTCCAAAGATCGGCAGAACACGTAACAACGAACCAGGTATGTCTGCGCCAAGCAATGAGCAAGCGTCGAATTGATCAGAATGTGGACACCAACAGCCAATCAAGCCCTCCTTTTCATCCAGAGCAAAGGTCGTACGGAACTTTTCAGCCACAACTGGATCAAAAACATATGGCACGTCTGTCCCGTCAAGAAGAGAGAATCCCATGTTGTTTGAGCCTTCCCTATCCTCATCATCCGAAGCGTGATCCGAAAGAATTACACTGTGCGGCAAGGATGAAGAATCACCGCCACTTTGTGTAGCTGAAAAGAGGCGGGACGAGCCTCTCAACCACTGTGGAACACTCCAGCCCGTGCTGCTCGGATCTTGTTGAGCCTGCAGAGTCTGATAATGTTGACCAGGAGAGGAGTTCCAGGAAGGAGGATAAATGTGCGGAAGCCCCACTTCTGGGAAGGAGCTTGTGTGCGGTCCGGCTTCTGAGCTGGTTGTTAGCGGGCGGAAAAGTCCAGGTTTCAGCGTGCGAGAGTCGTCTTGCAACGGGGCAGGAGAGGCTACCAATTCTTGGGAACTAATCCGACTAACTCCAAAATCATTTATGTGATCCGGAGCAGATTCCGTACGAGCAGGAAGTCCGAGAACCTGTGAATAACTAGTGAAGGGTCGCAACAAAGATGTCAGGCGGAAAGTTGTTGAGCGCGGATCGCTCTGAATGGGCCTGTCAGGTGCACCGATGGATGACACAACGCCTGCTGAAGTTGTGTCGTGCAGCATGCCCAACTTTGCAGCCGGATCTGTGACAGCCCGTCTATGTTGTTGTATGATGGTCTGGATTTGCTCGAGTGCGCGGTCAAGATCGTGGAAATAGGCGAAAAAATAAGAGTCGAGAGAGTAGTTCTCGTCCTTTTCATCTCGATCGTAAACCTTCACCTCAACAGTTTCAGTGAAGTCCATTGAAGAATTCTTGTCAGCATCAACGATGAGATTGAACGGTATCGCAATCTACGAATTGTGAGAGAGAGCAATCATCTCTATTGTAGCCAAGCGCACCTTCACGCTTTCCCCGGTGTTCTGCGCTCGGAACATGACCTTTCGCACTGCTTTAACCCACTCGTCTCGACTGGGGATTGAATCCGCCATTAGATTAACACTTCTTTGATTGGTCCGCATTCTCAATCCCCTTTCCCCTATAGGTTCGCAGGAGATAGCATATTTCAAATCCAGATTGCCATGGGGAAAATAGGGATCCTATAGACATTGGTAAGGTAGTTCACATACATACGTAAGATGATACTCACAGCACTGGACTGGTACCAACTCAGCACATCGTTCTTGAGGATAAACCAGTACTTATTCCATCGCTTTGTACGGCCACCGCGCTTACTAAGTGTACCAGATTTGAGGACTTGATCCTACAGGTATCCTCATCAGCTAGACAATATAGAAAGGGCTCTTATCCTACCTCATCGGTAGGAAGATGGGCAAAGAAGCAAAGGTGGGCATTTGTTAGATACATGTACCCTTGCAGGACTACCCCTTATGTCAGCAATGCGAGCAGACGCAAGTCCATCTAATGCTTACGGATAGATCGTAACAACCAGCATGGCATCTCCGCCAAAACCTCCTCGATATCACTTAATCCGAACACATCCCTCAACTTGGCGGCAAGTTTTCCCCTCCTCTGCAGCTTTACCGTGGCTAGACTCTGTGTGCGGATATTCAACGGTCGAGTAGCCGTACTTGGGGCAGGGGCGGGAACAGGGTCAAAATCTTCTGTTTCTTCCATTTCGTCCGGAGAGTCCTGTTCTTCATCAGTTTCTATATGGCCGGTGCTTGAGATGATGGGAGAAGGTTGCTGTGTGCCCGTTAGACGTCGCATACGAGCCACAGGCCGATGGATGGTGTGGATGGAGGATGTCATGGTAAAGTTGCCTTTATTTGAATGTGAGCAGGTTGAAGCAGATAGAGCGACAAATACTTACCCTCTGGTTCGGTATCTTCAGGATCTGAGGCGATATTTTCCGGGAAGCCATCCTCATTTCCATCTTCGTCAGCCCATGGAATGGCTTGAAGGGCTTGGATGAGCGTCTGAGTGCCAGCGCGCAGTGTTCCATCTCCTCTAAATGCACTAATAGATGGTCTGGTGGGTCTTATCCTATCTGAGGAGCCGCCTGCGGAAGGTGGACGGGAAGCGCCCTGCTTCAGATCGAGGGCAGTCGCCATGGGCGCTGCTACAACGGAGTCGTAAAGAACGTTCTGGAGAGCCGGTGAATGACCTGATAGGACAAATATTAGGACTATATTTGTTTTAGTGCTATCGCACGCACTTTCTCGCCTCTGGCTTGCAGTGATACTGGATGAGGAGGAGGAAGGGTCGTCTCGATCTCTCCTCCTTAGGAAATCAGAAGGGCTCTTGCGCAGCTTCTCCAAACCATGACCAATCGAGGAGGTCGAACGACTGAGCTTGTCTATGCTTCGTCCAAGAAGGCTCTTAGAGCGTCCAAAGTCTACATGGCTATCATGTAGTCCAAGCGTATGTGGCCTGGTTGGAATCGTTGTCCCGGATATGGGATTCTGCAAGGGAGGACGAGGTAAGCTATCATCAGACATCATGGACGCAGGTCTCAAGGCCAATGTGCGAGGGGAACGAGTTTCACAGCAAGAAAATAGTCAAAGCGACGGCGATTGCGGACAAGGGCACTGTAAGGAGTGAGGTGACTGCGACTGGTGTACATGCACTGAGCCATCAGAGGTGACCAACACACATGTCAGTGACTCGCGCCACATCGGGCGTTTTGCGCATGCCAATATGACCGCTCACTCCTAAGACTGCCCAACTAGAGGTGGTTTTGTAAAGAATAGGTGGAACTCAGAATAACTCTACAAGTGACACAGGGGGATATCTATAGGAGCTTCAGCCTGCCCGTCACCTGATTTACTAATCTAACAGGCGCTGAAAAGAGTCGTAAGCATGGTATTCATACTGCAGCTGGCAAAGCGAATGTGCCTCACCGGGACCGATACCAAGAACTGTACGAGAACCAGACGCTATCTGGGTTCGTCCCCTGCAAGGTTTGTCAGAAGGGATGTCCTTGATATTGAGAAGTCACTTACGCATCCTGAATGGTTCGTGCGCAAAGGCTCAGACTCTGGGCTTGAGCCTGTAGCAAAAGTAATTCTTCCTCAGAGTCACACCTAAGTGCAATTTTAGCTTGCCTAAATCATCGATTCAACCCTGCTTCGTCCGCATATGTATTACTTACCCCGTTTTCTCCCAGTGACGCAGGAGCTAGTGGTGCAGATTGAGTCCAAATTGTATAAACGTACTGTAAATGCCACTCACTTGTGCATTGCTTTTAGAAAGAGCCTTGTAGCAGGCCAATGTCGCATGTCTAAAATAATCAGCGTAGTCTTACAGTAATGGTAGCCTTCACACACGAGCATTGAGCTGCGATCTTGCCCTTCGTCATTCCGAGGTCCGACCGAACCACCAAAACCTACATACATATAATTAGCATCACCGAATCTATTTTCACGCTATTCCTTCACTAATTTGCATTCCTCCATGATTCCGGGCTTGACGGCAGCGAGATCTTCATCCCCAATATCATCATCGCTCACACTAGCTGACTCATTTTCGTCCTCCAGAACGTCACATTGTGATTTTGACGAATGATCGATTTTGACTTGTGAGAGTCTTTGTCGGGATCCGAGTAAGTAGCCAACTGTACCAGCAGCCACAGCGACACTCGCATATGCAGCGACCGGATTCCACGAGCCACCACTCGCGAATGACATGCTATAGGCCACTTGCAAGATTGATAGGTAGTACACAAGTATGATAAGGGACTAGTATTACAGCACGCGTCCCACCCGTCACTCACTGCCGCTATCAGAATCCGATTCAGTATCCACAGTCCCGTCAACATCTAGAGCAGGGGAATGATTCACTGGTGTTGTCTTCCTTTAATTGAGGAACTAACCGATAACATATTCCGGATCCTTATCATCGTAGATGTCGCCAGAGGGTTGTGACACACTGTTCGAGTCTGACAGGATTGACTGTTGTTGCGAAGGCATGTAGTCTGAATCATATCCATTGTCCAGAGATGCAACTGGAGAGCCAGATATACCCTGTGATGCCACGGGGGAGGAACGCAGCTTGGATGGTGCCTTCGGGACAGAATTCGCATAGTGGCCTGGCAGCAAAGCGGCGATGCCCTATGGAGACGAGGCTCATAAATCAACGACAGAGGTACGAGAATGATTGGTGGGTGATTTACATTTGATTTCGGTTGAGGTGTCGTTCTCCCTAGGAAAGGATCGGCTGGGAACGGCAAATCCATGCATATGACTTACTTGATTCGGTTTTCGGTCGTTTTGTGTCTCTCAGTGACATTTCGGACGGAGATCGGTTCTGAACTTCCTTCAACACCAGGGTTTGCAGGATTGCATCGCGTGTCCTCACCCTTTTGGTTGTCTTTGGTCCTGATGGTGTGGCCTCCCGCTCTTCGCTAAATACTTGAGGCGACGCACTCCTAGTGCCTTCAGAATCAACGCTAGGAAACAGTCAAGTTGCGTGATAAATTAATAGCACTATGGACTTACCGCTTTGATGCATTCCTCGGTTGGCCACGCCGCGAGCCGACGTTGAGACCCATGCAGGAAGCGAGATGAGGGGCGTATCGATTGAAAGCGATCTGGACGGAGGATTAGTGCATAATAAGGAATTGGTACCAAATACTTCCTTACAGGTCGCTTGCAGTTCAAACAATCCAACAGTGTGGCATCCTGTTTCTGGATTCCGACGGCAGAGCCGTTGGTCTGAGAAACAGCAGCATCATCTGTCATAGTCTGACTCGAGGATGCGGAGGCCGGCGCGGCGCTAGGCAACATCGTCAGTGAGAGAAGCAAGGGAGGATGGGTCATGGAATCTACCCAGTAGGGGGAGTGTCCTGAAGTGGCTCACTGATTTGACACTGCCATTAATCGCGTGCAATCCTAAATGGCGAGATGTATACTCACAGTGATGAACAGGCCTGTTCTTTCGCTTGTCGTTTCCTGCACTCCTTGTGGGCAAGCAATGCCGTGTCCATCATCAAGTCATTCAGCATAGCAGTGAAGAGTTTTTCAGCCTGCCCAAGGAGTTGTCAGAGGATAGAGAAGCTGCCGAGCTGGTGAACAAACAATTGCCTGCTTCAGTTCTTCCCCAGGTATGTCTGCCATAATTTGTGATCTATGTATGTCCACCGCCAAAAGAGTGTGTACTGTCGAGGTTGAAGAGTCACTGCCACAAGGGATTTCGGAGAACATGTTGTCTCCAATACACAAAGTGACTGCGCTTGATTCATCGTCTCTATATTGTGGAAATTATGGCAATGGATGCTGATTACGTTTTGAGGTAAATAGTTTGTTCCAAGTGAGAACCTATCCGAAATTCGGAAATATGGACGTTCTGAGGGGCTGGACGTCTCCGGCATTAGGGGCTTGGTACGAATAAGTACAAGAACGAGGTATCATGGAGTATCGTAGAGAAGCGTGCTATTTTAAGCGATATTCATGAATAAAAAGAGCAAGAACATTCATTTTGTCATGCGAGAGACGATGAAGACGCCAATAATGGCGATAGCCAGAGCGCCCACGCTGGCGGGAAGTAGTAAATCTCGAGGAATTCCAAAGACCTTGTCCTCCGTGATCCCTAAACCAGGGGTTGGCACCACGGGCATCAGCTCGACATCTGGCTTCTGCAGCTCTTTGACAACCTCCATTGCAGCTTGGGCCTGAGCTTTTGCTTCCTTCTCGCCTTCAGCAGAACTCGATTCCCAGCCATGGCCGCCCTGAATGATCAGTAGTACACGATCTTGCTTGCTGGAGCGCGCTTCCCGAACAGCATCCGCCACGTCATTGTCTGCGGAAATGGTGACTGAATCTCCTTCACTATCCATGTACATGATAGTGAAATCCTCGTGGTTTGGCATCGTCAGCTGCTCGTCATCGCTAGTCGATGTTTTTCGCAAAAAGAAGGGGTCCAGCGCCAGCTTTCTTGAGACGATGTCTCTCAGATTCTCGTAACCATCATGCCTTGCCTGGAATCGATGGGTTCTGCCACTGGGAGTTCGGAACTTGAAGACGTACGTGCCGTCCTCCACATGTGCATCAGCTGGCATCATCGCAGAAGCGGCACCGTTCTGAGTGGGCTGATCATCGTCAACCACGGATGCAGAGTCATGCGGATAGACTTCCGAGATGGTAATGGAACGATGCATGTTTGACACGAGAGGGGGTGAACGCGGCAATCCAGGCGACGTGGGCTCTCCCTGAATATTGGACCCGGACATCACAGATTCGTTGTCGTCATGTGCAATGGAATCGAAGAACTTGCCCCACATTGGCCCGGTATGCTGTTCCTCGCCGTCAGTTTGTGCAGACATGGCGGTCATCTAAAAGGTATCAGACGGTAATATTGGCACAGTTGATGATAAACTTGCTTGTTCCAACGTCGCATATGTGAGCTTCAGAACGTCTACGATAGCGACAAGCCGGCCATCTTCCTCGACAACAGGCAGGTTGAGGTAATGCCCAGCTTAGAAAGCATCAGTATAATGAATCGATGGGTTGCAAAGACTCGACTTACTGTACATTTTCTTAAGGGCATCGTGTATAGTCATCGTAGGTGGAGCAACGTCGGGGTGCGGGGTCATCACTCTGACAACACTGCAACGATTGGGCTCCAGACCGGCCGCGATAACGCGTAAGACAACATCCTTGCTGGTAAAGATGCCGACAATCTTGGGTGGTGATGTGGCACCAGTATTCTCCATCACACAAACAGACGTGGTACGGCTCTCCTTCATGAGCTTAGCTGCCTCGCGTACGGTCGTTTTGGGTGAAACCATTGCCGGTCTGGTACGCGCATCCATGACACTGGTCAAATCGGGGAGAGCCGTCTTGTCCCGCAGTGCTTCAACATAGGCAAGCATCGCGGCAGCTTGAGGGTTCGCCGAAATATTGTCACCCAGCTCAGATTGAACGCCTTCAAGAGCGCTGTAGAGCTTCTGAGAGGCTGACGAGCCTCGTTCAACTTTATCCAGGGCCTCATGGAACACTTTTGTGATATCCAAAAGACCTACCACGTTACCATCTTCATTGCATACAGGCTGCATAGAAGATTTGTCAAAAGCACAGACGGCAGAATGAGAGCCATACCAAATGACGGAAGCCACGGGAAACCATGAGCTGCAGTGCGTCAGTCGCACTAGTGGTATCCCGCGTGACCATCGGGCTACGAGTCATAATCGTGCTGACCGGAGTCGTGCGAGGATCCAATCCTTCGGCCGTCACCTTGCCGAAAGTCAATTTAAGGAGGCACGGCACTTCTACGGCACTTACACGAAAAGCCAGATCTTTGGCTGTGAAGATACCACTCAGACCCTCGTCATCGTCGACAACTAAGACGCAATCCGTGCGTTTCGCAGCACACAGTTGACTAGCGTCGGAGACGGTTATGCTTTCAGGCACTGTCAGGGCTGGGCTGGGCTTGAGAGCAGCAACTGTTCCCTTGCGGCCATCATTCTTCACTGTCTTCTTTTTGGTACCGGCGAGGGAGATGGTCCGCTTTCTAGCGAGCTCGCCCTCAATCTTCCTGCGAATGGCCTAGCCAATAGACCAGGTCAGAGGAATCCAAACAGTTCAACAATCCACATCTGCTGACCTCATCACGTTTGCTCTGCTTGCGACGCGTATCCGCGACAGAGCTGGTTGGAGTAGATATGGTGGACATTGTGCGCTCGCGAGGCGGGGGGGATGGGGCAGAAGGAAAAGCAGGAAAGGGAGAAGTCGAACGACCGGGGGACGCGGGGTGGTGCGTCGGAATGGGTATCCTTGACATTCAGGGGGGATCCGGTGCGGACTGAGGAGGATGAGCCAAATCGCCCGGAGGGAGATGTGAATGTTCAAAAAGTAACGTGATACGTGGATATCGTCGAAAGACTCCGTGTTCCCGACGCGTCACACCCGTGGTGTTGAACTCTTTCTTACTTACCGTCATGCAGGCAGCCACGGCCGAGGATGCCGTTGTCATATCGTTTCACGATTTATTTCATCGTCCGGAGACTCTCCATGATTCCATAACCAAAGCATTTGGCTCGGGTCCTGAATCTTTGGGCATTATTCTCGTCAAAGATCTGCCCGGTTATGCCGTTCTCCGGGAACGACTACTGCTTCTGGCTAATCAGTTTGCCTCCTTGCCAGATGCGACTAAGGAGTTGTACGTAGATGCAAAGAGTAATTATAGGTATGGATCAGATGGGTTACCTACTCGAACGTTCAAGCTCATCAATCTTCATAAGTTTTGGTTGGTCGCACGGGAAAGAAATCATGAATGATCGGCCAGGTAAGACGCGATTCTTGGTTGGCCGCTTTTCAGACCTGATGGAGAAGTGAGATCTATTGAAGGGATCGTACTATGCTAATCCCATTATCGACGTGCCCTCCGTTTCCGACGATTTGAGACAAGAATTTCCTGAATACTATAACAACAATATCTGGCCGACCCAGGCAGAACAAGGCATTGAAGGCTTTGAGCAAGCTTTCAAAGCTCTTGGAAGGTGAGCAGCGGCATTTTGGTGGAGGCGCATTCCTAACGGCCCGTTCTCAGCTTTATCTTCAATGTTGGTTGTCAATTGGCAGTCGCTTGTGAAGCTTTCGGTCCGTTGACCAGCTAACTGATCAGTTGGACTGGTTACTTACATTCAGTCAGCTTCGCCGCACCTTGCGGATCTCTCGGTATCGCTGAGGTCGCTTATCGCAACATCACAAACAACAAAGGCCCGTCTACTGCATTACTTCCCACGTGACGGGTTATCCAGCGTAACACCAACCGCGGATGGATCAATTGATAGCTGGTGCGGATTTCATCTCGATCATTCACTCCTTACGGGGCTCTGTTCCGCTATGTATATCGCCCATTCCACCGACGAGCCGTCAAGCTATGAGGTTATCCCCTCGCCTTCCCCTGAGTCTGGTCTCTATATTCGGACCCGAGGGGGAACCTTAACGAAGATCAACATACCAGCAGATTATCTAGCCTTCCAAACGGGAGAGGCACTAGAGCAGGCAACGGAAGGTCTGCCATTTACTTGAAAAGTGTCGGATTCCCAATGCTGAACGTGAACCCAGGTAGATTACGAGCCACACCGCACTGCGTTAGAGTGGGTTCCAGCACAGCGAACAACTCCGTCTCCAGAGAAACATTTGCTGTCTTTATGCAACCTGATGTCACACAGGCGATCGGGAAGTGCGAGACATTTGGCACTTTCTCTAGGAGGATCTTTAAAGAACATTATGGAGAACAGGCACCTACCTTACCTGCGTAAATATATCTACATTTCTCCGGGACACTGAGCAGACTGGAAACTCAAATGAATCTTCCTCCGACCAACACATTGCGCCTACACACATGGTTTTGTATGCAATGTGGCAATGGATCCTGTGTCAACTCAGTCTGTATATATCCGACGTGACTCACTCCCCGGCGCTGGCTGTCGGCTTGGTGGACAACGGATGGTGTGCGTGAATTGAGGACACTTCATGGACAACTTGACGCGGGACTCCATATTTCGGAATCACCGAGTTTATGAGACACATTTGCCAGACGAGGACTACAGTCTGGCCATAAATCGTCTGATTGTCCCAGTGTGATAGAGTATAATGTGAACGGGAACACTAATCTACTTCTGCACTCGATTAACATACACGTTGTCGCCACCATCTGAGGGCTGCCAGCAGCACGGGAGGGAGAAAAAAAGGAAAGACCGAGACCGTTTGTCACTCAAGACTCATACGATTTGGGTTCCGGAACGCAGAATTTCCATTGACACCGGCAGGGGTAGAGTTCAAGGTTCGCTTAGTTTTGCTGACTGCATTCCTGGTCAAATCGCCGCACAGAAGGAACGAGACCATGCACTTACGATGTTGTTTGAGGCCCTTCCCGAAATTGAAAAATACGATGCAAGCCATAATAAATGTCAGGATGATGAGTCCGATACAGGCACTCGCTGGTGCGGAGTTAGAATGACTCTACACGTAGCGATGACTACATACAAAATCCAACCAGCGACTTCCATACATACATGAACGAGGTATCGGTCCTCTCCATGAGTATGCGGACAAGCTACATTCAGAGCGGTCAGCACACGGGATTGAAAGCCCATCAGGGCTGACCTTGTACGCAAAGTAAACACAAGCCGCGAGAGTTCCGACCATGGATGATGTCATTAACCATTTGTTCTCGAAACGAGCACCCAGGTGTCCTTCCAGCAGAAGGAGCAGCGACACCGGAAGAGCGGCTATAGTGAGGGGGTATTCAATGCTGGTGTGATCAAGAGACAAGAAGATAAACTACGATGTCATGTGAGTCAAAGAAAGAGACACATGGCAGGTGGGATATGAGTTACTGACTTGAACGGAGAACGCGATCCAGAAATATACGTCGAACTTCAGCAGACACTCGAATACCTGATAGTGCAAGAACATTTTCTTGATCCGCCGATCGGCCCCAAGGAGCTTGTAATTCTGCCAACCGAATTCTGTGTGTATCTTCCATGATAGCAACAGATAGGCTACTTCAGCGACAGAAATAACGATCGGTGGAAGGATGAGCACCACGTTAATAGGGATGGATATGATGCCAGGAGTGCCGGCTGGAAGCGCGCCTTGGACCTCCGAAATTTGGAGAACCGCGTAGGCAATGAAAACCCCGTTAAAGATGGCCAAGAACACGATCTGAAGCATGTTCCTGCTGCGTACGGCATCCACCGCGAGGATGAACTGATACCCATGGGCCAAACCAAAAAGGAATATGTAGATCGGCAATCGGCCGTAGTCGACATCGGGTTGGCCGCTGTTGTTGGAAGCGCTTCGAACACGTAAAAAAAGCTCAACTTCGATGGCAACGTCGACGAAAGCCTCCAGAAGCGCAACAAGGAGATACAAACGACAGGAAAGAGAAGAAGGTATGAACTGTGTAAAGCTCATGTCAATTTCGTTTGCACCGCAGGACTGATGTGAATAAGCTCACAGATCGCCAAACCGAACGGCTAGGAGGCGAAGCACTGTCAACGATGGGTGCCTTTCGATCTTGGCTCTCAGCTGATCCATAGTCATCGTATGAATCGATGATATCTGAAACGTCAATAGATGATGTCTTCGATGTTTTTCGCATAGGGGGATACGAGGGGGGTAAAGAAACATCGTAAACGTCCTGAGGTTCGTTCTGATCAGGTCGGCCCCGGTCTTGATGTGCCTCGATATAGTTGTGGTTCTCTTCTTCATTGTACGCTTTATTATCCAAATCAACATGCGCAGGATAGTCCACCAGATTGCTTGAAGAGCGGAAGGGGGCCGACCGGTGGAAGCGGTTCCCGTCATAGTATTGCGCGCCGTACGAAGCCATCGTGGCTCTGCCACCAAAGGAACGTATCGCGCGATAATCAAGAGAAATAAGAGATAGTCTGTAGTGAGTGTAAAGCAACAGAGTAAGGACTGGTGGGTGGTTGTTTCAGAGAGGGACAGTGTTAAGGAAGGACGAGGAACACGACAACTGTTGACAAGGCTCATTCTATGTGAACCCTCATTCCGACCCAATCGGGAAATTGATCCCGGACATGTGTAACTCCTGACTTTGCACTTTTTTTGACGACCCTGACTGGGGCAGCAGCACTCTCAATCCCTTGTCATCGCGAATGGTTCAACTAGAAAACGAAGCTGGTCCATCTTCCTATTCATCATCATCAATGGATCTCGCAAACAATCACGATCAGCATCCCTCTTCCGATGAGGCTGGCCGGCCACCATTCACCGACCTGGACCTATCACCCGCTACTCTCGCTGCCCTCAGCGCCATGGGCATGAACACTATGACCCCCGTGCAGGAACGCACGATCCCTCCTCTTTTAGCTGGAAAGGATGTACTCGGTGCTGCCAAAACCGGCTCTGGCAAGACACTTGCATTCCTTATTCCTTCGGTCGAGCTCCTCAGCCGGTTAAAGTTCAAGCCAAGGAATGGCACAGGGGTGCTTGTTCTTACCCCCACTCGTGAACTTGCGCTTCAAATATTCGGCGTTGTAAAAGAGCTCTTTTCTCATGGACATACCCAGACATTTGGTATCGTCATGGGAGGGGCAAATAGGAAGGCGGAGGCTGAGAAGCTAGGCAAGGGAGTTAACCTCATAGTAGGGACACCTGGTAGAGTGCTTGACCACTTGCGGAACACCAAGGGATTTGTTTTCAAGAATTTGAAGGCCCTCGTCATTGATGAAGCGGATCGCATTCTAGAAATTGGCTTCGAGGAAGAGATGAAGCAGATCATAGCGCTCCTTCCCAACGGTGCGTCACAGTCCGTTTCTTATTGCACATTCATAGGCTCACTTCTATCTCAGAAAGTCGACAGTCTATGCTTTTTTCCGCAACGCAAACAAACAAAGTGTCAGACTTGGCACGCATTTCTCTGCGTTCTGGACCGTTATACATCGATGTATCAGCCACGCAGGTCACTTCTACGGTCACAACATTAACGCAGGGTTATGTTGTCTGTCCATCTGACCGCCGATTTCTGCTTCTCTTCACCTTTTTAAAGAAAAATCTGCAGAAGAAGGTCATCGTATTCTTCTCATCGTGTAGTTCAGTCAAGTACCACGCCGAATTGCTGAACTATATCGATGTACCGGTTCTCGACCTCCATGGCAAGCAGAAGCAGCAAAAGCGGACAAATACATTTTTCGAGTTCTGTAATGCGTCAAGCGGTATCCTTCTGTGCACGGACGTGGCAGCTCGAGGTCTGGACATACCCAAAGTCGACTGGATTGTTCAGTTTGATCCACCAGACGAACCAAGGGACTACATCCACCGAGTAGGTCGAACCGCCCGAGCAGGCACAGACGGCAAAAGCCTCCTGTTTCTCCTGCCAAGCGAACTGGGATTCCTGCGCTTCTTGAAAGAAGCCAAGGTCCCCTTAAACGAATACAACTTCCCTGCCAATCGAATTGCTAATGTTCAGGCCCAGGTGAGATTCTGCGACACCTCAGGTTTGTTGCACGAACTGAACAAAGATAATTAGCTCGAAAAGCTCATCTCCAAGAATTTTTATCTTCATGAATCTGCAAGAGATGGTTATCGCTCATACCTACAAGCGTACGCATCGTACAGTCTGAAGAAAATCTTTGACGTCAACTCTCTCGATCTTGCGAAGGTGGGCAAGGCTTTCGGATTTGCTGTCCCACCTCGAGTGAATATCAATGTTGGAATCAAACACAAGCGCAAGAGAATCGACGATAACGATAACGTTGTGGATTCTGTAGACCCAGATGCCAACGTTGGAGGTCATAGTACCGACAGCGATGGGATGCTGGAGGGAAGAATACGAGAGAACAAGAAGAGAAGGGTCGAGCTATTTGGCCAGGCTACGGTTGAGAAAGATGTCTATCGAAAAACAAAGCTCAGGAAAGGAGCAAATGAAGTTCAATGGAGTAGATGAAACGAATTTGCAGTCTTTCTGTCCTCATGATCATGTACAGTACTGAGCAGGAATGCACTGCATAAGTCCTCATAACGCGGATTACAAGGGGAGACAAAGAAAAAGGGGTGTCCTAGATCCTGTACAGTATGTCACTGGAGAACATGATTTCGTCCCTGCGATACATCGCCTTTGCAGCTGATCGTGCCTCTTCCTTCGTAAAGTGTCGCTCGGACGGCAGGCCAATATTCACAGCGCCAACCAATTGGTCCAGCTCGATGGCATCCTCATCTTGCATGCTAGTTGCGAAGAGATCGGATAGGCGAGAACGGAACAAGATCAACCTATCCGCGGTAACGCCTAGCTCATCTTCGGGCACAGATTGCTCCGGCTGCGCTGAAATGATCGGTGCTGGAAATCCGCCCGTAGGTATGTCCTCCGCCATAGCGTAGTCGTCTACTATCTTTACCAATGGGGATATGACTTGACCAGCCTCGTCCTCACTCCCGTCTTCTTCCGACTCATCAGCGCTTTCAGTCCCCGCCACACCCGAATTGAGCTTCCTCTTCTTGCGGCGCTGCACCTTTGCCACTTCTTTGAAAAGAGCAAACCGGAGTATTTCCTCTGCAACCATAGCGTCGCGCTGTTCAACATCTTTAGACAGACGGGCTTTTGCATGGGCGGTAGCCAGCCGTATGAGGGTCTCCAAAGTGCGAGCGGTCAAGGGAGAAGTCTGCGTGCAAGCACCTCAACAGATAATTTCGGGCAAAGGGTTCAGCAACTCACCCTTCTCGTATTCCGAGCAAGATCCTCATTTCGCAGTTCAGAATATACAGCAACGATGTGGTCTGCCGCACCCTTGCTGAGTACCGGCTGCACACGATTTTTTGCGTACTGAATGTACTTCTTGATGAATGGGATGGAGATGACCTTCTCCTGACTCTCAGCCTTCTTTCGCCGGGATCGCGTCCGGAGACCCGAGATACCAGCATGCAACAAAGTGTCGTATTTCTCGAAAACTGGTGTTTGTGCGGCCTCGGTTTGAGCAGCATCTACCGATAGGCTTTGGGACAGATTATCTTGTGCCGGGGTCCCTTCCTCGACGCCAGGCTGAAGATAACGATGCATACGAAGAACGTGTTCTGATATCATTCGGTCGCGACGCTCATCCACATCATCAGTGACCACAAACAGGAGGTCGAACCGAGACAACAGTGAATCTGGGAGTGCGATGTTCTTATGAGGATCTTTGTGTACATCATACTAATGATGATTCGTTCAGTTAAAGGATCAGGGATTGGTATTAGAACCCACCTGGCCGTAGATAGGATTAGCTGCAGCGATCACGCTGCAGCGAGCGTTGAGGCTCGTGTGTATTCCTGCCTTTGCGATAGTTACGGTCTGTTGTTCCATAACTTCATGGATGGCAACCCGATCGATGTCTGACATCTTATCGAACTCGTCAATGCAAACCACACCACGGTCGGCTAGGACCATAGCACCAGCCTCCAAACGCCTCTCCCCTGTTCGAGAGCTCAATAAAAGTAGTGTGCTCTGTGGCAAATTAAACAAACCAGTATCTTTGTCAGTCGTAACCGCGGCCGTCAGACCCACACCACTGCTACCTCTGCCGGTTGTGGCAATGGCGAGTGGCGCGGTGCCTAGCACAAATCTCAGGAGTTGAGATTTTGCGGTGCTTGGATCGCCGACCATGAGAATGTTGATGTCGCCGCGAATATGGGTCCCATTAGGCAAGTTCTTTTCCTGCCCGCCTAGTAGCATGAGCAAAATGGCCTTCTTGATATAGTCATGCCCATAAATTGAGGGAGCGAGGGACTGTGCAAGCAACTCAAATATGTCTTTTTCATCTCTACGAAGTTGATGAATGTGACGAATGTCGTCGTCAGTGAGTGGAGTAGATGCTGGGCCGCCAGAAAGCTTGGAAGATAGGGGCACTATGTTGTTTGCCAAAATGAGCGTGCTGCACATGCTGGGTTACTATCGCTCCCAAAGTGGGCAAAAAAAGTGTGCGTACCGGAATCCGCCAGATCCGCCTCCCCCAAGACTGCGGTACACCCCAACCAACTGAATGCGATCACCTGGCTTGCACTTGTCTACCAGATCATCATCTAGTATGACATCAACACTGCGCGGTAGCTGTCCGGCTGGCGCACGCTCCGGCATCTCCTGAATGCTGATACGCTGGTGATCACGAAAGGTCGACAATCCAAACTCAATTTGGAGCGGATTGCCTTGCTCATCGGTCTGAGGCGTGATAGACGAAGTCGGAGGTAAGGTGCCCGTCATGGTTGCATCTCGATATTCGCGCCAGTGAAAGGCTTGAGTTTGTTCGCAATAGTGGATGGACTTCAGCATTTTTGGCCGCACGAGCGAACCTAAGGGAAAGGGTTAGAGGCAAGACGCGCACTAAAGAGGATGTAAACATCTGGTGACTATTCCCTCAAGACTGATCAGTCTTCCCAAATGCAAAGCCCTTAGAGTCCTTGGATTGCAGTGATGATCCCCAAAACTGCCACGAAGACCGATATGATAGTCTTTCTCTTCTGTCTTGTGCTTCTGTGGGTCTCTAACTGTCTGGACTATGTCGACAAGAGCCTGCTCAAACGCGGGCAGGAAGTCGTTGGGTTCATTCAGTATACCATCGGCAAACTCCCGATTGTACTCGCGTAAATCATCGACGTTGACAATGAGGCGTCTTCCATCATGTCGGAGCAGTTGGACGATTTCATCTTTGTATCGCCAGTGGCTTCGCTGTAACCCTGGTCAGTTCAGAATTTGGATAACCTGGTAGCCGTAGATACCTCATCAGCTAGAAATTCGCTAAATACACGTGTTCGGTCTCTTAGGAGATCATCCGCTGGGATCGTGTCAAGGAATGACATCGTCTGGAGGAGGATGGTGATAGTGGGTGTAGGGAACGCGTCGCGCGCGACGCGACATGGAAGGGTCATATCCGACGCGTGCCATGTGACATCTGTCAGGGGCCAACAATACCTCAAACGAACTTATACCACTAGGCACTTGCTCGATCTCGCTGCTTCCTCCATGACAACCACCATTCAAGGGCTGCATATTCGTGCTGCAGAAACGCGTTCAGACCCGACCCCGCACACCGAATACGGGATTCAAGTACAGGCAGCTGTGCGAGCATGGGAAGTCTGGCACCGATATTCCGATTTCGTCGACCTTCACCTGGATCTCGGCAATCCACCGTTCTCTTTACCTCCCAAACACCACCTGTCTTTTACCTTTCGGCGACAAGTTAACGACGAGAAGCTTGTTGAAGAACGTCGGCATGGTCTGGAGAGTTATTTGCGTGCCATTCTCGTCGCAAAGGATCCTCAATGGCGAAATCACCGCGCATTCTTGGACTTTCTGGAGGTGCCATCACCAGCCCAAGCTCCGCCCCGAGCACAGGATTCATTCTCTTCTGCATCCTGGCTGGAAGAGCAAAACGTTCTTCATGCTTTAGTGAGGGACATAAGAGCAGACCTGTACAAGCGGGACTCGTTGGCCTCGGCTGGCGATACCTCTGCTTCGCATTTGTCGAACGTGGAGGCGAAGAAGAAGCTCGCGACGCTGATCTCAAGAGTCGGTGGATTGGCGAAGGGGATGGAGGTACTCGCAAAATTAGGCATGAGTGCGGGAGAGTTGGCCAGGAGAGGCGATATGATATCCAGACTTCAAGATGACTGCTCGAAACTTGGTGAGGTTGTGGTTGCGGCAAGGTCGAACAATGCGCGACAGGCTTCTCTTATGGCCAAGACAGACCCAATACCAACGGCTGATCGGGTTGCATTGCTTGGGGCTGCTGAGCCACCAGTCACCAGGGTATTCGGCTCTCGTCCACGCACACCTCAGGAGACCAACCAGACCAGGCCCTTGGACGACCGTGGCCTACTACAGTACCAGCAATTGCAATTTGACCAGCAGGATACCCAATTAACGCAGCTTAGCGCGATTTTGAAACGGCAGATGCAGCTTGGGATGGTAATTGGCGAGGAGATAGAGGATCAGAACCGAATTTTGGACGGCCTCGCCACGGACGTCGACCGAACTGGAGCAAAGCTGGGCAAAGCGAGGAAGCAGCTTGGGAGGATAGAGGGCAAGTGACATCTGATCTGCAGGTTGTATTACTCTACCACACCAATGATGTATAGAGGGATTTTCACTCTGTTTCGAGGGTCAGGAGAGTTTCTAGGGTAGTCAACGATGTTGATGTTCATAGCTCCTTGAATACAGTACGTGAAACTCTCGTCGAACATGGTAGTGGCCGAAAAGGGTTTCCCCAATCTGTGTCGGCAAGCTCATCATGCTGAGTGAGGATTTTCGCGCTCTGTAGGTAGGTGGGTGTCCAGACGTGGTGCACGAATGATTCCCCACGCTTGACTTTGTTCATTGTTTGCAATGTTACTTCCCGGCAAAAGGGTGGCTATTGGTTAAGACCGCCGTGAGTGTGTCACCAGGTTGATTTACCTGCAGAAGAGGTGCCAGTTCAGGCCTCACCTAGTGGGAGTGTGTTGGACTTGCTCGGGGACCGCTTTGCACTGGCGGGCATCGGGAACTAGGACTGGCAAGTATGATATACATTGATGGGAGATGACGCGTGTGGGGTAGAGATAGGGGACCGGGGTTAGAGAAGGATCGTAAGTGGGAGTGCGCTATAGGGAAGAGGACAAAGTGTTGTTGGAGAAGTAAGGTGATGTACACACTGAAATCCGGCAGAGAGGGAGCAAAAGCAGCGGAGATGAAGGTATGGCTTAGTGTGTGCTGAATCGTTAGGCACCTGTACGCCGAAACGGACGCGCATGAACGCATCCTTGCGAGTTATGAAGGCATGGATAGTAGTGTGCGGTAGGTATATGTGAAAATGACTATGAGCGGCACGTCGCGTCCTTGCACAAACGCACGACGTGGACGGAAGAGGGTGGGCAAGGGTCTTCAATGTCACGTGACCCAGTTTCATGCCGCGCGGCAGGCAGACCCTACTCCGGGTGGCTGTGCTGGATGCTGCGTGCCCCTCAGAGCACTGCGCTCTGTTCAATATTGATGAAACAAATACACAGAAGCATTCCATGGCAGTTCTGTGTGTCAACACCCTTCCAAACCCTTAAATGTTTCTTTATTGAGAATTAATTTCAGGCCACCAGACAACTGAGAAACTGAGACTCCCACAGAGAGGAAGCACTTGAGCCTATCCTCTTGGCATCACTGCTGCCACATTTATTTCTTCCAGACTGCAGTGAGCTCACATTTGTTGCAATTACATGCACAAAGTATGCACCCAAGCAAAGTATATCCTTGAGGTGTATCTTCATCCATGTGGTGATGCTATAACTCATACCTCATCCCTGCCAAACAGTCAGCAACTCTGATGCATGTACAGATGCTAAGAGCTACACCACATTCACAAAGAAATGACCTTATACCCTTAATGCATGCACTTTCATCCCTTGTAGCAGTAAAAAAGGGAGATGTTCAGGTAATAATAAGAACAATCTCCACCCTTGTACTGACCCTCTTGGGACCCCAATAATCCACCTGACCCTGAACTTGGTGACTTAAATATTCCTCACCTAAAGAATCTGGCACAGAATCACTCCTCCCACCCCCACCCCCTCTTTACTCCATCTATATTTGGGCTCAGGCTTCCTGACCTTGCAAGACCTACAGCCTTATTGTACCATGGAGGAATGTATCTAAAGATGTGTACACCAAGCTTGCCTGAGATAACTGGACAGCAGTATTGCCCTCTGGTGTCTCTTCTGGAGGAAACAATCCCCCATAGTCTGCTCAGTGACTTCTCTCATACATAACATATATTGCTGTCAGGTTCTCTGGGGAGGCCAGGGTAGATAAGGCATATACATGGCAGTCCTAGGAGCAGGAACCATGGGGTGTTGCCCATATGCTGGTAGCAGCCTCCACCCACCCTACCATCACCAGCCTTGTTTTTGACAGCTACCTATGGCTTCCTCATGCTCATGGTATTGAATGGTGCCCTTATAGACAGGCCCTAGCATAGGAGGCTTTCATATCTGTTTCTTCAACCAAATGAGGTGGCAAGCATGGCAACAGGCACTTGACCATAACAATAGATTGGCCATCAATGGAAGGCTAATTGGAGTGGCTTGGCACAGGAACACAAAAATGGTGTATCTGGGGTTATTGATCTCAAATCAAAGAATACAAAGTAGCACTGGACCAGTGTGGTTGCAAGAAAAGGGAAGTGAGATAGATGCACTCAGAAATGAGCTCAAGTATGACATGAGTCATCCTTCCTGGGCTTTCACACATCTTCATTAAGAGGCTCAAACTCACTGAGGAACCTGTGCATAGCTCCATTGTAGAGGTGTAATGATTTGTGTATGAATGAGTGTTGCCTGACTCAAGGGTCTAGTATAATCTTTTCAAGGTTCTGCTTACTTTATATTAGCAGGGTGGACTTCCTCCATGTGAAAGTCTGAGAGGAGACTTTCTCAGTTGTCTGGTGGCCTGAAATTAATTCTCAAAAAATCGTTTAATGGTTTGGAAGGGTGTTGACACACAGAACTGCCATGGAATGCTTCTGTGTATTTGTTTTATCAATATTGAACAGAGTGCAGTGCTCTGAGGGGCGTGCAGGCATCCAGCACAGCCACCCGATGTAGGGTCTGCCTGCTGCGCGGCAAGGTAATTCCTCCGATGATCCCTTTCGGGCGCATTTTGCCTACAATGACCCGAAGGCCTGCCCTAAGCAACCAGGGACCTTCCAATTAAACAAGGTGGTGGTAGCAGTTCAAGATGCGCTAGGGTCCGGTCTCTTCGTGTCGGTTTATAAAGCATGTTCTGACAATTAATTTGCAAGCTTTGTTTTGTTTTTGATTAGTTATGTTACAGTATATAAATTAATTCTGCATGGATGTCTCTAATAAGAATTCACCGATTTTCACCATCGTAAACATAGGTGAGGAAACACCGCACTTTTACGGCAAGGCAATGAATTTTGCAGCAGTTATTGAAAATAATAGATACCATACACAATGCCAACCAGCTTGTCTTTTGAAAAAGGTCTGTTCTAATAGCAAAACATTCACAAAAACGCGTTGTTGGATTGACCGGAGGCACGTGCTTTTCATTGCCACAGCCACTGCTTTCCTTACTTGGTTACTTAGGGGCGGCATTTGGGGTCATTTAGGGAATTTGCGCCCGAGGGGTCATCGGAGGAATTACCTCGCTGCGCGGCATGAAACTGGGTCACGTGATTTCGAAGACCCTTGCCCACCCTCTTCCGTCCACGTCGTGCGTTTGTGCAAGGACGCGACGCGCCGCTCATAGTCATTTTCACACATACCTACCGTACACTATCCACACATTATGCAACGAGCCACCCGCTCTGCGGCTCCGTCCATAACTACGACCAGTAATCATACGTCGCCGGTCAAAACGCGCGCAAAGCGGGGGCGAAAGCCGAAGTATCCGCCTCACAACCCTTTGGCCGACTCAACCAAGGAAGAAGAACAGTCAAGCGAGCCGACAGTAATCCCTCAACAAGACGAGCGTTCACCCGCAGCCCGGAAACCCCCAACCGAGGACGGTACGCCGGGTAGCATTGATGGTCCTCTCGAATTAGACGAGAGTGAGGTTCCGGTGCTCATGTCCTCCGAGGAGTCCCACATGATCCTTGATATATTAGAAAAGCATGTTGGCGCATTTCCATGAAAACTCTGTGTGCTAATATCTGTTTTCGTTCCAGAATCGATACAGATGGTCTGCTCGATCAGCCTGTCAAAGTGGCTGCGTCCGTCTTCAGCCAGTCCAGTTCTGATCAACATGAGGTTTCGTCGACATTGCGCTCTTTACTTGATCAATCAAATGACGTGTCGCTCCGCCACATTTACGTGCGTGCTTGGAATCTTATTTGGCCCCTCCGATTGTAACATGTCCTACAGAAGGCCTCTCAGAACTTCGCGAAACGTGTCGCGCCAAATTCTCTCAGCCGCTCAGCACTCTCTGACTCAACTCGAAGATTCTGTGATCTGCTGGATCAGCTTCTATCCGAGCTTGTGCAGTCAAAGACCGCTGTATCGGGGCAGAGGATCGACTTGGATATGATGGACAATGATGGGAGAGGTATGTCAATGAGAAAACAGTACCCCAAGCCTCCGCTGATAGTTCATAGGTCTTCATCAGAAAACACCTTACTACGCCCTTTTCCAACAGCTTGGTCCGGCTGGTACTTACTTTTCGTCCGCCGCCAAATTCTCTAGGGATCAACTTACTAAGCTGTCCTTAGGTGAGCGGTCTCTTCTTGTTTTCACCGGCTCTGATCCTCGATTTCAGGCCAAGCGGAGACGGTGGCCATAGTGCCTACACAACTACTTCCACCAATGGATCTTCCCCCTTTAGGCTCCTTGGTGTCTCATCGTTTGACCAAGCCTCGACCAGTGGAACAGTTGTCCACGGGTTCGCACAGTTGCTGCATTATGAGTCGCCATCTTCTGACTAAGGAATGCAATAGTCAGAGCCCTGCGATACGAACCGTTCGCGTCCTTTGCACCCACCTATACGACCGAAGCGGCAGAAGTAGGCCTTTATGAAACCATCCTCGCGCATGACGCCGCATCGTGCTTCCGCGCGTGGGAAAAGCGCAACTGGCCCGCTTTTCGTCGCCTTCGAGAAACCAAGGGTATCAGCCGAAGTAAGAAGGGTCGCTACACCAAAGTTGAAAGAGAGTCCTTCAAAGCAACAAAACGAGTCAGGGATGGGGACGATGACGGGAGTGACAAGGTCAAGCGCCGCAAAGTCGACGAGCAATCGACTGGTGAAGCGGAAGAAGTAGCCTTGTCACCGGGACCGCCAGGCGCGTCTACGACAGTCAGTCTCATGAGCGCCGGCACCAACACTTCGTTACTGGATGAAGAACTGTTGCAAGAGGTTAACTGGGTGCTTGGAAATGGTGATTCGACTTGCCCAATAAACCAGATACTCCGCGAAACCGCAGGAGCTCTCGAAATGCTTCGGACCCTACAAGACATCCGACTGCGAGGTGATGGGAGGCTAGGAGAGGACTCGACCGAATTTGACTTAGGTACAGTGTCACAAGTCTAGAACACACTTAGCTGACTTTTTGTCTGAAGCGGATGCCATTGATGCAAATCTCTCCGCGCTTGTCATGTGGCAGCCCCGGTCATCGAAGGCGCCGACCTCGGCACCACTGGTGCCTGCGCTGCCTGCCCTATCGATGCTTCAAAATGCTCTTCCTTTGGGGCCGGTGCCTGGTTACAAAGGCATACTAAAACCAAATTCGGCGGCCCTTAAGGATGATTCCACCGTGCGAATCAGCACTGCCGATTCACTGGTGACAGCCTCGCAGAGCGCATACACCGGGACATTGTCAACACAACACCGTTACGGGCCTCGTCAGACAGCATACACGCCCGGGGTCACTTATACCGCAAGTCAGGCTGCTTCATATCCGCCTGTGTATGCTGCGCAAACGTATGGGTCACAGAGCCACTATGCCGGAGCTTATGGAACAAACACCAACATGCTTACTGCGACTGGATACTCGGGATATACTTCTCCACGTCATGCCTACCCAACTTACCCCGGATACTCCTATGGAGTTGGATCTGCATCGTACTCGACCACAGCCTATCCTGTTCCACAACCGCAGTCAGGCGCCCCTCGCACTGTCCCGCAAGCTGGTGGAGTCATTCAAGGTTGGAACTATGCAGGACAAGGGCCAGTTGTAGCGCTTCCACCCCACATGCGGGCGGCAGTAAACAAATCCTCCGGCTCCACGCCGAGTATTCAATCATACACACCATGGCCGAAGGCATAACTACCATGGTCTATTTACTTGTTCTTTTCCGTTCTGACACGTCTAGCCGCTGTATCTTTTGGTGAGCTGGATCTTGAACACCTTGAAGTTAGTGTACAGCTCTGCATACTCATAAACAACTCGTTGCTAGAGGGCTTCTCGATGCGTCATGTCCTCCAAAGGCGATGACACTGCATTCGGTAATATCAATAAGGATCAATATCGAACATCTGGATTGAGAAGACGCCGGTGCTAATGTTACATGGTCCGTTAGCAATGTCATGATAGTACAGGAAGGACTTCTCTACACTATTCTGCTCCAACCCGTGAGGGATTCGTCATTCAACGCCCAGGATACTGAGGATAGCCAGCAACGGGATAGACGGGGTGTTGCGGTTGTTGTTGCTGTTGCGGCTGAGCTTGTTGAAGATGAGACTGTGGATGCACGTGCTGTCCATAGCCATAAGTGGGAACCTGAGCATATTGAGGCGCATGATGCATTGGTTGCCCACCGAAGGCGGCATGATGACCTTGCTCTGGATATGCAGGATGACGCGCCATGCTCGGATCATTCATAGCGGCATATTGGTATGGCTGGGGTGCAGCAGCACGTGTACCTGGTGCGTTGGACGGCTGCGGCATGTATACGGACTGTCCGTTGGGGAGCACATGGAAGACTGGTGCCGGCATCACCCCAACCGGGACAGGTTGCGGTACACTGGAGGAATTGGGATGATGCGCGGTTGGATCCGTAAAGTATGGATGAAACAACGCATCTAAGGCATGCGGTCTTGAAGTGGGATCAAATTGGAGGAGACGGTCGATCAAATCGCAGGCTTGATATGTTCGGTTAGTGCCAATGTCTTTGTACAAGCACAAGAATTACCTTGAGCAGATGCACCTGGGAGAATATTCGGCCATGGAACCTTAGGAAAGCGAGGATACGATTTGAATTGGATATCCGGCTTCCTTATGCATCAGCATTGACATCCAGCTGGTACGACATTGCACAGCTTACGGTCTCCTGCGCCATTTTTTTTATGACTCGGTCTTCCGGTGTTCCGATGATCTTCATGATGGCAAGCAGTTGATCAGGATTATCCCTGCCTCTGAAGAGCGGCATTCCAGTTATCATCTCAGCCATGATACACCCACAGGACCAAATGTCTATGGCAGCGTCGTAATTACGAGAGCCCATTAAGACGTCTGGCGCACGATACCACAGTGTGACGACCTAACTCAACGAATCGATAACATGACCACTTGGAACAATAGCCACACTCACCTCATTGGAGTATGTATTCACAGGGACTCCATACGCTCGCGCAAGTCCAAAATCGCCTATTTTGAGTTCTCCTTTCCGATTGATCAAGAGGTTCTGGGGCTTTAAATCACGATGAAGAACACGATTATCGTGACAATATGCGGTCCCTCGCAGCAGCTGATACATGAAGCTCCGAACAGTGGCCGGATCCAACGCTCCACGAACGCCGTGGGTGTCCATGTATCTCTTGAGATCCTGATCACAATACTCGAACACGAGGACGAGTTTGTTTTCGGTATGGATTACATCGTAAAGGTGCAAAATGTTAGGATGGTTCAATTCCTTCATGAGCGAAATCTCGCGGATAGCCGTAGACGGAGTGCCTTCTTCTGGGTCAAGATGTATCTCTTTGAGAGCCACAATTTCGTTTGTCGCACGAGAGCGCCCCTGTACGGCACAGGTCAGCCAGCACTGCTGAGAGGTAAAAACGGAACGATCGGCGTACCTTGTAGACCGTAGCATATGTCCCCTCACCGAGCTTCTCCAGCTGGATATAGTTCATAGTAGAAACTTTCAGAGTGCACAAATGGCCTGGTAGTGGATTGTTCGTGCTGAACACGATGATGGGCGGCAAGCAGGTGAGAGGACGAACATGAAGGTCCCTTCGCATCTGCTCCCGTGATGCACCCCCTATTTCACTGGACAACCGCCACTTCGAGAGGTTATCGATTCAACCATGCCATTACCGAAGCCATTATCGCCATCCAAACTAGCGAAGGAGCTAGCCAGTCCTTCTAGGCATCAAGTCGTTAGAGCATCCCTCGTTTCCAGGCCTGGACACGCTGTCTACATACCTCAGATCCGCAAGCTGGTCTTCGAATATTGTGATGTCTGGATTTCCAACATTCACGCCCGCACCTATCTCCTCAACCACGTAGCAAAACTAGCCGCCGCCCATCCACATGTAGAGGTTGTTGTACAGCAAAGATCAAATCACCACCCAATTGCACGAGGACTCTATCGTTAGTCTTTTGCGCACCTCAAAGGGCCTCGTCCTGCAGCTCACAAATCGGATGTATACATAGTGAATGGACGAGACAAAGTTATTGCACTGAATGGCTTGCAACCGACAGCGATTGCTGAGAAGGTCAACCTGCTGCTCGATTCGTCTGGCGCCAAGATCAAGCCACTCAAGAAGCCGGTGGAGAGTACTACTGAGAGTGTCAGAGGCATTTGGAGTGGTATGCATGTCGAAAATCCTGTTGTCATATAGTATTTCGTGAGCTCTGTCGGTGCTTTCTTGCAAATTGAAATGACCGCAACAGTCTTTTTCAGATATTAGGTACTGTCTTGGCAAACTCTGGACTCAGCTACATAATCACAGTGCACAGTTTGGAAAAATGTCAGGGGAATATCTCATTTCTCACGTCCGCTTGAGAGCATTAAAATCCCCATTAAATAATTGTACACGAGATCACGTGGGATGTCAGTTGCTTCCGTGCGCGTGACTGTAATGCTGAACGCGCCTTGCGTGGGTTCTTGTGGTCGCATGAGCCAACGTTCTCCGTTCTCTTAATACAATAATCTGTATGCCGAAGTCTCAGTTCTATGCGGTTCGAGCTGGAGGTGCCGGTCCGTTTGTATATTCCACGTGGGAAGGCGTGAGTGGCTTGCCTAATTCTGAGATGAGCTCTCACTGAGGGTTAACTGCAGTGCGAAAGAGCCGTGGGTCATTACCATGACATTAAACCTGACATATGTGACAAATATGGGCTATCAGGTCAAGGGATATTCCAGAGCCAAGTATAAGAAGTTCATTGATTATGCGGAGGCCGAGCGGTGGATACGATCCACGTCTCCAGACTTAGGCCTAGAGAACTGTTTCGGGGAATCCAACACTCCAAGCCGAACCCCTAAAGAGTTACATCCCGATGTCACAAGCTCCACTCGATCCACACGTACGAGGACGCATAGGACTGCCCTGCTCCATGGCAGGGACGCCCCACTCAGTCGCCCTGCTCAGACTCCGCATAAATCAGGAAGAGAAGGCGAGAAGACCCCTGTCATTTGCCTCTTGGAATCATCTAGTGATATAGAAGAGCAATCGTTAGCTCGTCCCTCGGGTATCATTGAACTGTCAAGTGATTCAGAAATGGCGGAAGAACCCGCCGAGTCGACCCGTCCTCGGCATCGTCAGCACTCACCTCCAGAGGCTAAAGAGGAGCGTGTCTCTCCTGAACAGCAACGTATATTTGACTTGGTAGTTAAGGATCACAAGAGTGTTTTTTTCACCGGATCTGCTGGTATGTGTGTCGCAAGCACTAACTGCGTTTTCTCTCGATGTTACTCATGCTATAAGGCACGGGGAAGTCTTTTTTGCTGCGCAAAATCATCCAAGCTCTGCCGCCTCATGGGACCCAGACCGCGGTAACTGCGCCGACTGGTATTGCTGCGGTGAATATAGGAGGATGCACCTTACATTCCTGGGCAGGTACTGTTCATCATTTCACATCCTTATCCTCACCTCACCAAGTTCTTCAAGGCATCGGATTAGGCAAAGGCGAGCCAGAGGATCTTCTGTTGAGACTTGGAGGTTTCGCTCGGAAACGCTGGAAGGAAAGCCTAACACTGATTATCGATGAGAGTACGATCATCTCCACTTTCATGGTTTGCGCTGATAATCTCAGTCTCTATGTGTGATGGAGCGCTGTTGGATAAACTGGATTACATTGGTCGACGAGTGCGTCACGATCACAATTCGCCTTTTGGCGGACTCCAGTGAGTATTTCGTTTGCAATGCACTGGAGTTTAATGCCAATTTGATCCAGGCTTGTGTTTTGTGGCGATTTTTTTCAGCTACCTCCTGTGCCCGATGAACTCCATGATATGAAGGTTCCTATAACCTTTGCATTCGAAGCTCGATGTTGGAGAGAAGCGGTCCCGAGAAGCTACACTCTGACCCATGTTTTCCGACAGAAGGAGCAAGGTTCGTGCAGCGTAAGGAGGGCAAATGCATGTATTCACCGAGCTCCATGTTAGTATTCATCGACATACTCAACGAAGCTCGCACCGGGACTGTCAGCGCCGATACCATTGCTGTCTTTCGCCAACTTGACCGTCCATTGCAAGTCACTGATGGCATCGAGCCAACACGCATGTACGTGATCTTCATCATGGTCAATGCATTGTGACAAGCATAGATATAGTTTTCCGAAGAAGGACCAAGTTAAGCAAGCCAATGATAAATACCTCGCGGCCTTGCGTACCCCAGCCCGCACATTCATTGCTAGGGACTTTGCGGGTACGGACAGCTACGGTAACCCAATATCATTCGAAGCTGCTACAAAGAAACTCGATCGTAATGTCGTTGCTCCAGCATCGATTACTCTAAAGGAGGGTGCTCAAGTCATGCTTGTAGCTGTGAGTGATGCAGTGGAGCTGTAGATCCTGGATCTTGATGAGTATTAGAATTTGGATACCGGCCTGGTGAATGGTTCTCAGGGTGTTGTCGTCGGATTCAATACTCCTTTAGAGGCCAGAGACAAAGGCTTCCAGTTCCCTCGGGCAAAGGAGGCTGACTTGACGATGCGAGCTGCTCACGCAGGAGCACCACCGAAACTATCGTTGAGCCGCGGGGAAGTCAATCCTGCGGAGCTAGAGAACTGCCACTGGCCTATTGTTAAGTTCAATAATGGAGACACCTTTCTTATTCAACCAGCACAATTTTCTGTGGTCAATGTCCAAGGCCGTCCAGAAGCGCAACGAGATCAGGTATGTCATCTCAGTGTGTAATCCGCGCAAAAGCTGACTGTATTTCGGCAGGTCCCACTGATACTTGCTTGGGCCTTGTCCGTTCACAAAGCACAAGGCCAGACGTTGGAGCGAGTCAACATTGATCTCACAGAAGTTTTTGAGAAGGGCAAGGTGTCTGTCCGCTCTTCTTTTTTAAACTAAACGAAGGCGTCGAAATTGCAGGCCAAGCCTATGTTGCCATGTCCCGAGCAACCACACTACAAGGGTTGAAAATTGTCGGCTTTTCCCCAGAGAAGTATTTATCTGAGAACAACATGATCGCATTGCGCTTACATGACACGTTAGGGTGATGGCGCACATCAGAGTTATCGAATGGGCGAAGTCTTTGCGCACAATCGACGAGAACGGGCGCTTGCCGACCACGCATAAACGACCGTACCGTAATTGAATACGTTCGCACATCGCTACAACAGGTACCTCCTGATTGTGAGGCTAGTTCTGCCCCTCTCAATGTGTCGGTATATTAACATTTGGTCGCATGGATCTAAGGCACTGGAGTCACGGAAAGCTACAGGACAATCGGTATGTACAAAATGGAGTTTGACGAAGTGAAATTCGTAGAAAGCTTGTGTACTATTTACGAAGGTCCTGCTTAATCGCCAACTCCTGAATCTGTCCCTGGCGATGCGGACGCTTCAATGGAAAACGATGTTTTTGTAGATTGGAAAGAACCACCTGTCACGGGTGTTGTACTTGTGGGGGACACTGTTTCGCAGTCCTGGTGAACGCTCTGTGGGACTAGGGCAGTGGTTACATTCAGTGGACTCGTTCGCTGGCTTTTGGACGAGCTTCGCTGGGACTTTGAGGGGCTTGGAGTGAGAGCGCTGCGGGTCGATCCCACAGAATCACTGGAAGAGAGGCTATGAGCAAGTACCGTGCGATCTTCGTCACTCGCGGTGGGCTCGCTTGACAGATGTGGTGGTGATTCTGTGGTGACTATACCAACTGTGTGTTCACCCTGGGTCCACAGTGCGTCCGTAGGGCTGTTTTGGATTCTATTGGATGGATGAATGCTGCTGGTCATCCCTGATTGTGTCGGAATCGTTGGGGCGTCCTTTTCTCTGGGCGGGATAAGGACAAATGAGCTGTGTTCGGTACCATAAGGATTGCCCCGTGGACCGGCAGCCGGCTCTTCATTTTCTGGCTTCGAAGGCAATGGGGGTGACTGCGGTCTAGTTGGTGACGGAGCAGGTTGATCCGAAAATACCAACGGCGCAAATGTGATGAGATCCTCCATCAAGGTATCCTGAAGGATGGCATAAGGTTGTGTCTTTCATTCGATGTTTGAACACACCTTGGTTGTACCTACGCTTAGGACGTCGCCATTCTTAGGCATGTCGTCCTCACCAAATACGACAGGCCCAAAAATGAGGGACAGATTCTTGGCGTCCATCTTGTTCTGACTGCTTCTGCCGGCCACTTTTGCCAAGTGCTCCACAATGACACGCAAAGTTGCTTGATGGATTGATGGGAGCCTACGAAGCTTCGACTTCAACACCAAAAAATTATTAGAGACATGTTCTTCTAGAAACGCCAATCCTCAGTTACAAAAGGAAGCTCGCATGCATGGCTTACCTCGTTTATCGCTATACTGAAGGCGATCTGGGAGGGAAAACCGAAACACAGGCTCAGGTAACTCGCGCAAGTAAAGCTGTCCAGGCTTTCCGTCAACTCCTGTGCTCATTGTCGTGAAGCACGCACCTTTAGAAGGGAACAAATTGTATATATATCATCCAACAGAGGATTGAATCGAAATTCATCTTCATTTCTCTCTATTTTGCGCATTAGCTAGTACGGGTTAGCTCACGTGAAGTCAAAGAAATTGTGGGAACGCCAATACCTCTTGGACAGTTGCGTGACGACCTGATACCTAAATCGCAAATCAGCCGCAGATAACGAAACTCCCTACCCACTCACTCGGTAGATACCCTCGGAGTCCAATCCTGAGAATCGTATCAGTAGCAGTACGTGACGCGGTTCAGTCTAACAGGCGTACCTCGTTCTTCCACTTCCTCTATACACTTCATGATTAGATCTGGTGCCTCGCCATCTGCCAGACTCCGAGCAGTAGCGTAGTCCACTAAGCTGACCCCGAACATTAGGTCATTGCATTCGCCCACAGAGTAGTTCCAGTATAATACTCTCTTTGGTAAAGCTCGAGCCATCGCATTGGGCACTGCTGCTCGAACAAGAGAGGCTGATTCTGTATGTAAGAGATATGGACATCGCTGGGCTTTGTGGTACACACCATCTTTTGCTGGAGTAATACTCCCCACACTGTGTTGCAGGTCCCGGGACAGGGAAGCATTGGCTGTGCCGGTCGCCTCTAAACCATCGGCATACGTCCGGAGGACTCCTTTGACGACTTCCGCAGATTCCTTTACAAACTCTTCCAAACTCGTATAGCCGGCTAACAGAATTTTCTCTCTTCGGAGTCGCAAGGTCTCCAGACGAAACACGCCTTTCCTGTACTCTTTGTCGGCTTCTTCAGCCTCTCGCTTGGCCTTTACGCTTCGCATAGGTCCAGAGCCCCTCTCAGCGATGGGCAATATCTGCATATCCTTATTGACAGGCCCATTTCCCTCTCTCACATCTCTCCGCTCATTGAGAAAGTTCATGAATTGACCGAATTGTTTTTTGCCGTGTTGCGCTAAATCGGAAAACCCTCCTGATCCTGATGGAGATCGAGCTCGTTGTGTCGGAAGTCCAGCTGATGGCGGAAGCGGAATGGGAGATATAGCCTGAGGCGCCATCGGTACATTGGAAAGAGAGCCTCCGGGTCCAGTGGGAGCGGCCAGTGGGTTTGAGAGGAGTTGCTTCTGCATCTCGATGGCACGTTCTTGGGCACGATGGTCCTTTCAGAGGGAACCGCAGGTAAGCAACGGCCTGAACAGATTGCCCAATTGCGCACCTCTACGTCCTGGCATTTTTTGATGTAGTTGCGCTTCAGTCTGGGCAAAGTGCTCTCTGCCATCTCCTGGTAACGCTGATAACTCTCTTTAGAATCTTCCTTGATACGCTTTCGAGTACGCTCCTGCGTTTCCTGGGCAATACTAAGCAATTATCCAAGCATAGTGATAGACATCACAGTCACTTTGAAGGCAGACAGCGGGGCTAGAACGTCCTGGCGGATTGATTCGATGAAGGCACCACGTGTTGTAGCTTCGCGTTCCAGTTCGCCTGTCACCTCCCGCCATGCCAATCTTGTAGAACTAGTTTCAATGCGGCTGACCGTTTCACTGTCATTATATGCACCGCAATGTTTGGAGGTGAAAAAGGCGCACTCTAATTGACTATCAACGTTTTTCGCGCGCTGGCACAGCTTGAAGAGTGCCTCCACACTGCAAGATTGACCTCAGTGCCTCGCGCACTGCTCGAAAGACAGCTTACTAGTTTTCCTCTAGCTTCGCTCTTCGTTTCGGGTCAATTAGTGGACGAAAGTCATGAAACGAACAGAGCCTACCTCTCTTGGAAAAAAGCAATGTAGGAGTCATTGAGGACCTTGAGATGGTGGTCGAACCAAGGCACGGGACCTGGTTGTGATAGGTCGTTGGACATTGTAACCTTGTCGAAAGAAGGAACGAGGTGACCAGCAGATGAATGTTAAGGACTGGACTGATGAAAGAGAGCGGAGGAGAGCACCGCTTGATGCGGAGGGACGCAAAAGGCGCTTGCCGCTGGTACGGAAATGCAAGTTGCGCCCCACGTGGATCCTATGACGAGGACCCGCCCCGCACATGATGCGTTTGGATGTTGTTGGTCCCTTGATCTCTCTCTCTGACGGGCGTCTATCCGCTCAAACGAATATTCTCATCATGGTTAGACAATTTCATGCTGTCATCGACCATATGCTCGTAACAATTTCTCACATGTAGAACTTCTCCTGATGCTACATTCGCACGCTTCTTTGGTCACCAGTATACAACTCCTTGTGCTTACGGTACTCGATCTTCGACTCCCTCACCAGCCGAGCTGCTCATATGTCCACCCATAGGTCAATGGTCCCGGATACTCGCATAAATGCTTGCTTTGATTCAGGGTGTTGAGTGTCTTCACGTCTTCTTCGTCAAGTGTAGGCAGCTGACAATGTACATGTCAGGTGGATTATCCTTTTTAAACCAATCCCATCACTGACCAGGAGATTCGACCTCTGTCTGTCAACACTTGTACTTTTGGGCAGGACAGTGATGCCACGTGAAATTACCCAAGATAAAGAGACTTGGGCAGGCGATGTGTTATGTTTCTCCGCTATTTTCTTGACTTCAGGGTGATTCTGCGTGGGTGCGTACCCTTGTGCCATCATGAGCTGTGCTGTCTAGTCCAAAGTAGTGCTTACCCGTCGCTGAGTAACCGATAACATGAACGCCTTTACTCTCGCAGTACTTCTGCAGTTCGAATTGGGCGCACAGAGGATGGATTTCCACCTGATTCACAGCAGGTACCACTTTTGCTGTCTTGAGCAACAATTCGAGGCTAGTGCAAGGTGTCAAGGAACTGCCAAGTACTGGGAACCGCTACGAACGTCTTGACAGAAAGATTTGACACGCCAATTGCCTTGACCTTGCCCGTATCTACGAGCTCCTCCATCTCTATCCAAGTCTCCACAAAGTCCGGATGATCAAGCACCTTGAAGTGTCCGTCATTGACAGGATCGGGGTATTCGGCTGTGAACAAGGGTTAGACGCCGTCAAGAAAGATTAGAAAGTGTGCACCGTCGAGTTCGAACGCCATTGGCCAGTGCATCAGGTACTGCATTCGTCAAGTCACAACCCACGTAGGAAGACAATAAAAATCCAAACCAGATCAAAATAATCCAAGCCCGAGTCCTTCAAGCTCATGTCCAGAGACTCCTTCACACATCCATGATGATTATTCCTGAAAACCGTGAACATGCGTCTGTGGGCAAGGTGCATACGTAGTACGGCAGCTTTGTGGTGATGAAGAGTTGTTCACGAGGGATTCCAGATTCTCGCACAGCTTTCCCAACGTATTTCTCCGTGTGATAGCCTTACCAAAAGGCACAGATTAATTTCCAATCGTGCCAATTGAGCAAAGGAACGCTCACTGTAAGCCGTGTCGATATGCTGCCCGCCTCCCTCAGTCTCTTTCATTAACACTTTTTAGGTAAGACACACCCGATATCCCACCTGCAAAGCACTCAAGATCCAAGGTTTCGACGCACTCTGCAGGTCCTCTGTCGGGCCAGCATACGTTCCCAAACCTGTGTGTAATTATTTGAGCTCGTTTCTCCCGACAGGTGAGTATGAGTCAGTACCAATCATGGGCAGAGTTTGCCCTGTGTTAAGCGTCACAGTCGGGATCTCTGCCATCCTCGATTTACAGAAAGTAGAGCAAATGGGATGCCAGCGCAGTCGGTTGGTCGAGGTGTTATAGCACGCCTTGCATCCTACTGTACGTATCATGTGATGTTCATGGGCGAGAAAGTGGAGGAGTTGCACAAGCACCTCATGGGGATATCCTCTGCGCGGAGGCACAAACTTGCGAGACGAAGCCTTCTACGAGTGTGAATAGTTCAAAGGGATAAATACTCTGAGATCACCGACTGTCCATGCAGATACATATATACACAGCCTACTACAGCCTAGACGCATATGGCTGAAGCTGGCCGTTCCTTTCCCCTCCGCCTGCAGCAACACGTGCCATTATATCGTCCTGTGGGGTATCCTCGTCCTCATCCTCTTCTCCACTGTTAAGCCGCTCCAATCTGCCATCCTCTGCAGCTCCGAGTCCGAGGCCCCAACCGCCCTGCATCCCTAGCCCCATGGGCAGCGCGCTCCCCACAGGGAAGACACCTACTCTTGGAGTATCCTCCACCTCGCCTTCTGCAGCGGAATCGCTATCCTCCCGCCACTGGAAAGACTCCGCATAATTCTTGGGCGCGACGCGGCCCCGGCGGTCGCGTGGTCGTGAGAGGGAGGCAGAGGAGAACGAAGGGAGGGAGACGGGGGATTGGTAGGCATATTGTCCGTGCAGGGGACGGATGGTAGGAGAAAAGGCACGCAAGAGGAGATGAGCGGCTGTTGGCGCTGCGTTTGGTTGGCTTGAGGAGGACGATATGAGAACAAGCAACCTGGAAGTTCGTTAGGTTGCATTCGAGCAGCATACCCATATGCTCACATCTGCTGGAACTTTGGGCCCCACTGCGCGTTCTTCTCAAAATCACGACTCTTCAGATAGGTCAATAGTTTTGGATAGAGCCCATCCAGCACGCGATCTCTAAAAGCGTGAAGGACGAGCATGCGCACATCTACCCTGTTGGCGGGGACGAGGATGGGAGCCTCCTCGTCTGTCTGATCCTTTACTCTCTTGGTAGACGAGCGGAGACCATTGAGCAAGGGATCGGTTTGGAAGGGAAGGAAAACCCCTTCAACATAGGGGAGAACCTGGCCGTAAAAGAACCCCCACTTGTCGACGAGCCTTGCAAGAAGCTTGTCTCCCTCCAGGGCGTGCAAACCGGCATTGAGCGTGACCATTCCGGTGGATACGAGTTCATTGAGATCCGCCTCCATCATTTGCATGACCTTGCTAGGGCTGCGTGATATGGCTGCGTGCAAGTGAGCACGGACGAGGATATTGAGGTCCTCGATGGGGACGCGCAGGGGCTCGCCGTTGAAGAGGGGAAGGACGTGGACGTGCAGCAGGGGCCATGGTTCGCCCTGTGCTGCGAGCTGGGCCTGGGATGCGGAGAGTATGGGGAGCTGGGACGGCGGCTGAGGAGAGAGGGAGAGAGAAGTGGATGAGGCAAGGGGAGCTCCCAGATGAGGGATGGTGATGTGATGTGAGTGAGAGTGGGGCAGTCCTAGCTGGGGTGATGATGGGAGATGCGGGAGAAATCCGAGCCTGTCCAGTTCTGATCTAATGTGTTTGGTGTCGTAGTTTCGTAGTGACTTTTGTGGTGACTTTTGAGGGATAGGTGAAGATGCAGCTTCCCTTAAGAGAGATGAGGGATATGAGCCATCCGGGCGAGAAGACTGCGACCGCGTTGGCTGGAAGTGATGAAATGAAGATGACGATGGAGGTGCAGTGGGAAGTGAGGTAGGTATGTCGACCGTCTGACCCCGAGCGGTAGGGATGGGTGTCCTTCGTGCCTTTGTGAGTATTCTATGATCAGGTATAGGCGAATTTGACCGGGAGTGGGATGGTCCTTGCGGTGGTTGGCGCATAATTGGACGCGGCGTGTCGCTCGATGCACGAGAACGAGTGTCTGGACCGGTAGGAGAGGACGCCCTCGGTGGTGGTGGTGGTGGTGGTGGTGGTAAGGGCGACGCAGCACGGTTGGTCGGTGTCCGTGACTTCATTGTGCTTGGGAGAGTTGAGGGGAACAATCAACGTTGTAAACTTGCACTGGTTCTTTGAACGGGCGCTTGTTGTCAGGTGATAAGGGGCTGTGCTGATGTATAAGACTGCGGAATCGATGACGCAGCTGTCGGGCCGCTTATTTCCTTACCATCTCCGGAGCTTGTCAATCAGACAAAAGGCATATGACGGCGAATCGGCAGTGAACGTGGACAATCTGGTCTCAAATACCGCAGCGGTGGCACTCTCACCGATAATTCCCAGCTTTGCATACTTATCTTCTCACCATTCCCTTGCCACGCCCCGCAGCCACTTATACTCATCCCCTTCTTGCTTTCTTGTATCTTACTCTCAGGCTTGTAGCAAATATCCGTACACTCTGAATGCCACTCATTAAACTAAACTCACCCATCCCAGTCCCCCTTCCCAAAGAAGTTCAGAAATGCGCAAAGATCCGTAAGTCGTCTCGCATTCATCCAACTCCATCAAACCTAGGCCTTACATCTCCGCAGTTGAGTCCTTCGTCGACTCGTCCAACAACGGACTGGACGGTGTCATTCCACGTCAAGTCCTTCAGAACGCTAAAGGGTTCGCAGTATGTTCCCATGTCCCTCGCGCTAGCCGGCGCACAAAGTGATCGATGAACACAGATCTTTACCGTCTTCAAAGCAGGATTCGTTGTCTCCGCTCGCGCCGGGAGCGGAGTCGTCATCGCCAGACTGAACGATGGGTCCTGGTCTGCACCCAGCGCAATAGGCACCGCGGGTATGGGATTCGGTGGTCAGGCAGGCGCGGAAGTCACCGATTTCCTGGTCGTTCTGAATTCCCGGTCGGTACGTATCTGCTCTCGCCAGTTGCGCCGAATCTGATCCTTTGCTAGGCTGTCCGAAGCTTTATGAGCGCGGGATCTCTCACCCTCGGCGGTAACATGTCTATTGCCGTTGGCCCTTTGGGCAGGAATGGCGAAGCTTCTGGCTCACTCAACACCAATGGCAAACTCGCAACCATGTACTCGTACTCTAAAACCAAGGGTCTTTTCGGTGGGGTCTCCATCGAAGGGTCAATCCTTGTCGAACGCCAGGATGCGAACGCTAACGCCTATCGTGCTGACGTCACTGCACAGCAACTCTTGAGTGGGGCCGTCCCCCCTCCCTATTGGGCTGAGCCGCTCATCCGCGCACTGGAAGCATGCACGGGCCTGCCCGGCGGAAGGAAATGGATCAACGAAGATATGGACGACTGGATCGCCAGCCCGAACCCGTACAACCCTAGTAGGATGGGCGGGGGATATGAGTTCGGCGGGATTGGCACTCCGCCGCCAGATCGCCATAATCGGAGACGGTCGCTCTCCAGCTCACTCTCCCGGAAGTCTCACGAAGATGAGTACTTCCCCGAGGTGCCAGACCATGATTTTACTGCTGTATCACCTCGTCCCGGCGTGACCAGACGGCGTAGTCTCTTCGGCAGCAAGGGGAGCAGGAACAACGCCTACTTCAACAAGCAGCTCGAGATCGATGGCTATAGCGTGCCCAATCGTGGACACGACAACGACGTCGACAGTAAGCCATCCTCCGAATCCTTCGGGAGCTCAGAGTCCTCTGCCAGGGGTCCGCATGCGCGTGAGCGGGCAGGCAGTTTGAGCAGGTTCTGCAGCCTCAGTCTACGCCCAAGATCTCGCTCTAGTCGATCCACCCCTGGATTGCCTAGGGATAGGGACGATGATGATCCCTGGAACGAGGAGGGGTATTTTCTGAACGAGAAGGATGAAGGGCGCCGGCGGTCAGAAGGAAACGAGTGGGATGAGTGGGAGCCGGAGCCCGACCCGAACTACTCTTACAAGATATACAAGCCCAGGTCCCGCGTGGACAAGGCAGTGGTGGACGAGTTCGATCCGTATGCGCCTAGCAAGGCGTACACGACCCCTAGTGCCCACCCGCCGACCTCACAGCTTCACCCGCCCCCGCCTGTCAATGACTTCAGCGAAACCGACGAGGCGACTCCGTTTGGTGACGAGCTGGAGCTCGAATCAAAGCCTAGGCCAACCAGGCAACTGAGCAACAAGACAGATTTGAAAGCGCCTGATCTCGGCTTGGGCAAGGGCATCGCGTTGTACAACTTCGAGGCTCAGCAGTCGGGAGACTTGGGGTTCAGGAGGGGAGATGTGATTGTCATTACGAAGAAGTCTCAGTCGACGGACGACTGGTGAGTACATCACCTCCTGCGTAGCAAGATTTCACCTGACAGGTCCCAAGGTGGACAGGAAGGATAGGCGGCAAGGCGGGCATGTTCCCGGCTAATTATGTAGAGGTGGTCTGAGCATAACACCTCGAAGGCCTTTGAAAATTGAGGGTTCTGTACACGGTGCTGTTGTATGAGTGAATATCTTGGAGTTGGATCGGAAATATGTATGTTTAGAACATGTTCGAGTTGAATCAGAAATATACATGGATCTGTCGGAAGGAATACATATGTCGTTTGACCTCTGAGCGCTAGGAAAAAGCAACAACATCATTCACCATACTGATTCAAGGCCGCTAAATTTGTTGGAGGAATTCTTGTGTTGTTGAAAGCACTGAAGACACTTCTACTCATCTTCCACCTCGGGCAACACGATGGACAGGCTAATGTTATGTTGGATACAGCGTGTTGTGAGTGTTAGAACGACCACTGTTATTTCATGCTTCGAAGACACCTGAACAGTACTCTACATGCCTCAATGTAGCCAGTTGGGGTAGCAGACGAATCTCGGAAACACCAGAACCCTCGGGCTGTCTTGGAGTGCATTAGGATGCCATGAACACATAATTCCTATAAATGCTCTCATCCGATCAGGCAATAAGCAATCAGGAATGCATGGCAGCCGGGGACTCAACATTTGCGACCAGAACAGTGCACCTGGGTTGACCTTCCCTGCACAATGACTAATCCCCTGCCATCCACATACAGCGTAGGTTATAGCGTTCTGGGCGCTTATCGGAGCAGTGCGTGAAGATGCACAGATTATGGCCCCAGTTTCCACTGTTCGTTTGTAAGGTAGATGATGTGCATCGATGATAATAAGGTTGCGGGGACAAAACAGAGTTTGCACAGCAAACCTTGTAAAGGATGGTTGCCGTGATAATCAGTGATTGGTCCCGCCCCCTTTAGGGTGGCTTAGACGCCGCTGCGTATAACGATAGCCAACTTCTCTTGTCAACCACCACTTGGGCACGCATATACCTCCCCTTAAGTATTTCGGTTAGATATTTACAATGGCTGCATCGAAGCCGACGTCCAAGGCAGAAGAGGCCCTTCAGTTCCTGGACGACCTCGACTCGTTCACTCCAGCCGCCGCACCAGCCACAACAGGTGGTCCAACAGAACCGACCACCGCTTCTACACTTCCCCCACCGGGTGAAGCAGCTGAGGTCCTTGCGTTCTTGGATGAGATTACCCAGAAGAGCTCCGAGACTCCCAAATCCACTGCGTCTATTATCGCTGCTTCCACGTCGCGTCCGCCGTCTGCCACGCCAGGTGCTGCCGCTGCAACCCCGTCCGCTGCAAACCCCAACCGCGTTAGTCCGATCCCTAGTGCGCGTCAACAGGCAATCGAAATGTCTGCGGCTGAAGCATCTGAACACCATAGGACGCCATCACAAACTGGCGGCTGGGGATGGGGAGGTGTCGGGGGGCTATGGTCAACTGCGAGCTCGGCGTTGCAGCAAGCGAGGAGCGTAGCCGAGGAGCAGGCAAAACAGTTGCAGAGCAATGAGCAGGCAAAGAAGTGGACTGAGGGTGTTATGGGCTATGTCAAGAACGCTAACCTGGATAAACTCAGTGAGTCATGCCAGCGCGTATCTGCTCCCACATGTTGTGACATGACATAGGCCAGGATCTTAGAACGGCTGGGATCAGCACATTTAACGAGATTCTCAATGCTGTCGCGCCACCTATTGCTGAGCACGAAGTGATTCAAGTCTGGTTGAGCCACGACATGCATGGATACGAGGGTGTGGAATCGTTGGTTTATCGCTCTCTCACCAAGATCATGGAGCAAGTAGAGGGCGGTGACTTGGTTGTGAACAAGGGCAATGAATCTAAACCTAGGAACACTCCTGCCTATGAAGGGGAGAGGGATTTGAATGCCGTCGAAGGCTATGAACAGGCGCTGAAACTCGCCCAGGTGAGCTCGCTGTGACAGAGTGTCCTCCACGACTGACTGGGTGTGTAGGCAAACCTTGAGGATATGATCAAGTCGCATGCAGACAAGCCGACTTCGTCACGGGCAGTCTCACAGCATAACCCAACGACCTATTCCAGCGTCTTCCTCCGTATACAGCCGTACTTCGTAGATTTGTCGCTGGACCCAGGTGCGACGAGCGATAATGCACCGAGGAAGCGCCAGCTTCAATTCCTCCTACATCTCTCTGACCCCACGCATACTCTACTGCATACACAGATCACCCAAGGTGTACCTGCTGAATGGCTCATGATCTGGGACGACAATGAATGGGTGGAGGATATGGTTGTGGAAGCAATTCGTTTAGGCATCGAGGTTATCGGCCAGGAGTATGTGGTGGCAAGAATGGGTTGGATGAGGAAAGGCGAGCAACCGGCTAAGCCAGAGGAGGAGACAGAGAAGAAAGCATGACGGGAACTTTATGATTTGACCCCCTTTCCTTCTATCATTTGATGTCCAACAACTTTGTATGTACATTTCTCCTTACAAGATGGAATACACATGATATCTAGCTGGCCCTCCAAAAGGTCCTGGACGGAACAGGTTATGATGCCTCAGGCGGAACACGACTAGCAACTTTGGCTACGCGAGCACACTTATACTAATAAGATATAGAATGTTAGCCCAATGCTCTAAATGTAGAGAAGTCTCGCGCACTTTTAACATGTCGACTGCTCGGTTAAGAGCCATTCCACAAACATTGCACTGTGCGACGGAGGTCAGAAGGCACTGCTGCATCTCTTCTCCGACATCGGAGCCTGCGTCGAGCCGTGTGGCCACAGTCCTTCGCGCTCGTTCCCAGAGCTTGGTCGTGGCAGGCCCATGCAAGATACAATTGCCGTACCCATGGGGGAATATATCCTCTGTGAGCAGAATCTCGCGAAATTTTTCAGTTCGATGGGCTTGTAGGCGAAGCACTTCGTGATACGCCTGTGCTGATGGCAGTGACTTGATGATGCTTTCTGGCCATTTAGAGAGTGGAGGATGGTGAAGGTATGCGGTTGCCTGATCGGCCATGTCGGGGATATTCCAGCGGGTCGCAAGAGCGTAGACCTGCATGGGAAACCAGGGTATATGCGCCGACAAGTGGGTGTGGATTGTGTCAAGGAAATGCGACTTGAACTGGTACTTGTCTGCCATCGTGAGCAAAGACGAGATTGTCTCGATCGAAAGCGGGCTGTCTTCTGCCGAGTAAGGGTTGGGAGGGTAGTGTATGAACTGCAGCAGCTGCAAGAGGGCATCGGATGCCTCTAACACATCTATCGTCGGGTTATCCGATGGTGTACAAATGGTGAACATGTCGTCGAAGACAGCGCTTGCCGAAATTAGAGATTTGGACCGTGCTGGGAAGGTGCTGCCGTCCAGTGATGATCTAATTGTCAAGTCCGCATCGGGGCAAGAATAAGAGGCTTGATCACAAGTCGCCATAATTTGTCAAGTGAGGAAGGGAGGATATATTTGTGGGGTTGAGGGAAGTTCACTTCACATTGTTCATATGATTGTCCACAGTATCATCCGCAGTGAAGAGTCGACGTGTCTCAAAGGAGTCCGACGTGTCCCGCTAGTCACGAAAAGGGTCCAACTCCTCGGCACGGAATTACTCCAAGTCCCGGGAAAACACAAGAAGAGCCTTCCTAGTTGCACGTGAACTTGACCCGGTTATGACGTCTGATGATCGTCTGCACACCCACACCAGCCAGTCCCTCCTGTTCCCCTCTACCACCGACAGCACACAGAACATGGACATCAACGCTCTAATTAGTAACCCAGCGTTCCATGATATCTTCAGTGTCATTAAGGGCGCACGAAATGGCTTCGTATACGGCGTCAAGATCCGCTTTCCCCATGCCTTGATAATGTCTCTCCTCTTTGGTCGTGGAGAGTAAGTCTCTGTTGCTTCATGCTACCCGTACTTCGCTCATGAAGTTTGTCAAAGCTGGAGATCGCGCATAAGGGTGATCTACCGATTAACCAGGCAACATGCGGTCAATCTCGCAAAATTCGTCTCCCTGTACAAGGCTCTCTGTATCCTACAACGCCGGGCAAACGGGGGCAAGGAGAGGTCTTCAGACACTTTCATTGCGGGTCTCATAGGTGGCTATCTCGTTTTTGGAGCCAGGAATGCGGTGAATGAACAGGTGAGCATTCCTGGATGCCTGCAGCTTTTTTCTCTCTTTGAGCTGATGGCTCAACTGTAGATTGTTCTTTATGTCTGCTCTCGTGTCATCGCTGCCCTCATTCCTCGCTCTACAGCACCTTCCGAAAGGAAACACCCCGGCCGTCCCATACCACCTGATTCCAGTCTATTCACCCTGTTTGCCGCTGTTTGCTGGGGCGCTGTCATGTGGCTCTACCGCTACAAGCCGCAGACCATTCAGCCCGGCATGTTCAACTCCATGATGTACCTCTACACGGACTCGGAGAAATTCAAGGACTTGCGCACACTCTTATGGAGCAACACATGAACGTCATTACATGTATTATTGCTATGTTATACAGTGTAGAGAGCTCTGAAAGAGGGTCTTGTGTTACACATCACATTTCATCGAGGTCCATGTTTTCAAGAGGGGGGGTTTGCACAAAGGCGAGCTCCTGTTCTCTCGCAAAAGTCGCTTTGGCACTGGACCAAAACTCCGATACTGTGCAACAGTCGAGCCTATACTGAAGTCACCGTGTCAGGAAGCATAAATCAAGGCACAGAGGCTCCTTCGCACCTGATATGTGTCTCGTCCTTCTCGACCAGCAGACGTGATCACAACAAAACGTCGATATGATTCGAGAAGCTTGGGTTGCGACTGCATGGACAGCATGTCTTCGAACACATTCTTGATCACGTCGTTCATGTCAATTGATGGTTTTCCTTCCGTTGCGACCGCTCGGCACAAGTCGAGCAATTTGCCAGGATCAGCTTCCAGAAGCTGAAACTGGCCCACCGTCCACATGTATGCCATCTCTTCCAAGAGGTGATTCTCATTAAGTGGTTGTTCTGTTGTCTGAACAGTGGTTTCTTGCTTGGCGCGTAGACGCTGCAGAATGCGGTCCATGGACTCGGTTAAAATTAGGCGATCTTCCGTCTTGCTTGTTGCCAGAATCAATGTGACCAATGCCCATGTCCTGCAAAGTCTTAGAGGCTCATTCTACGCACTGGCTTTGTCGGAACTCACTGCCGCTCGTTTTGAGGGTCTTTGAAGTCCTGGATGGCTGCGAGTACAGGGGGAATGATGTAACATTGCCACCCTTGCATCTTGCTCAAGTCGTTCACGAGTTGGACAACAGCCAAAGGATCCTCGAGCAGGGCTTGTGGGGTAAAGGTCACGATGCCACCTGTAAAAGGCTGAGTGCCGCACATTTGGTAACAGAAAGCTAACGAAGATACCTCCAATCGAGATCAACCGGGGTTGTGCTTCTGTAACTGGATCATTATGCAGCGGGTCGCCCAGGCCAATGCAATAGAAGTACACCCGAGGGTATTTTCGCACCCGAATGAGTTCCTCCATCTGGTCCCCAAACCCCACCACACGCATGGTCTTCCGGTGAATGAAGATAAAGGCCTCTTGATCTATGATTTCGCCCAGTCGTCGAGAGGAAGCGCGGAAGTGTCCTAATGCACTTTCGAGACTCCGCAAGTCCTCCGTAAGAAAAGGGTCGCTGTTAGTTAGATCAGGCAGGATGCAGTACGCCTTCCCTTTCATGTCGTTCTCAAGGACGGTTCTGGGGAATAACAACTTCTCGATCGCGTACGACACGGCACCAGTATTGCCTACTGATGCCTTCGTGCCCTGCCCAGCTGAAATAACATCAATATTTCGACTCCAAGCTGCAGTATCCGGAAGTTCCACCGCAGCGATAATGATTCCATCCCAAGATTTCCACGGAGGGACTTGACAAGTTTGTGCCACTTCGAAGTTACTCGAATGGAATAAAAGCATCACCCGTTTCTTTTTCTCGTTTGTCTGCTCGACATAGGCGCCAGCCACCTGATACAACCCCCTCGTAAGCTTCCTTTGATTAAAAAAGGGCATCATTGACTGACCACGCTGAGATCACGTAGCCAGTGGACAAAATTTGAGAAAAGAGAGTTGGCACCGTCGGTCGTCTGCCCAGTGGAAACTACAAACAGACCCGTCTGCAAAACCTTCGCATGCTCCAGCATCCGGAGAATAACTGGTTTCATATAGAAGGAGACTATGTCAAGGCGGTGGTCACGAATCAGGAAAGTCAACTTGGGAGCAAGTTTTCGTCCGGCGGACACCTGGGCGAGTTTCACCTGAGCAATGACTTCTTCCCCCGAGTATATAGTGACCAAGAAGTTTTCGGAAGATGTTGCGCCCGCAACGTTGGATACTCCTCTATAAAGAATGATCATTCAGGGACAGGGAAAACCCTCAGGGAAGCGTGATTCACCGTTGTTGTCCACCGTCCACCTCCATCGCGTCACGATCAAGGCATCCTTCACGCCTGAAATCCACATCAGTGAGTCCAGCTCTGCTTAGCCCCTCTTCATTACCTACTCATCTATGTCACTACTGTCCATAAGCTCGACGCTGTCATTAACGTTGGTCATCCGTGAAGTCAGACTTCTTAAAGTGCGTACGGTTCTGGTTGATCACTCCTGATATTGGTAAGATCCACAATTTGTTGCGGTAATTGCTTTGTTGGCACGTCAGATACATCGTCAGGTGTTACTGGATGACCACCAGCGGCTTGTGGCGACTCGTGCGTGGTTCGTACCTGATTGATTACTGGTAAATCGTCATGAACTGGTAGGGGATTGTCGCCCTCATCGTAATCAGGCAGCGTTTCTTCTAGCTTGACTCCATCCTCTGCGGTGGCATCCTCCAAAGTGGTGTCATCCGGTCCTTCTCCACTTGTACCCATTAAGCGGGAAATGATTTTTTGTCTTGCAGTGAACGGTGGGTGTGACACGCCACCCTCGTTCTCAGGAGCTTGCGCTGGATTGTTGACCTGAGGCTCATAGAATTTTATTCGACTCTCTTTCCATGACTTCGGACCAGCGGTTTTCGGGGTCGTTGTCTGATCTGCTGCTTTCGCTTGATCGTCCGGAGCGGGTTCAGTATCAGACGCCGGGGGAGAATCTCCGAATAGATCCTTCATATCCCTCCCATCGACCCCGACCGGAATTGTAAGAACTTCCGGTGTAGCGTCCTCTGGCGAAACCGCCCTAGCAGGAGCCTCAGCTGGCGCTTGCTTCGGCGCTAAAGAGAATCAGATGGATTGGAGCCAACCTGACATAATATAATACCTATATTGCTGCTCCACAAACGAGTGGGTTGAGCAAATGTCCGCTTTTCCTTCGGTTGAACAGAGGTCGCCGTTGACTGCGGATCATGATGCTCCGCGGGGTGTTCCACCATATTCTTATGACGGGCTCTGCCTTCTTGCAGTTTATGAATCGCGCTATCTCTCGCCTTGTCCGCGATCTTTTCCCTGAGAGACTGGCGTCTTGTGTGTGCATTGTCTTCTTCTACTGGAGATGCGGACTTGACCTGAGATATTCGAGAACATTTCAGTCCAAGTTTAGGTGAGGTAGATTCTTCCTCAGAGAATTCATCCTCATCCATTTCCGTGTCGTCGCGGTAGCTCATACTCTTTTGTCGTGTCTTGCGCTTTGATGAAGCCGACATCGGGTCATCGGCGAGAATCTCAGAGTCAGATGGTGCTTCAGCGGATTTGGATTTTGATTTGTTTCCAGAGCGTTTTTTGCCCGACGTCCGCAATTGTGGTGCAGGTGCCTTTGGTGCCGGCAGCTGCCGAGTAGCTTCTGCTGACCGACTGGCTATTGTCTTGCCCTACAATAATCATGTTAGGCAGTGAGTATTCGAGTGAACCCTCGACGAATATGCACCTTTGCCTCCTTAGTCTTGGATTGATTCCTTATGCCTTCTCTCTGGTCAACTAGTTTTTTGACAAGTTTCTTTTTCTCTTTCCTCTGTTCCTTTTCCTTGATTAATCGGAACCGCTTTTTTTCCTCCTCTAGAGACGTGATAGGCAGCGATCCTCTTTAGAAGAATAACAGCTTACCAATCCACCCTTTTGTCGCATCAACACGATAGCCGAACTCATAATGCTCGTGGTCTTGATCGCTTCCCGTCCCGACCCAGAACCGCTTGAGCAGAGCTTCTGTGTCCTGGTTGAACTGATCCTGATGTTCCCATCTGAAACCCAGCTGGAGTGAGTCCACGTTCCATGATCCATTGAATGATTTTTTACGTGTTTTCAGAGTCCGAGAAACCCGCCCACTGACAGGTCGTGAGCTTCCCTTCATATTGAAAAGGCACAATTCAGACCTTTACCAAATAGCTCTATGGACAGCGGTAAATATGGGGCAGAAAAGGTCAGCGAAAGCTTACCCATCCAGGATAAGTCTTCTTGTCACCAGGTTTCTTGTCTTCTTGTGGTTTATCCTCAACTGCCTCTGCAGCTAATATACACTCTCACGATAAAATAGTTTTAGCACAAGTAGCATGAAGATCATTCATATGTTACCTACCGACTTCGAATGTGTTGTCACCTCCTTCAGACGGCCCAGTTGAGCCTACGTTGTTGTGATTGCTCATGGCGTGCTGTTGACCAACTGAAGTTTACGGTCAGGAGAGAAAAGCTTGCACACATACTCAACAATTCATGAATTGATGGGCACTGGAATGCCTCCGCGGCAGCTCCCATGCCCCGGAGCCGAGCCTCCGATATCACCCGCTAACATCAGCCTGCGACGAGTGCCCCCCCTTGTCAACTGAACCTTGCCAGCACCGCTCTCTATATCCCAAGATGGGTATGATGTTGAGAGAGTATTTGACTGGAAAGAAAGTATTTGGATGCCGTGAATGCCGTGCGCATCTGTCTACCGTCGAAGCCATAATATCCAAGGCCTGTCTTGCGCTCAGCTGATATCGCGTCTTTTCTTACGAAACATCACAGGCATTCAATGGTCAACATGGGAGAGCTTATCTATTTGATTTTGTGTGAGTCGTCAGTGTCTAAATGCCAATTAACGTTCTAACTGCCTCGTAGCGTCAATGTAGTGGAAGGTGAACCCGAAGAACGGTCGATGACTACGGGATTACATACGGTCCGCGACATTTATTGTATTAAGTGCAATCAGACGCTCGGCTGGAAATATGTATGTATCACATACATTACATATCAACAGTATCTCACAATACCACAGGATAAAGCGTTCGAACAGTCTCAGAGATACAAGGAGGGCAAGTACATCCTGGAACGGACATTGCTGGTTTATGTCGAATAGCCCGGGCAGAAGTTATCTCGCCTGCCCGATGCTCGACTTTCTCCGTCTATCTACAGCCCGTTTCCATATCCTTCTTGTGCACAGTCAAGACAGCCCTGTCGGGCTCGGTGCTGACGGTCCTTTGGGACCACAACAATCCGTCAAGGAACTTGTCGGCCACTAGCGGCATTTTGGCCTTTCTGCCCCTTTCCGAGGGATGGAGCTGTGCTATCGCTGGTCCCATCCATCGAGTATCTATCCAGAAACCACCCGCTCAACCACAATCTTCAACAACGCCACTTCGAGAGTACCCGTCTCAGTCTTCCTCGGGCGATCTGTCGGGTGCCCAATTCAGGAAGACTATCCTATCCGCACGAGCCACCCTCTCGGCCTTCTCGGTCATCCAACCGTTGCTATCCTAGACGCCTGATCCGAGGTGTGCGTGTAGATGGAGTATTTAATTTCTGTTATGTATCTATCTTCATAGGTGGTCGCTCATAATAATACTCTTTCCGGTTGCGCGTCGATTCCGGCTCCGACGATTTGGTTCAAATGAACTACATCGTTTAAGCGCAAAACGCCGGAAGACGGGTTACACAGGCCCACTACAGGACTGAGCGAGCATCGATCTATGAGGAGAGAAGTATCGCTGTTGCGACAAATTGGTGTTTTGGTACACAGTGTGCAACCAAGTTCGTGACCGATGGTCGACCATATGAGAGGGTCACAATGTCACACGTTCGAAATTTTCGAAATCACAGCCGGGTACGGATTTTGGCCTGCCAACTCGTTCTCTTGCGTTCCGCCTGTTCCCATCACTCAATTGTGCGCCCCTCATGCCGACGTTGGCCAGAACATTGCCGTCGATCACCAGGCTCCGAGACCTTCCTTATTCATGGGGAGTGGTAGCATTGACAGCAGGCGTCAACCCATAACCCATCAACGGATTGATGTGGTGCAACAGACATTTCCAGAGGGCATGGTACAAATTGATAACGGTGGAGCAGATCTGCCGCACGGGCATGCCCTGAGGGCCAGGTGGATCGACAAATGTGCAAAGAATGGATGTCACTGTCCCATGGAGATCTTTGAGCAACGGACTCGAGCACCGGATGCACAGACAACCGGTGGGATCACTAGCCGAGGCGACGAACAAGATAGCGAGCACAGAGACTAGGGTGGCGGTTGCATTGGCATCCGAACGAGCAAGATGGCTGACCCTGGAAACATTGTAGCCATAGTGCAGTTGCAGGCGTCCCATGCATCTGAGAAGCATCGGCTAAGGCGATTCGGGACTGACCGGTGCCGAGAAGGCACACAAGAAACGCTCGTCGAGGTGTCATTACCATTATGTTCAGCCAGGGGCGGTAACTCCAAGAGGATTGATGAAGCGACCAGTCCTCAACCAGTCGGGCAACCGGCCGTAGGCCGACCACTGCAACAGAAGACGGCCGGTGACAGCCTCAAAGATACCACAAGGTATGTGATCGAGTCAATTTTCCGGATCCGTGATGACAATATTGAGCCTAGCATTCGAGACTGACAAGCGTTCGGCGCTGGGGCCGTGGTTGTTGAATATCATTAAATCGATAATAAAGTTCCTGGGGAACCCTTTCGGACACCTCGTGGGGAATCGACAAAGAGACCCCTGACTCGAGCAAACGGGTGAACTCGGGGAGGCGCCGTCATTGATCAAGATTAATATCTTCCATGCATGAGGGTGATGGTGCGGGTGCGAGAAAGGAAAGAAAATATTGAGGTGGTGATTGATGACCGAAGTGTGAAGAAGTTGTGGGTGTTGCCTGGGCTGTGGAGGACCAAGTACTCGGAGTCAGCGGCTGGTAAAGAGGGTCGGAGGAGAAGATCCGGAGTGACCGGGGTCCACCCCCAAAGAAATTCTAGGAAGGAAGGGCTTGCACCCCCTTTGGGCCACATGAGGCGCGTCAAGGGCAATGCGCACTGAGCTTCCGGCGTCTCCGTTCCAGTTCAGTTCAGTCCGTCCCACAGGTTACAAATACCCACCGTCATTCACTCATTCGCTCCTTGTCAACGAACGCTCTCCCTCCCCCCCGCACTAAAAGGTCTCCTCCCCACTCCCCATTCCAAGCTACTCGTCGTCTTCTCCACGCGGTATATCGATATACCGCTACAGCTAGTCAGTCCCACATTCCATTCTGGTTTCTTAGTCTTGTTCCTAATCACACTGCAGCTATTTGCCTGCCGATACCCAAACTGCCCGGGCTTTTGTGTCGTGTTCTATATCTCCTGTAGCAATGGGTGAGCTCCTCATTTCCCCCTTGTATATGCACTCTAATAGCATATATGCAGCTTCGTTGGCTCCTTCTCCTCTCTCTGGTCACTACGGATCTTCCCCTCTTAACCCCACTGCTCGCGCTGGTGGTCACCACGGAGGTGCTCCCATCCGTCGTAACATGTTTCCTACCTCTCGCCCTCTCCGTCCGTTTGCCCCGGCTATTTCTACGACCCCGTCCGTGCCGGGGAAGAAGGGGATCAAGCTTATAGTGCCCAAGAGCGACAACTCGCACATGTTTGTGCTTGACTTGACCCCTGATGAGCTGGCGAGAAGTACGTGAGGATCCGGTTGGGGTTATCGAAATGAGTGGATTGGGGTCGTGAGGGCTCTGTTGCTCTGGTCCCTGTGTCCTTCTGTGAACGTTCTGTTCTCCTTGTGCTTCCTCTCTGTTGTACGGAGTGTGGGCGGACGTTGCGTGGAGATTGTCGGGGAGATCGCGAGCGAGACCATGTATACTATCGCCATGTTGTTTAATTGCAACCATTACGTTTACGGTATTTGCCAGGGGTGTTGTTTTGAATAGATCAATATCACTAACAGAAACGTGGTCATCGTCATGTGGGCGATGCGATACACTTGCTGGCGTTTGGAATGAATATAATAGCGTAAACATGAACTGAGTGAGATTGACTAATCTCATTGCTATCATAAGCGTTGCAATAAAATCATTGGTTAACATGCCATTTGTGTAAGGTAGGCTAGTCACAGAAATGGAAAATAAACCAACATCAGATAAACCAAGCTCATGTGGCCCTGGGGTCGACCGTCTTTGTTCACACGTGACCTCTCTCACGGGAGCGCAAATCCCCCGGGAATGGCCCAGGGATTTCCGGAAGCAAAAGCACAACGTAGGAACGTCCACCACCACCTCTGCGCGGAGTGACTCCCGCAGTCTTGTCTGCGTATTCCTCGTCGGTCTACATCATTCCATCCGCACACATACCCTCAATGTCTTTCTCCAAACGTACTGCTACGCAAGCGAACCTTCCGATGCCATCTCCGAAGAGGATCTATACCAGTCGCGGTGTGGCGAAAACGGACCGCATTCTCGAGCCAGAAGTCGGCGGGCCTGAGGTCACATTGATGAATGAGTGGGCAAGTCCCATTATCGCCAAAGGGAAACAGGCTCTGTATGATGCTGCCTGTGCTGTGGGCATTATGGGAAGCACCGTATACACTGCTGTAAACAGGTGGTGGTGTAAGGACATTGATTGGATATGAGGGCGCTTGCTCATGCACATACTCAAATAGCCCCGCAACTTCTTCCAACCGCGGCTCCGACCACCAGCCGCTTCATGCGTAGTCTTCCCCGGCGCTCTATGCATCCCGTGGTCAAGAATGTTGTCTCTTCTACCACCCCTCCGCGACCGAATGACGAGGTGCCGTCGGACTCGTCGGGGCAAGCGTCGCCACCGACACCCCAGCCAAACGGTATTATCGGACCTCTGAATACTGCCGAATCTGACTATCCCCCTTTTGTACCCCGCCCAATGCCGCGCGAGTTTGCTATTCCAAAACTCGAAGTCGCCGAGAGGATGACTGAGCCAATCGTCAAGACAGATGACATGCGCAGGGCCGAAGAGGGCGAGCGCAAGCAGAACGAGCACATTCAGTGGGTTCGTGACTATCAGCGGCGCCGTTTTGAAAAGCAGATGATGGAGGCCTCTCCCGGAGAGCCCGGAGCAATCAGGAAAGCGTACAAGAAGCGGCACATCTTCCAAGATGAACACGACAAGAAAGTCAAGGAATCTTTGTTGAAGGCACTGTACAAGGTGTCAATGGATGGAGGTGTGTGATTCCCAACAGATTGTCGCGTTTCACGTCTTAATACCGCGCCAGGATACGAGCAGGATTTTGGCACGTACAAGGACTATGTGTCCTACCGTGAGAGACTCGAGTCTTCTAGTATGCTACTGGTACACCTCCTTTGCCAGAATCTTACTACAACTCACAGCATCATCTGTTAAATCTACCCCTGCACAAATCAACGAAGATCCATTCGCAGCAGCAGCTTTGGTGTGTTCATTTTCTTCTGCTTCTTTCCATCTGTCGTCTCACGCCTTTCTTACAGCACGTCTATTCCGAAAGTCCTTTCCGGCGATCGCTCAGAAAAGCTCGCGAAGCGGCCCTGCTCCCCGCTCCGACTGATCATTTTGCTCGGTGGTCTGCCGACCAGATACAAAAGAATCGTGAAGCTCGCGCTCGCAGAGAGGCTGAAATAGAAGCACGCATCAAAGCGCTCACCAAGAAACCCATCCCGAAGGACTTGACAGATGAGGAAAAGGCGGAGGTGGCTCGTATATTCAAGAAAATCAGTCCAGTCAATGAATGCGGCAAGGAAACCATCCAAGCGGATTCAGTCCAACGGCTGAAAGGCACCACTTGGCTGAATGATGAGGTGGTCAACTTCTACGGTGCTATGCTTCAACATCGTACCGATGACAAGCTGAAGGCTGCGGGTGGTAAACCCGGCGAGGGTGGAAAAGATCTTCCCGGTGGAAAGCGTGCTCTAGACATTTATGTCTTCAGCTCTTTTTTCTACTCCAAGCTCACAGAGGAAGGGTACGCCAAGGCCCGGATCGGAAGGTGGACGAAGAAGGCACGTTAGTATCCGACGTCACCATGTTCTTGTGTGCTGATTCGTCATCAGTTCGATATCTTCAAAAAGGACAAAATTATTTTCCCAATGAACATCGGAGGGATGCATTGGACGACTGGGTGCATTGATTTCTGCAAGAAGCGTATTGAATGGTATGACTCCTTGCAGGGTTCGTCCGGTCAGATCTTCCAAGTACGCTGCCCGTCATCACCATCAATGCAAACATTTGACAGTGAAGCAGGAATTACGGAAGTATCTCGATCTGGAGCATAGAGAAAAGCGAAAGAAGCCGTTCGACTTTACAGGCTGGGTAGATTACGCTTGCGAGGACTACCCGCAACAACAGAACGGCAGCGATTGCGGTGTTTTCACAGCATTGGGCATGGAAGCTCTCACCCGCGAGGCCGAGTTCAATTTCGAGCAGTCGAACATACCGTACTTCCGTCGTCTGATGGTGCTCGAAATCGGCAGGGGCAAACTCGAGAAGATTCCCACACGGGAGCCTTGATGTGCGTGATTCGCATATAGCCCTCTCGTGTTCCGCAACCTCATCTCATACCTGAATAACATCTTTCTGGTTGATGTTGTCCGATGGAACCATATTGTTCTATCGATTCTCATTCCCAGTTTCTGTAGTTGGAGACATTGTTTGCACCGAGTCAAAACAAATTTCCTCATTATTTCTGGGTTCTACTTGTTTTCGTTTCGTTGTCATTGTCTCTTACTGAAACATCTGTACATTGTAATTCACAATACAAAACAACTCAACCCATGTTTGTACTTCATGTCCCGGTCGTCTTCCGGAAAACTGCGCACAGGTCCCTGAGGCTGACTCCTTTGGAGTCATCATTTCAATCAGCTATTTTCTTGCTTGCTTTACTACTTTAGCATGCTCTATTCATAACCAATTCCTCTGACGATACATCAGATATCCTCATGTCTAGACTGCTAACTCGTGGAGGAAGGCCATGGGGTCTTCGATGGCGCAGTTCAGTCAACTACCTAACATTTGGTTGGATCACGCCCCCTGAACACAGACGCTCTTCTAACAGGGATGCATGCTAGTTGTCAGCCTCGGAATCGGTGCTGATACTCTAATCTACTCACTCCCGGTGGCTGTCATCCCATTTCGTGAGGAGGGTCGGAACCACGCTGTCCAGATACTGATGCAATTGTTCTAAAGAATTGGCCGAATGGGGCTACATGGATCTATCAAGCAGGACGGGATGGCTCCTGTTCGCCTTTGTATGTTTCTGTTTTCGATCATACAAGATTGTGTTGTAGAATCAGCATAGGCTTCGGGAATATGCATTGGTACTCCTCTTGCAGCATGGTTATCTGAACGCTACAAAACTCGCCGATTGCCTATGTTGGCAGCCATTGTGGCACTCATCGGTAGGTCCAATAACAGAGACAAATCGGGTGAATATTCAACCGCCCCTAGGCTCGATCATCATGTTCATGCTTGCGCCGAACTATGTTCTCCTTGTCGTGGCCAGAGTACTTCAAGGCGTTTCATCCGCTGTCATTTGGACGGTCGGTGTTGCTCTGATGTGAGCTTCCATGAAGTCCGTGGTGTTCGGCATTGATCCGTTCCAGATGTGATGCTGTGCCTCCCAATAGGGTTGGTCGTAAGTTCTGTGTATCCGATGCTTGAAATGTCCTGAGGAAGGGATAGAACAAATGGGGACGGCTCTCATTGGGCTATCGCTAGGGTGAGATATCGATTTTATGCAGAGGTGATTGCGACTGAGTTTTGATCAGATCCGTAGCGGGGCCTCCAATCGGAGGTGCACTTTATGCGAAATACGGCTTTTATGCTCCTTTCTACTTTGGCGTAGCACTGGCCATGCTGGATCTTGTCACCCGATTCCTCGCCATCGAGCCGCAAGATGCTAGGAAATGGGTAAATCACCTCTGTCGGCAACTCAGGATACCCTCTGATAAGACTTAGCTGGAAGAGGATACCGAAGTCGCTAATTCTGAAGCTCAACTGCCAACTGGAAATGACAGCGAAGAGAAGTCGCCTGACGCGTCCGGGCCCGTCATTCCTGTGCCAGAAAGCGATGCGAGCGGGGAGACAGTTACGGACGAGGTCGGATCTCAGAGGCCCATCCTGGAAATGCTTCGGCATCGCTTGACCTGGGTTGGTGCCTTTAACATGCTCGCATATGGGATGGTGGGACCCTCGCTCAATGCCACTCTTCCCCTCCGGTTGTGGGATGTGTTTGGCTTTAACTCAACAATTGTTGGACTGATTTATATTGCCATTGTGGTACCGACTTGTTTTTGTAAGAACGTCAATTGGAATCAGACGATTTTGACTGACGAGAAGTAGCGGGTATACTGAGCGGCCGATTGGCAGACAAATTTGGATCCAAATGGGTAGCCATCCTCTGCTTCGCCGCGGCCATCCCTTGGAGTGGCCTTCTGATCATTCCTAACTTACCGTTAGACATTATCTGTCTTGCATGGCAAAGTACGATAACAATGTTCCCCCACCCGTGCCTGTCTGATTTTGTCTCAAGGTTTCTTCCTGAATGGGTGTGTGTCCCCCGTGATGCGCGACTTCTTCACTGTAGCGATAGAGATCAAGGGGGTGGGATTTGCCCACGTGTATGCCATATTTAACATGTCATATGCGATAGGTACGCCGTCTGATCCCCAAAGAGACAACATCTGACAATCGCCGGGGACCCCAGCTGCTGCAATCGGGCCGGTGATCGGAAGTAACATGTACGATCATCTGTCCCATGGATGGCTGGCGGTGTGCATCTTCTGGATAGCGTGTACGGTATCGGGTGTGTTGGTGACATTCATATTCTCAGATCAGACGGAGAAAGGGGCGGCGTAGAAAAGGAATAGATTGTAAAACATAGACGTGCCTTGACTGGGGCTGATTCGTATACACGTCATGGATTGTAATAGTAATCTTCCGCTGATCAGCCATAGGAAAATATTTGACGTGGAGATAGCCAAAAGTCGTTATGACACTGAAGAAACCAGTTCCGGGCGAAATTACCTAAAGTAGACCCAAGGGTCCGCCTACGCACGGACCACCAAACCGGGATCAAATTCTCCTCCACCAGTCAGTAGGAGTCAAGGGTCGAAGTCTCATTTGCGCTCTCTAGCTGGCCGTTCTCCTCGACCGCGCATAAAAGACTTCTCTGCGTACCCAGTCCTTAACCCCCTTTCATTCACTCAAAAGACAAGCCTTCGTACACTCTAACACGTTGAAAATCGTTAGATTACCCCAAAATGGTCGGTATCAAATTTTGAACGCGTATTGCGGCGGACTGGACTGACGTGAAAATTCTGCCATAGACGCTCGCCGTTGATCTGCTTAACCCCACCCCCACCGCCGAGGCACGCAGGCACAAGCTGAAGCGGCTCGTGCAATCACCAAACTCGTTTTTCATGGATGTCAAGTGTACAGGTGCGTTTTTTGTGCTTTTTTCGCGGTCGTGTGACTGACTTCGTCGTGCGTTTCAGGGTGCTTCGCTATCACCACTGTGTTCTCCCATGCTCAGACGGTCGTCGTCTGCGCTTCATGCCAGACAGTTTTGTGCCAGCCAACAGGAGGCAAGGCTCGGTTGACTGAGGGTGCGTTGTCATTTCTCCCTTCCTCGGCATCTAGTGACGTGCGGCGCAGGCTGCTCCTTCCGCAAGAAGGCGTAAACCCTCCTGTCCCCCGAGGTGTTTTCCCTTCCTCTCACGGTCTCACCAGCACGCACATTCTACCTTGTACCCACGCACTCGACCGCGGGCATGCATCTCATGCTCAGTTTTTCTTTCTCTGCAGTTGGTAATGTGGGTTGGGTACACCTTGTTGTCGCAATACCATTCAACCTTGCAATTTAACGATCCATATGCTGAGAGTGAAAGATATAAGAATTGCCTGTAATGTACATGTGCGAGAAGGGAAGTGTGAAAGCCAAGAAAATTTCTACAAACGAGAACATCATCGGCGCCACCACCAGGTAACCACAAATATCCAAAAGACGAACACGAGGAACATAATAAACCAGCACCAGTTGCCACCTTGTCGTTTTGCCATTTTGTTCAGACGATGGAAAGTGCCTGTGAGAATCCCGCCCGTCTCTGCGAAGGCGTCATTCTACTCCAATGTCACCAACCATACGCAGCCATAAGAAATGAATGTTACCATTTCGGTGAACTGGACGGCTGAATCCCTCACTTCCTTTCCTATCCCATAGCTCAACTACACAATCATCAGTCTCTGATCTATCTCCCCCAAGACATACTCACGTCCTTCAACATCTTCACCCTCCCCACAAGTCCTTCTAGCCGCTCATCATTCCTCCCCTCTAAATCATCCGTGGCTCCCCTCCCGCCAACCCCTTGATCCCGGCTCCATTGGGGCAACAAACTCTCCTGCCTGCTGCTCGGTCTGAACGGTGAATTTCGCTCACTCGGCATTGGTGAGACACCATACGAGTCGTTAGGAGTGAGGGTGTAAGGAGAGGCACTCGCTGTGGCAGCGACGTAGGACGTGTGGGACTGGCCGTAAGGCGCGAGTGTTGTCCGTTCTCTTCGTTGAAGGTTGGAAGGGCCTGCAGCGCCAGGGGCAAATCTATGCTGCTGTTAGATGGCGAATCCGGAGTAATGGGAGACAATGTACCTGCTCATGCTGGTGGAGTAGTTTAGCAGCGGGAATGAAACGACGTGGACTGGTCACTTTCCCCCAAAGGGCTCTAGACACGTGAACCGGAAGCGCGACTCCGGCCCAAGGGCATAAACCTGAGAGGAACAAGCACCATGCACACAATATCTTGATCTTTTCACGCTTTCCTTCACATTTCGCTCCCCGAATAAATCATGTCCACCTGCGAGCCGTCAGAACAGTTCAAACAGGCCGCAGAGTACGTCGCTACATCCCCCAAGCTCAAGAAGCTGCCAAATGAGACCAAACTCCAAGTGCTTTTTTTTCCTCCTCTCAGATATTTATTCATCTAAGCCACTTCCCAGCTCTATGGACTGTACAAAGCGGTCACCGTATCTGCTTCTCCCTCGGGCCCGCGGCCAGGTCTGTTGTCCTTCGAAGGAAGGGCGAAATGGGATGCTTGGGACCGAATAGGAAAGGAATTTGGAGGCAAACCGAAGGAAGAAGTGGAGAGGAAGTATCTGGATGTATGCAAGTCTTCAGGTTGGGAGGAAGGTGTTGCTCCTGAGCCGACAGGGAAGCGGGAAGAGGGGGGTGAGGGGGGCAGCAGCGGGCCTGCAGGGTTGGGCGTAAGCGTAAGCCAGATGCTGAGAGAAGACGAAGCAGAGCATGAGGGGAAGAACGATCTCCAAGGGGCGGTAGTAAGAGGTGATGTGGGCAAGGTGAACGAGTTTTTACTACAAGGGGAGGCCATCAATGGTGTGGATGAATATGTACGTCTTTTCCCTTGCCTTGGTAGACCGAGGCTGAGTGGACGCAGGGGTTTACGGCGTTGCATTTGGCCGCGGATCGAGGGCATAAAGAGATCGTACAGCTGCTACTCGACAGAGGGGCTAATGTGGGAATCAAGGTGCGCCTCATTATTTGCATCTCTCACCAGACTGACGTAGTCTAGGATCCGGATGGGGAGACGGCCATCTCGCTCGCTCGGGAGGCAGGACACGAGGAAATCGTGGTCCTCATTCAGCAGGTGCTGTCAGATCATGGGCAGGAGGGGCAGAACTCCTAAGGGAGCGAATGATGGAGCACTGAGTACATGATCATGCCTTCCTCTACTTGTATTTGCTCTGGCAATAGAAGACATCCAGTTCTCAACCATTAATCACTGGTCGGCCGTTCTCAACCTATCCCTCGAACCTGAACACTTCTTCACAATCCCACCACCACCCACCCGCTTCACTGCCGACAGCCCCCATCCTCAAGCTTTCCTGCATCCCATCCGTGACCGCCCACCAGCGACGCGTCTCTTCATCCTGAGCCACGGCACGTATGTCCCCCTCCCAGTCCGAGCCGACATACTTGAACGTCGCTATCAGGAGGCCTGCGAGCTCCGATTCTCCTGCTTGGGAAGGGAAAGGAGGAGATGGCAGGAAGTGCATAGAATAGTCTATGATATGCGCTTTGCGGAGGGCGGCGAGTACGCCTGGCCAGACGGAGGCGTGGATCTACCCCGCATACTTTATGATGTGGCTTGGCGGGTTCAATGGTAGGACGCACGCGCTTGTATTCCTCTGCATGTTCTTTACGCAATTTAATCACTTGACATATCCGTTTCCCCGTGGTGGTTGAGCTCTCCATTGAAATGATAGTAATGTGTACGATGTTATTTGACTATGATTCATTACATTAAATAATACATTACATTTCGGGGTCTTACATAGCCGATCCGGTCCCCAACGAGTTCCTTTTTAGGCGATCGAATCAGAGATCAGCGCTCTCACACCGAGCCACTCACCGTGCCTCCTCTGGCCATCGCTGTCACTCCTTACTTTCCATTCACCATGTCACTCCCTCGTCTCCCCACCCCACGCCTCGCTCGCACCCTCGCAACCGCTGTGGCAAAACCTGCCAAACGACACGACTGGACCCGCCAAGAAGTCCAGAAGGTGTATGACACCCCATTGCTTGAGTTGGTGTACAAGGCCGCGACTGTCCATCGGATGTGGCATGATCCGAGTAAGGTGCAGCTGTGTACCCTCATGAATATCAAAAGTAAGTCCATTATTTCTGAATTTCATCCCATTCTGATAGCATTTGATTGGTTAGCCGGAGGGTGCACAGAAGATTGTGGGTATCTGCTTTTCTAGCCGATCTTCTTTCACTGATCAGAATAGGTGGCTACTGCTCCCAGTCTTCCAGGTACGACACCGCGACCAAAGCATCGAAGCTCGTTGACCTCGAGCCCGTCCTCGCCGAAGCCCGTCGTGCAAAAGCCAACGGTAGCACTCGGTTCTGCATGGGCGCTGCCTGGCGAGATCTCGCCGGTCGGAAATCCGGGTTCAAGAAGATCCTCGCTATGGTGAGCGAGGTACGAGGTATGGGCATGGAGGTGTGCACCACGCTGGGAATGTTGGATGCGGACCAGGCGAGGCAGCTTAAGGAGGCTGGGTTGACGGCGTACAACCACAACCTGGACACTTCGCGCGAGTTCTACCCTAGTGTCATCACCACGAGAAGTTATGACGAGCGGCTGGAGACGCTCAAAAATGTCCGCGAAGCAGGCATCAACGTGTGCTCGGGGGGTATCCTCGGTTTGGGAGAGAAGGAAGAAGACCGGGTGGGGCTGATCACAGAGGTTGCAAACTTGCCTGAGCATCCAGAGAGCTTCCCGGTTAATGCGCTCGTGCCTATTCCTGGGACACCCCTTGAAAATAACACCCCGACGACCGCACCTGAGATCTTGAGGACTATCGCTACCGCTAGAATTGTTCTGCCTAGGACAATTATCAGGCTAGCAGCGGGGAGACAGACTTTCTCCGAGACGGAGCAGGCGATGTGCTTTATGGCTGGTGCAAATGCAGTCTTCACAGGAGAAAAGATGTTGACTACGCCTTGTGAGTGTACTCCGCCGTTGTTAACCCCTCATCTGACGTGCTTTGGAGGCTCCGGCTGGGACGAAGACAAAGCCATGTTCGACAGGTGGGGTCTGGACGGCATGGAGAGCTTCACGCAGGAACAGGTCATAGAAAACGAACGGGCAGAAGTTCCGTTGCCTCACGAGTCACTTAAGACGGCTCAGCCGCAGCCCGTTGTAGCATGAATAAATTAGACAAAATTAAACGAGATATTCTGTCCACACATTTGATTGGCTTGATCGTCTTTTTGATTTGATGGTATTCAACAAATCGTTCCATAACCGAAAGAAGTATTGTTAAATCTACCGGATTGTGTGTATTGTGTCAGGGAAGATTAGTGCAGGCCTGCGTCTTGCATCGCCTATGTCACCAGTCAGTCAAGAACCAGTGGTAGACTGCAACGTCCGTACCTTGAGCATAGTCGCGCCGATTGCGGCAGGACTATCGCAGATAATCGCGCCGGCTCTCTGCAAAGCACGTACCTTGTCCTCCGCACCACCCTTTCCACCGCTGATGATGGCGCCAGCGTGGCCCATACGACGCCCTGGGGGAGCAGTGCGGCCAGCGATGAAGCCGACTACGGGCTTGGGCAAGGAACGGGTCTTGTTGACCGCTTCGAGATAGGCAGCCGCGTCTTCCTCCATCGAACCACCGATCTCACCAATGATGACAATGCCTATCATGGGAGTTAACGATTGTCCTGTATGGGTAAACTATGAAGCGCTCACCCTCAGTATTATCATCCTCCATGAAGACTTTTAGCACGTCAACGTGCTTTGAGCCAGGGAATGGGTCACCGCCAATTCCGACGCAAAGTGTTTGTCCAAGGCCAGCAAGGGTTGTCTGGTTGACGGCCTCGTAGGTCAGAGTACCGGAACGGGAGACAATGCCTGCGACCAGGTTAAAAAGTGTGTTAAATCGGTTGCAAAAAAATCACCGATCTTCCCTGGCTTATGGATGTGACCGGGCTGGATACCCATCTTGCACCCGAGTGGGTTGATGATACCAGGGCAGTTGGGACCCACGAGGCGAGATTTGGACTGGCTGTTGAGCGCTTGCGATATCTTGATCTCGTCCTGCTGCGGGATACCTTCGGTAATGCAAACAATCAAGCCAATTTCGTTCTCAATTGCCTCTAGGATGGCAGCGGCAGCGAAGGGAGGAGGAACGTAAACGACAGAGGCTTCTGGTTTTACCTCTTTGACGGCCTGCATACATGTGTTAATCACTACCACCCCTTGCAAAAAACGTGACGCACCTCCTTCACGCTTCCAAATACGGGAAGGCCGAGATGGTGCTCGCCTGCTTTCTTAGGAGAAACCCCGCCAACCATGTTTGTGCCATACTCAAGGGCCTCTGCAACGTGAAAGGTCGCCTAGCGTAACCTCAACAAACTGACGATTATACTGCCATAGATAAGCACCAACCGTCTTTCCAGTGATGCCTTGGCAGATAACACGAGTGTCGGGCCTGATTTTGAGGTTGACGATGGTGTCTTCGTAGCTCTTCCTCGCCATCGACAGGGAGAACGCCCTGCGCCCACCTGTGGCAGATGTCGGATTATTTTCACTTGTTGAATACAATGATAAGGACTCACTGGCCAAGCGCAGGGAGGCGGCGACCGCCCTAGACGATTGGGACAACATGGGGATGGTGGTTGTGGAAAGAGATGATGATACGGAATGCCTCGGGAGGAAGAGTGGTAGGGGCTGAGGGTCACGTCGCGCAACTCATTTGGTTTCCCACCCCGTCACCGCACGTGCGTTTGTCTCCGAATTTCTCCTTCTCCCCTTTCTTTGTAGAGAACTTCTACCTCAAATCTTGTATTCGCCGAGGCTCCCCAGATATACGCTGCATTTGCTGGTACCTTTGATACCAAGAAAAATTACCTCGATCAGCAATTCTCACACGCCAGCCACCATGAGCGCGACGCGTCAGTGGTTAACGCGGCAACTACTGTCTTCCACGGCCTTAGACGACCACAGAATCATGATGAACCTTTGAGGCTGAATGGTCCTCTGCTCCGAATTGTGTTATCTGTAATACTCGTGCTCGTCGGCCATCATTGTCGCAAATTGGATAATGCATCACACAATCTCAGCCATTCTGGTTCAAGCGAAACCTTGCTTCGTTGTGCCTCAACGAGGTACAGCAAACGAGCTCCGCATGGAGCTTACTTGGCAACATGATCCTTTCACAAGCTCCAACCTTGTGTTTAGAATGAGCCAGCGGAGATTTGCACATAAGTGTTATCGGCAACATAAAACGTGCGTCTCATTTTTGTCATGGCTTCTCGGAGTATGTGACAGCATTTAGCCTAAGTTGGTCCTGCTTTGAAAGCTGCTAATGCGCATCCGAGAGATCTGCCGCCGAGGCAGGCGGCAACAACAAAACCACGATATGCCAGCGAAAACCCGGCCCAGTATTAGCTTCGAGATGCGGCACTATGATCTAGAACAAAAATTCTCAGACCATGCAGCTATCTGTCAGGTGCACCAAGTGTATGTGAAGACCGAGAGGTGCCTCCAATGTCTTTGCTTGAGGGCCAGGCCAGGGGCATAGATGAGAGAACGCCAGAACTTTGCGGAGAGTACGTGGGGACAGGGGCGCTTAAATGCGAGCGTCGTGATTCATCTGAGTAGCGCCATCCAAAAGACCACAATTAATGTCATCCATGCATAAATGTCATAAGGTGGACATCCACAGTATCAACGCAGAGGCCAAGAGTACATTTGAACCAAGCTAAAAACCCTAGACATCGAGTTCAATAAATAAAGGGGATCAGCCGCCACGTTCTCCTCTCCCAATCTGTATACTCTTTGCCAATTTTTGCTTTCATCATCATCTCCTCCTCCGTCATACGCCGTAACATCGCTACTATGCCCGGGAAGAATCCAAGAATGAGGAGTATGATCTCGACCTCCTTGCTGTATTTGAATAAGTTCCGTCCATAACACAGTGAAATCGGATTCGCCAGGATGAGGGATAGCTCCATGCCAAAGCCCTGTAGGAAGGCGCCCAGATACCCCGGATGGCGAAGGTATGCGTACGGGCCAGAGGTGATTAGCTAACAGTGAATTGATCAACATGTCACCAGCCGAGTTGCCCATGACTATCGCACCGGTTGATCTTCCTGCACTGCCAGACGGAACGTGAAGTATTTCCCAAGCGTTTGGTAGCACAGTCCACGCAGCTCTGCACCAGCCCAACTTAGCAGGTAACCTGCAATCCCTGCAAGCGTCAGCCACATGGGAGGACACGATTTGCAGATGAGTTGCAATTTGCTCGGAGAGGCGATTGCTAAACCAGCGCGCGCGGCGAAAAAAGCGAACGATGTTCCGAGGTAGAGTTGTATGGCTCTGGGCAACAAAACCAATACGAATACGACGAAAGAGTGCTCGCTGTGGCGAGTGTTGACCGTGGGAGCCTTGTTGGGGTCTTGGATGCCAACAGTCGCTGTCCGGTACAGCGATATCATCGCAAGCACCGAATGTCCAATTTGCCATGCTGGACTTGTGGGACCATGGAGCCAGGCCATTGACATGATAGAAATGGCCCTTAGAAGGTTGACGTGTCCTGACAACAAGCGGGCGTGGGTTCCGAGACGCGCGAACTAATTTCTCTGTTGCAGCACTGATAACATGTCGGTACGCACTACAGATCGGAAGCAATAGAAACTGGTTCAATCATCAGTAAATGAACGGAATCAACCGCCAAGTCTTTCTTTCCCACTCGGTATACTCCTTTCCATACTTCGCCTTCATCATCTTCTCTTCTGCGTTCACCCGCTTGACAAACGCCATCAGTGGGGCGAAGAAAAATAGGAGCATGAGTCCAGCTTCCAACTGGCGAGTGTAGGAGACCAAATCGCGGCCCCAGCACATAGAGATCGGGTTGCAAAGAATGAGGGTGAAATACATGCTGACATACTGTATGCAGGCTGCAAAATAGGCCGGATGCCTGAGGTATCGGTACGGACCTGTTCTGATCAACTGTTGAAAAGATCAGCTGACCTAAGTCTAGCTCGTATGCTCGAATCCCTGACCGGTTGTTTCTCTTGCACGGCTAATCGGAACGTGAAGTATTCTCCAAGTGTCCTGTAGCACCATCCACGCATCTCGGAGCCGATCAATCCGAGGACAGTACCGAATATCCCTGCCAAGATAAACCACACCGGTGGGCGATATGGACATATTCTTGTCTCAACGTCTGGGGACAGAAATGCGACGCCAACTCGACCAATTTGAAATGCCATAGCCAACACGATGTAGCCTTGAATGATCCTTGGCACCATCACAAGCATGAACACGACGTATGGGCTTTCTTTGTAGCGAGTGCTGGCATCGGGTTCCTTGTTGGGCGGTTGTACACCAATGACAACGCTTCGATAACCGGAGATCAACGCGAATGTCACCCAGGCAAGCTGCCATGTAGAGCTGGCTGGTGCGTCATACCAAATAGTCGACATGGCTGTAGGCTGGAGAGGGGTTACCGTTCGAAAGAGTGACGCATGCTTGTTGATAAGGGAGGGCATTTTCCGTCGGCCAATCAGAATATTGGCCCCTGCTAAGTTCGCTGACATTTGGTGGTAAACTGATCTATATAAACGCTGAATAATGTTTAGTGGATATGCCCTAGAAGTACATGTGTGCCATCAGGTCATTTTTGTAATTGAGAATACCTCTGGAACAAAGACATCGGAAGCTCAGCGCGCAATGCGCCTCGTGTGGCCCAAGGCCTTCCTACCGGTCACTCCGGATGTTCTCCTCCATAACTTCTTCACACTTCGGTTATCAATCACCACCTCAATATTTTCTTTCCTTTCTCATACCCGCACCATCACCTCGTGCACGGAAAATATCAATCTTGATCAATGACGGCACAAGTCCCCGACTCGAGATTAACCAGCATTACGCGTTCCGTTGACCAAAGCGATTACCACACTCGCCTGCGGAGCACCACACCCGCTGCTTGTTTGCGGAGTAGCATCTCTGTCTCTGACAATCCGACCGCGCACCCGGAGCTTGCCAGTCCTGCTAGATCTGGGCAGACTCCTTCTCTTCACTCTTTGTCTCCCGAGTTCGACATCTCCACCTCCCCCAACTCAGCAGCCGCTTCGGCGGAGTCTGCCGTGATGCCTTTTTCTGACTTGGACAATGATGGTGCCAGCCGCTGTAATAGCATTGTCAACACCATGCTCAGCAATAACAGCGTCATCGAGCCCGAGCGCGTCCACAGCGAGGTCAATGTTATACCCGACGAGGTCTTCGCGGGATATGACAACCCTGGCGACGTGCGAAGCTCTGATGTCCCGCCGCCCATGTACACGCAGCGGGATCCTCTGCTTCCAATCTGCAATGTTGAAGACTCCGGTGCCGCGTCTGCCGCCCGCGCAACCACCGTCTCCTGTGCTCCCCCTGCCTCCTACCCAACCACCACCTCTGCTTCCCACTCTGGTGCAGTCCCTGCAACCTTGGTGACTCGCACCGGGAAGAACAGAGCCGGTCGTCCCTACACTGTTTCCTTCCCGCGCCCGGACATCGATGCTCGTGTCCGTGACCTTCAGCGAGCTGCCAGGGAGGAGGAGGCTGCGGAAGAGCAACGCCGCCAGCATCGCTCATAACACAAGCACGCCAAGTCTCACAAGCGCTTCGTCATCAATATCCCAAAGTTGCACTTCCACCAGTTTGCCTACATCAACAGTTCAGCCTGACCGCTAAACTTTTCTATGCCGTATGCAGCATCCTCCCCTCCACCGCTGCCCCTTCGACCAATGTTTCAGCCCGATATCTCACGCCTTCCTCCCGACTATCACCCCGCTGAACCTGTCTACTACCGCCAGCCACATCCGATGCCCTTTATAGACGATAGGTAAGACGGAGAGGAAGGAACAGTTCCTTGGATAGGAACTTCGTTGTGGCTTTTCGAGGCCATAAATACTGTCTTTCAATTGCAGACCCTAGGGTTAAGCGAATGCATAAACCTCAATAAACATACGGGATCAGGCGCCAGGTTCTTTTCTCCCACTCTATGTACTCCTTACCAAACTTCGCTTTCAACATCTTTTCCTCCGCGTCCACCCGTTTGAAGTACGCTGTCCACGGTGCGACAAAGAAGAAGAGCATGAATCCTGCTTCGATCTGCGGCCCGTACTTGAGGAGATGGCGACCCCAGCACATTGAAATCGGATTGCACAGAATAAGTGTCAGCAACATGCTGAGATACTGTAAGCAACCGCCAAGGTAGGCTGGGTGACGGAGATATGTGTAAGGTCCCGTCGTGATTAGCTATTGAATATAGTAACGTAAGATACTGAGTTACATGCGTCAATTAATTCTCATACCGTTTGGTTCTCTTGCACTGCCAAATGGAACGTAAAATATTGGCCCAGTGCCTTATAGCACCATGCACGCAGTTCCGTGCCGACCCATCCCAGGAGAGAGCCGAAGATGCCGGCCAGTATCATCCACATGGGCGGCTGATATGTGCAGATCCTTGATTCGACATTCGGATAAGCAAATGCTAATCCAACTCGAGTAGAGAGCGACATCATTGCAAATGCGATATAGACTTGGAACACCTTCGGCATGAGAATGAGCATGAATTCGGTGAATGAGCTTTCTTTGTATCGTGTCTTGACAGCTGGAGCTTTGTTAGGTGACTGTATGCCGACGATTGCGGTTCGATAACCCGAACCCAAGGCGCACAGCAAGAACACGAGCTGCCAGCCAGCACCTGCAGGTTCATCGTACCAAGGAGTGGACATGGTGGAATGGGGGAGAGTTGGTGTGCTGAAACACGTTCGGTGGAAATACCCACAACGTTAACATGACAATGATACCCTGATCATCAGGGGAGCTCATTCAAGTCCTCTGATGTTGATGTTATCCAGACGATAACACTCACTTCTTTTGCAGTGCTATTGAAGGATCATCCGGCTGTCTGAAGATCCACCCAGTTGCTGATATTTGAAGTTATCAATTGATCTTGCGGAAATCGATACTTTGCGACAGAAAAGGCGCTCAAAGGGAGCATTTGAGAAACAAAAGAAAGAAGTGTTATTCGGGAGATGCATATCTATCTCCAACATTCTGGAGTGTAAATTGTCGCACCATGGTTGATGCGGAAACATTACTAGTAAACGAGAGGGATCACCCGCCAGGTTTTCTTCTCCCACTCTGCGTACTCTTTCCCGAACTTCGCTTTCATCATCTTTTCCTCTACTGCTATTCTCTGGGGGTATGCGATCCACGGCGCTACAAGGAAGAAGAGCATGAAAGCTGCTTCGATCTGAGGGCCGCGTGAAAGCAGATGTCGTCCCCAACACATTGAGATCGGATTGCATAGGATAAGCGTCGGTGACACGGCGAGAAATTCCAAGCAGCCACCGAGGTAGGATGGATGACGAAGATATGTGTACGGGCCGGTCGTAACTAACTATCGAACAGAGTAACATGAGCGATTTTCCTGTGCACCCGTTACTGCTGTCTCATACCGTCTGGTTCTCTTGCACTGCCAGATGGAAGGTAAAATACTGGCCCAATGCCTTGTAGCACCATGCACGCAGCTCCGTGCCGATCCAACCTAGAAGGCAACCGAAGATGCCCGCCAATATCATCCCCATAGATGGCTGACATGTGCAGATCCTTGATTCGATGTCCGGATAGACAAATGCTAGTCCAACTCGAGTAGAGAGCGATATCACATAAATGACGATATAAAACTGGAAGGCTGTCGACATGAAGAAGAGCGCAAATTTGACGAATGAAGTATCTTTGTGTCGCATACTGGGAGGTGGGGATTTGTTAGGCGCCTGTAGGCCGACCGCTGCAGTTCGATAGCCTGAGGCCAATGCACAGATCAAGAATACAAGCCACCAAGTGCGACTTGCGGGCTCATCGTACCAAGGAGTGGGCATGGTGGAATGGGTAAGAATGGCCTTGACCAGGGGAAGTAGGTCGTGTATATAACCAAAGGCGCTCTGCTCATGTCAGCACGGCTATGTTTCCTTAATCGGTCATAATACATATAATATAAAACTGTGTCAACGGCAATGAGAACGAAACATGGCTTTTATCCGAAGGCATTGCTGTGATCGGTTCATCTGCATGCTATGAGAAGGCATCTCGGTCCAACGAAATCATTCAAGGACTGTTATGGTGACGTTGTTGGTATACTACTATCACAGTTTCTAGATGCGATACGCACAACTGTATCGTACTAGCCGAGGTATATAGTAAGTGAAATGCTGACTGAATCTACCTGTCCCGAGCCATATCAATCATATGCATTCTCCGTTGCCGTAACCTCCGGGAAGCGCGGTGTAAATTCAGCACTGCTTGCTTGACCTTGTCAATACTTGATGGGCCAAGTGCCCTAAAATGCAATCAGCAACCATTCTCACTGCAGCGCCGTTCCACCCACTGGGTCATGTCTTGGAAAAATGCGATCTTGGCTTCGGGCAACACAAGATTATCTGGAATTTGCGACAGGGTTGGTTGTAGCCAGGTGAGAAGTTGATGTTGCCATAGCTTCGCCATGACGTGGACAACATCCATAACGAGATCTATGCAGTCTTCCACATAATGATCCATCATACCGGTCAGAAGTGATTCCAGGAGTTGAGGGGCGTGCGTCTCCACCACACTTCGAATGCCGGTGACGTACGCGGGCGGTTGAAGTGTCGGTTCCAAAGCGGCGTTGATAAGGCCAGGGTTGTTGAGAATATTCAGAACGAATGAGAGTGTAATGTGGTTCAAGTCTACGTTGGAGATCTTCAGACCTGCAAGGACAATCTGGAAAATAAGTGGGAAGGACGGGGAAAGATACAGCGAATCAGGCATCTGCTCTGCCACGTGCATTAGCAAGTGGATGTAATCATCAATTACTGCAGAAACCGTTAGATCCACCTCATAGAAGTTACAAACGACTATGTCACTCACCGTCCTGGATCACGTCCGGACGACTCTGGTTTTCCGCATACATCTCGATCAGCTTGCGCGTCTCTTGATCGAACATTGTGGCAAACGTTGCATGCAGCTGTGCGTCCCCGCCAGCATAGTACCGGTCAATGAGCTTGCCAGAAATCCAGATGTACCCAGAGAATCCGCTTTCCTGGAAACACTTGCACATCCTTGCTGCAACACCTGCAGTCAAGGGCCGGCAGCTGTCGACTGGCCAGTCCTGGATTGCTCGTCGAATGACACTTGTGATACGCTCCGAAATGAAAAATGTCGTTCCGTACCGTGCTAGGAAAGCGTCGAAGATTGGCCATACCCGACCTGGAGTGTCGAGACAATCTGTTGGGAAAAGTTCACCAAAGCCAATCATGACCTTGATCAAGCTTTCTAAATTTTCCAGGGCATCCGCGACAGGCTTGAGTTCATCCCGCGAATAGTCGCCGGCTCGTTGAGTTGCCTCTGCGACTTGCTGTATGAGGGGAGTGGAGAACTGCAGCAACCCCGCAGCAGCTTCTGAAACCGGTAGACTGCTCAATACCCACGCGACACCGTCGTAGATAGACATGACATCTTCTTGGTGCATTTGCTGCCCACGGGTCTGTAGGAATTGGTGCAATTGTGGCAAGTACGACACAAGATGCTAAGACGCTGTATTAGCGCGGACTGATGTGCGATATGTAAAGCTGCTCACTGTCTTGCAATCCTTGCATAGATAGCTCATGGCCTGTGAAGCTGCGGCAATGACATCTGGGTCGCTGGTAGCAAAGCCTTCCGAGATATAGCTCATGATGAACGGGATGTAGTCCGGTCGTAGGTTAATCCACTCAGTGTAGCGTCCAGCGAACAATAGTGCCGCGTACCGCACTCGTGGATGTTGTGGTAGGCTGGGAATAATCTCGAGGACCTGTGAAACCACAGAGGTGGCGTGGATGTCCACTTCGGCGCCCATTGACCGCATCGAGAATAATGGCGCCTCAATGGACTGCCAACCGTCGTGTTTCCCGATCGCCACCTTGATATGTTCGAGAGCGATCCCTAGGCACCTGTCGGCACCCAGGATAGAGCAACAATCTTTGAGGGTGTCACCCATCTCGTGTCGAAACTCGCGGAAATCGTCCACCTCCTGAGGGGACAGGCTGGTAGGGTCTTGTGAATATTGTAGGTGGCGAATCAGGGTGTGCACAAGTCCTTCATATACGTCCATAAATTGTTTGGGTACCTGGATCAGCTTGCCCAACGCGCCAGCAAAACGATACCAGAACGGGAAGGTAACTGGAACGATGTCGAAATCGTCCAGGGATGAGCACTGTGCAATGGCTTGAACGATAGGGAAGAACGTCTCGGGATGATGAACGATGAGTTGCCTGTAGCTCTCGCCAGCCTGTACAAAGATCCGGCAGATGCCTTTGATTCGCTCCGGATCGTCGGCGGATTGAGTGAGCATAGGCTGCAAAGCGATGACGAGGGGTACAATCCTCTGTATGACCGGTAGATTCTCACTGACTTCCTGGGTTTCGTGGATAAGATCGCATATCATGTCGACGGCTCCGTCAAATAGGGCGTCATCCGATAATGCACGGAAAGCGAAGTCGAACAGTGGGGTGGCGGCGAATGACAAGGGATTGATCTCGCCGTATGTGATCCAGGTTCTAGCACATTCAAACACTGCCTGCTGGATGGATTCGGTGACGCCTGCACTCACATTGAGTTGAATTCTTTCATCAGACGATGAGCCACTTACCATCTGCTTTGATGTATCGGGCAAGTAGCTGGAGCACCTGTGCTGAATTCCCCGTCAACAGTGCCGCTGCTCGTTGGTTTGCCTCCTCTGGCTGTTACAAATGGTTGGAAGAAGTCTTCGATGCAAGAGTCGGTGTACGAACCGAAATAGGGACGTGGGCTTCTCCGACGACCTCAGGCAGCACGGTCAAGAAATCCAACAGCGCATTCACCATCCTGGCGTTCGCACCATACGCCTCGATCATTCCTGACACAGCGCCGGTCCAATCTGGCATTTGTAGCGCCATCACGGCGAGCGCTAGGCATATCTGGGTCAGAACCGGTCGTGGCCCACCAGCGAATGCCCCCATCGCTCCTAGCAGCATGTCACGTAGGTTCACTCGTTCTGCTGGTGTAAGTTGAGAGAGATCGTAAGTTGCCTACAATCGCAGATTAGCCGACATGGCATGCCATGAAGTGACACTAAGCGCTCACCTTCGCTCGAAACGTCTGCGCAGCGAACAGTTTCCACTGAATCGGGGCTTCTGGAGCAAGTAGCAACGCATTGCTCGTTGCCCATGCATCCTTCTACATCGCCAACAAGAGCATAGAAACGTCATGGTGAGGAAACGGTGCCTGATGGGTCGGAGGGAAGCCGAAAGGCGCTCACGGTGTGCTGGAAGTCCTGAAGCCAAGCGTTCGCGCGTAGCTTTGCCGCGTTGTCTGGGTTATTATACAGCGTGTCCAGCGCATTGGCCACTGTCTTCATTGCGTCTTCGGCTGATGCCATTGCTGGTGAGATATCGCAGAGTCCACAAGAGTTGTCAACCCTGAAATGAAGAGAGAATGGGAAAGATCAATGAAGAGAAAGAGAGAGTGGATCGGAGTCAACTAGTGTATGCACAGAGTGGCGATCGTTGCCCCTCCAGAATGTTTAGGGCCGTCCTAAACAGCTTTGCTTCCGTTACAGGTATTTCAGCGGCACGGGTTTTTCGTGTGGCTCTCTTCAGCATCCATTGCGGACCGAAAGTGTACCATTACTCGCTCGAAAATTAGAAGAAAAAACATCTCTCTCTCTCCCCATTCGCAAACCCGCGCTCTATCTTTTTTCTTCTCCGCTTTTTACTGGCTCTATCGAAGCCTTCCTGTCTCGCTCTTATACGACAGTCGAGGTCAATTTGCAGCCAAGAGCGACGCGAACTGCATACTCCTATTGTTACCACTTCTGTTTTATTCAACTGCAGCAGCGGAGTACGTAGGGCATTGCCTTAATATAACGGAGTCACACATTTATTTTAGCTCGTTAGTTAACCGGAGGTTTTGATTGGGGATGGACGACGCGTGGATGGATGAAGGAGAGATGGATGAGAGGAGCACGGCGGACAGAGAATGGAATTCCCTAGCAGACAAATATACAAATGTGAGCAGTACATCTCTTATATGATTTTCAGCTCACTCTTTTCCAGGATGGGTATCGAGAGGGTATTTCTGCTGGGAAAGAAGAGCATCTTCAGGAAGGTTTCGACCAAGGTTTCGCTAAGATAGGAGTACCAGTCGGGCGTAACTTAGGCAATTTGCGTGGTACTGCGGCTGCTCTGCTGCAGTACTTGACGCAATTGCAGCCTCAGGCACGCCACAATTCGGAGGAAGTGAACTCCATTGCCAAAGGACTGTCTGAGCTGCAACTCCAAGACGTCGCACCTAGAGATGCAGAAGCAATCGCCCACGCTAGGGAGCACGGCATCGAGGATGAAGAGGTCGATCCCGCGCAGCAAATGGCGAAAGCACTTGAGGGCATGAAAACTGCTGATGGGCAATTGAAGCTGCAAGAGTTGACGGCAAGGCTGCAAGCCCTTCTGTCCAAAACGGGTCTTCAGTGATTAGCGTATAAGTAGAATTAATATCGAATGCAATCTAGTGACATTCTTGACATCTAGCTTCCCACCATGTCCAAGATATTAAACACCGTTCTTCATCTACACACCCCCTGTGCTTGTATTCGAGTTATAGTGTTCACAAATTTCAAAGCGCGTTCATTCAGACGTGCCCAGCTTTCTCCCATTGATTCATTCTTAGCAAAATCATTCATGTTATGTGAAAGAATATTGTGTTCCATCATCGACTGCCTCCACCCCACTATTACAAAGTGTGTAAACGAAATAAAGCTAGACATGCATGAGAAAGCGAAGGCATGATGATGTTCACGGTCGGATTGTCGATCAGATACGCGATTGTGATAGGGGAATGTCAATCCCATACAACTGAGTATTGTTCGAGGACAACTGGACACACAGCTAAGCTTCTAACTTCCGCATGGTATTTGCTTTACTTACGTAGCTCGCTTGTCCCCCGCTCGCTTTCCTCGTTACACTCGTTCTTCGACCCAGGACGTAAGCTTTCATTCCCGAATGGTTGGCCGTGTAAAGAGAACTAGAAAGCTGCAACTGGGTGTCAGAAACCATATCATCCACGGTCCCTGGACTGCTCACGAGGGACGAGCGCCGTTTACTATTCCCTTCTACACGTCTACCTGCTGCAGTCACTATCTGTGTCCGAGGGAGAAACGTGAGTCAAGACGGCCATCATCTGGCGAAAATATTTACTGGGCGATATCCTGCTGGAGAAGTTCGCCGGGCTCGACGAGGGCGAACTGATGTTGAATATGCGGGAGACGGAATAGCGGAACGAAGATACACTTCGGCTTTGGGCGTCAACAGAACATTGCCTAAGGCACTACGTCGCTTGGATACGCGCCGTATCGGGATTCTGGAAGGTTTCAAAAGTCTGACAGAAGTCGGCATCCTGGGTTGCAACTTCAATCCGTCTTCTAGATTGTCGAAAGACGAAAGGCCCGCAAAAATCTCTTCCAAGATATCTGCTGGTGGTGGTGACTACGTGGAAATTCAGATTATGGCGCAAGCTCGGCGTAAGAAATCAACTTACAGACGGCATGTGATCTTCAGCGGTGCTATTGTCATAGTCGCCGGAGAGAGAATCTTCCAGCTCAGGTACAGGTGGCATGAACAAGTCAATCTCATCGTCGACAGCAGTCTTGGGTAACGTCAAAGGTCTTTGGATTGCCGAATACGGTGCCGCGCCATCCTGTGCTCTTTTTGCGATGCGAAGAGGATGGACGTGAGATACATCTTCCATGTTTGTAATTGTCAGAGTTCCTTGCGATTGGCGTTCCTCATCCTTGTGTGAGCTTCAGAATTTGAGCAGCGGGACCGAAAGCAACCACTTACAATAACATCTCCCTCCAAGTCATCTAAGAACGACCAGCGACTGTTGGGGGACATTGGTTCCTCTAGACTGTCCTCGACAGCGTCACGTTCCGAATGGGGTAATCCAGGCTGTGTTGGAGATGATGGGGATTGGAGGACCTGAGACACCGTTGAGATTTCACTTAGGCGAGACTTGCGGATTTTGGCCGTCTGGTAGAAGAATGTCAGGACGAGAATACCTGCATCATATTTCCATGCCTCACCTTGGTAAGATCATTCAGTGACGTGATGCTCCCGTGGCCAAGAACAAGTTCCCAAAGTGCCATGTTCACAGAGGATGAGGTGTCCGTCGATGGACTAGAGGACAGAACAGGACGGATGAAGCTGAGATCAGATAAATCTTCTTCTGCAGTGTCGACATCAGACCCGTCTTTCCACCCTGCGACCCGCTCGAACACACTCGATGAATGAAGCAGTCGACCTTCATTGGGTGTGTTTGATAATGCAACACTATTGGGAGAACGCACGTCGGAGTAAATACTGCTAGCAGATCTTGTGGTTGACAAGCGATCCTCTCTAGACTTGACTCGTGGCATGTCCCTCGGGGACGCGCTCAGAGAAGGATCTTCTCCGGCAAATTCAAGATAATCCTGATACCCATCCCATACCTGTGACCTTCTAAGCGGACGTTTCATCTTGAGCAAGGAACAAAACTGTACCTCTGGGTTGAAAGAAACCTCCTCCAAGTCTTTGGTAACTGTTATGCTCGGTCCGGTATGAGAGTGGACTGTTCCGGAAATCGCCAAGCCTTTATTCAGGGATTCGTCGGGCATGGGAGCGAGGCTCTTGACGCGCTGTAGACGTACCAATTCATACGCCTCCTCGCCTTCAGGGCGTTGATACACGTGAATGCTCGCTCGTTTCGAATGACGCGCAGGGCGTGCCCCATCTTCCAAAAGGGAGGAGTCACGCTGATCTGTATCCTCTCTGGCCCTGGCTTCCAGTAATCCCGAACAATCAGACGAAGGCAGGGTCGACAAGCCTGTAAAAATTGAAGATGATGGTGTTGGAGGCTCCAAGACGATGTTCGGTACCGGAATCGGTCTTGAAATAACTAGCTTGGGGGGAACGTGTGACCGGGCGACGGAGGTCAATCCATCCACGACGCGTTTCCCGATGCTGGCGCTGTCCGCGGTTCCAGGGCGGTTTCGTGAGCGTTTTTGCCCATCGCGAGCGGTGGATCTTTTTTCCAATGGCTTGGGGGCGGAGATGAGGACGGAAGCCCGGGGATTGAGGGGGGTAAGAGTGTCTGAGACTGGGAGGATAGACCCTTTCTCCAGCGATTTCTGCATCTGAACCTTGTAAGGAGGAACCTTAGGTTGGCGACGATAGTAAAGCCACATCATGACCACAATGCTGAGCAGGAGGACTATGCCAATGATGATACATACCATGGCAACGGCCCATGCTGCGAAAATAGTGAGATAAGAAAGAAGGGCGTCAAAGGATGAGCATACGAGGGATCTGCCCTTCGGAAGTTCTGCTATTGGGACCTGGAGGTATCGAGTCATTCGTAGATGGGCTGGTCGGTATGCCAGGAGTTGGGGTTGGAGGGGGGAGTGAACTGTACGGTGGTGTCACGGATCCAGTTGCCGAACCAGCGGCGGTGGGAGAACTTGACGTGGCAGTATTATACAGAAGAGACGAAGGTAGATCTATGGTCCGATCCGGGGTCATAGTCATAGGAGCAGATATGAGGAGGGTGACCGAGGCAGGTATACTGGGTTGAAGGAAGGCATCGCGTTGTGCTGTTGGGTTGAAGGACGGTGAGGACGCGGCTTTCGCCATCCTCATCGTCTACACGCACGCAATTCGCAGGCAGGCGCAGAGGGAGACGGTTTGCACAGTGGGATACTCGGAGGGACGCGATGGATGCGCATACACGTGCTGGCGATGTGATGAAGGGGAGAAAGGTGGGCGGTGGAGCCACCACTGGAGCAGAGGCTCAGATACGCGATTGTCGAACCAGACAGGAGGGCAAATGTGATCGTCGCGCATTCCAGGCTGCATGTTAACAGTAGACAGAGCCAGGAATGTACGTTAAAACAGACTCAGAGTAGACGGCCAACGCTCTTGGGGTGTCTCAAAGCTCCGCGCAGAGAACGCGTCTGCATCGCGCGTCGACGCGAAATGACCAGAATAATTTTGCTGGTCAGGTGTACCCAGTCGCAAAAGAGTCGCCTGAACTTTCTTTGTTGAATGTAATAGACTGCGTAACCAAGGTACAGATGGACGAGCGCCTCGTACGCCTGCAGGAGGCGCTCATAGACCCAGGACATGCTGATAAAGAGCCAGCCGGCAGCGTCGTGAAACAGGAAAGAAAGTTGATAGGAATAAGTAAATGCCTCCGAATGTCACCGATGTTCGCATCGGCCATGCACACACTGTACAGGGAATGCAGCAACCTCAGTACATTACAGCACAGAATGTAAACGGATATAAGTAATACAACTGGGGTCGAGGACGCGACACATTTTGAGCACGAGTCCAAAGGCAAAGCCTTCAACCCAACGACATATAAAACAAAAGCAGATGAAACGAAGGTCTCACTTGACCTCGGGCACATAACCCTCTCTCAGCATCTTCTCTAACCGTTTTATCTCCTCCGCGCTCGTTGCCCTTGCAATAGCAGCCCGTACACGCTCCCTTTCATCAGCAGTCATCATTCTGCCTGCTTTGCCTGCCGTCAGGCCAGCTGGCGCAGATAGTGACTGATCCATGTCAGGATGAGCATTCATGGCAGACGGCGCTGTAAGGTTAGAAGCAAGCGTGGTTGCGAGGGCTGTAGGTAAATCGTCTGGTGTAAGGAATAGAGATTTGGCGCTCTCACGTTCCTGATGAGATATTAGTTGAATTCGGCCAGTCAGTGACACAGGAACGCGTGCCTTCTGCTTAATCTTTTGATAATCCAGCACTCTCAGAGGTTTCACCACCCACAAGCACCATTCCCGATACCACTTCTTTTGTCTGACAGGACATCCTATCAACGCCAGCCACTCCAGCTTCCTACATCCCTCCAGTGACTTCAGATCACCCAGTTCCGCCAGCGCATTGTTGGTCAGAACGAGACACTTGAGATTTGGACAGGATATGTGAAGCGAGGGTGAGATATGCGTTATTCGATTGTTGGATAGGAGCAGGGTATGAAGACGACGGAGAAGGGGCAGATTGGAGAGGGAGGAAATTGAATTATCGGTGAAGTCGATGGTGTCGTGTTGATCCTTGACAAATGTGAGCATAAACAGGGTGGATGCCCAGTAGTGTTCATACCTTCGTTACACCGAGATTCTCAATAGCAGGGATTTTATGACCTGCACGCGACAGTTAGAATATCGGCAAATGAGCGAGGGGTCACTGTATTACCTCGTAAGTCAAGTTCCCTATCCTTTAAAGGATTGATATACGACCTCGAAGCTGCCACTAACTCCGGTGTGAGCTTGACCATGTTTGAAGTTGCGTGATTGTGGTAAAGAGGGCAAGTCGCGTTAGTCGCACGGTCTGCCACTCAACTGGCTCTGTGATTTCTTCTGGTTGAGAAGGCCCAAGGAATTCAGGCTCCGCGGGAGGAAAAGAATTAGTTCCGGAGAATGCCCGTCCTTTTCGTTGCTGGAACGCGGCCTCGTTTCCTGTGCACGTCGTTGCCCCCCCACCCCTCTTTACCTCTCGCTGTCTATATCAAGAGGCGAACGTTCTGTCCTTCCTTACCACCACCTAGTCAGCCATGTCTAACGACGCTGCTTCCCCTTCCGAAGGCTACACTACGTCTGGCGATTATACCAACGGCACACTCCCCGCGATCCCTAATGGCTCTATGCGCGATGCCGCTAGCTCCATTAACGGTTCTGCAAATCGTGCTGCAAGCCTTGTCTCTCAACAGACCTACCCAGCAAGCAACATCGCCCCTCCTCAAGTCTCCAGGAAGCAGCTGATGGGCTATGTTGGGTTCGCAAACCTTCCCAACCAAGTACACAGGCGGAGTGTGAGGAAAGGTTTCCAGTTCACGGTCATGGTTGTTGGTACGCCTTGACAACACTACTTGTATGCCCCAGTTTTTGAGTACATTTCATAGGCGAGTCTGGTCTGGGTAAATCGACGCTCATTAACACGCTTTTCTCCACTCCTCTGTACCCGGCTATGGAACTTCCGCCCCCATCGGCTGAACCCCCAAAGACGGTTGCGATCGAGAGCATCAGCGCAGGTGTGTGAATTATGACTGCAAAGGAATTAAACACTGAAATGTGTATAGATATTGAGGAGTCTGATGTTAGGCTTCGTTTGACTGTTGTTGACACCCCTGGGTTTGGCGATTTCGTGAACAACGACTCGTCCTGGAAGCCCATCCTCGACAGCATCGAGCAACGCTTCGACGCGTACCTCGATCAAGAAAACAGGGTGAACCGATCTAAGATGGTCGACAACCGTGTGCATGCGTGTTTGTATTTCATCCAGCCCACTGGCCATGCGTGAGTCACGCCTCGCTGCTAGCACGTTCCTGACGTTAACATGACGTGTCTCCAGCCTGAAACCCATCGATATTGAATTCATGCGGCGCCTGCATACCCGTGTAAACTTGATTCCGATCATTGCGAAGGCAGATACCATGACGGACGAGGAGGTTACGCAGTTCAAGGCCCGCGTGCTCGCCGATATTCGCTACCACAATATCCAAATTTTCCAAGCTCCTACGTACGAAAACGAGGATGAGGAGACCCTCGCTGAAAATGAGGAGATCGCCAGCCGGATACCATTTGCCGTTGTCGGCTCCACTACCGTTGTCAAAACCCCTGATGGCCGTACTGTACGCGGGCGTGCATACCCTTGGGGTGTCATTGAGGTCGACAACGAGGAGCACTGCGATTTTGTCAAGCTGCGCCAGATGCTCATCAGAACAAACATGGAAGAGCTCCGCGAACACACCAACCTCGTGCTGTACGAGAACTGGCGCACGGAGAAGCTGATCGCCATGGGTGTCGAGCAAGATCAGTCCGTGTTCAAGGAGGTCAACCCCGCTGCTAAGCAGGCTGAGGAACGTGCCATGCACGAGGCTAAGCTCAACAAGATGGAGGCTGAGATGAAAGTGGTCTTCGCTCAGAAGGTCATGGAGAAAGAGGCGAAGCTGAAGCAGAGTGAGGAGGAGCTGTACGCGCGTCATCGGGAGATGAAGGATGCCCTCGACAAACAACGCGCGGAACTCGAGGACAAGAAGAGGCGTCTTGAGTCTGGCCGGCCGCTGACGCCTGAGAAAACTAACGTAAGCCTAACCCACCACCGGAGTGATCAATACTCATTATGGACCTTTTTAGACCAGGAAGAAGGGTTTCCTTCGGACCTAGGTGCACTTATTTCTTTCCCCTCTGTCTTTTTCCATCGGCAATCAAGGGCATTTCTTTGCACGCGAAGAAAAACGTTTGCCGTGTCATTTAATATACCCTTGACACGAATATACTCTCTTTATGCGTCTTTCGTTAGCTACGAACCCTTCTAACTTCACGTGTGGTGGTGACCTGGGTACGCCCGGTCGTCTGTTATTTCTGTTGTGGCTTTCACTGCTTACTCGACATTCCCGATCCGTCGTAGTCTTTGCTGCATAGTGTCGTTCCTGTGGTATAGTAACTCCTTACAATTGGGCTGTGCGTGGAATGCATTTTCTTGTGCAGTGCCAGGGGTACACCAAAAAAGAACAGTGGGGCATCATGAAGAGATTCGGCAGCATACGAATCGCATTTGACGGGGAAAACCTCTGCCATATTCTCATACCTCGTCTGAACAGCAAATGAGACAAAATCACGACTAAAGTCAGTATGGAACAAAATTTCTCTCCCTCGGGGAGTCGAACCCCGCTCTCGCGCGTGACAGGCGCGTGTACTAATCCGATATACTAAGAGAGACTTCAATAATGAGTAGCCCTTTTTTTAAAACATCATTACAATACTTCAATGCCTCCGTCGGATTCTACACTGAGCAACTGGGCATCTTGCTCCGAATCAAGTCATACATTATTCACCACATTAAGAACCTGTGCCATCTGAGCGGGCGCATCTACCAATTCGTCACACAGCATCCGGTTGATTTCGAGGAAGAAAGGCAGGGAGATGGTCGGCGCGAACTGATCTTAGGTCAGGCTTTGTCCATTTGGCCAGCAATGTTCACATGTTGTTCCCCATTCTTCGTCACTGCCGCTGTCATGGGAGTTGTCAATCATCGGATATAGCTTCTTCGGCAGACTGCCGCATTGAACTGCGCCGCAGAACGCTAAACTTCGCTCTCAATGGGATACGAAGTGAACGCGGGTGCAATGTACAGCGAGTTCAAATACCCTAATTGGGGAGACATCAACGGGTCACAGAGCCGAACAAGTACTAGGAGCGCCTCAGGAGGGTAGCGACAGCTTTGAGGTGGTCTATCGTGTATACCGCCAACGGATACCATTACAAGCCTACCAGTGCAGCGGATGCTCGCCTCCAATTCAACGGGCCTACGGGAGACAACTTACTGCGTGTTCAGCAGTTCTGGTACTGGCGGCTGCACACCGACGCATTCTACTGCTTGGCAGCAGGCAGCCTGCAGGAAGACACACCGCTCAGTTATCCGACTCCCCACAGCCGTGTCGCCTTCTCAGCTCCAGTGCCAATCCTATGGCGAAGTGACCGATTGGCTGAAACACGACTACATCACGGTGCACACTTGGTGGTAGTTGGGATCAGATACTCCCTCTCCCACACTCATCTTTTGTCTGGAAGGTGCCAACCGCGCAAGCTTCCGCAGCCGGGCGAGAGGACGTTCTGCCTCCCACCACATGTTATACAAATGACATACAGTACTTGAAAGATCGTCCGAGTTAAGAAGCACAAGCGACCAGTGAGCCTGGCACCCCAAACGCACGCATTTTCTTCGAGTTCGTATCTCTCACTCAGCGCGACTTAATTAATTTATTACCAGCAATCAGAATAGCCGATACATACAGGGATAAACCAGAATATTCACTTGCACCGTTCTGCTACTCTTGCTTCACACCCACGTCTGGCGGGTAGTGTAGCTTCAAAAGAAAAACGAGAAGAAATTTAGTTTTGTCAGAAGCGAGAAAGGGGCACGTATCACGGCTTGCCCCGCTCTGAATTATTCAGAAACGAAGAGTTCAAGGGAAACGTATCAAGGAGAGGCGGGGCAAAAAGAGAGAGAAGCCACGGAAGAACACAGACCGTAACAGGGAGTTCACGTTGCACGGATCCCCCGCTCAGGCCTGTCAGAAACGAGAACAAAAAGAGAAGCAGCCGGCGTCAGTCGGTCCGTCTGTCATCACAGTGCCCGAACCGCGACTATGAGACTCGTTGCTTGTCCAGGTTCGATCGCAAGGGCACGCAAAGACCGCGGCGTGTGATTGACGATGAGATTAGGACAAGGCGAGGGAACGGCGGTCGTTGCTGGGCTGCGAAGAGGTGCCCCGGGGGGCGGCGCTGATCTGGGAGCGCCGGAGCGCAAGATCTCGCTACTGTTTTGTTGCGTCAGCTTTGCTTCTATATCAGACGTATGAAACCCCGCACCAGCGAAAATTAATCAAACGTTAGCATACGATTTGGGTCGTGGGGTCACTTGGTGTTCTCCCACTTGACCCTCCCAGTCTCACGGTCCTTCTCGTCGCACACGCAGCCGCTCTTCATTCCCTTGACCCAGCCACGACCGCATCCATCGCACCAGACCTTGTCTCCGGAGGAGATGAGCTCGCCACTACCGCCTCGCTCGCTCATCGCCCCACGTTCGGAGGGCATCACACCGCCACGTTCGCTCCCGCGCTCGCCTTTTTCGTGCACGCTGCCGACATGGCGACCTAGATCGTGCTTGCGGGAGAATCCGCGGCCACAGCTCGCGTATGGGCACTTGTATGGTTTGGGCCGCTGAGGGTCGTGCGTCGCGATATGCGTCTTGAGGTTGTAAGCACGCGCAAAGGCGCGCGGACAGTGCGGGCACTGATGCTTCTTCTCGCCGGCATCTGGGCCTTCGCCAAGCATTTGGGCAGAGCCATTGGAAAGGACGCTGGCGGTGGAGAGACCGTTAATGAGGGAGGAAGGGGCAACGGAGGACAGGTTTGTCCCACCGTAGGTGGACCGAGAGGCGGACAGGCCAAAGTGGGACATGTCAAGTTCCTCGGGGAGGGTGTTGATTTGATAGGTCGGGGAGGAGGGGTTCTGGAACAGGGAGGGTTGGCCGGCGTTGCTAAGGTACGCGCTTGTCTCGCTGTAGACACTGTGGCCCTCGTCGTGGCCAGAATAGACGGAGAAGGTGGGTACCGCACGCGGGAAGTTGAACGCGCTACCGGCGGTGTTGAATCCGTAAGCAGAGCCGTGAACCGAGCCTCCGTAGGCTGGCTGCTGCGGCGCTTGGGTGGCGTAGACCTGCGTGTTGGCGAAAGGGGCGGAGGATTGGGAGAATCCGCCGAGATCAAGAGAATAGTTGGATGCCGGGTGTGGGGCGAGCGTGGTTTCGAGTTGCTGCCACGCGCCGGGTGCGACGTTAGTTGCTTCAGCAAGAATCTGCTCGATATCCTGGGCGAAGAAATCGGCTTCTGCGTTCCCCTGCACGGGTTGCTGTGAGGAAAAAGTGTCTGCTGCCTGCCTGAAGGAAGAAGGGTTGAGGGCGTCGAACGCAGCGTCTAAAGCGAGAGCGCTACTGGCAGTGCTGTTGTTGACGTTACCGACGTTGGCGCCTGTATTGCCAAAAGAGTCCGAGTTGATGGCGAGGGTAGCCCAGAATTCGTCGTCGGTGGTGAAGCTCGAGTAGGCGTTGGAGGAGTACTGACCGTTGGGTTGGGGTGACTCGCTTGAGGATGTATGACCTGCGGTGCTGTTGGGAGTGTTGGCTGGACTGCCGTTGGGAGGTGCGGCGTTAGTGAAGGTGGATGGGTGAGGGAGAACGCCTGGTGAGGAGGCGAGGCGCGCTGAGGGGTTGTTCATCCTTAAGGAGTGCGCAGAAGTGCGCGGTATTTATTCGGTTTCGGGGGTATGGTCGGGTTGAACACAGAGAGAGAGGCAAGTGTATGCGCTCTGAATGGGTCCACGAATTGGGAGGTCTAGGATGGGTCAGCAGTTACGTGAGCAGCGAGAAGAAGGGCAGTGACGACGGTGTTCGGCGTTGGTCTCTATCAGGGGAATGCAATGCGTGGGCAGCGAATAGTCTATTGTCTGCTGATGGACGTGTGGATGGTCAGACCCACGTAGGTCTGTGAGTCACCGTTAGGTGGATTTGGTTGTAGGAACGAGACGACTAGGGGACCACTTGGTTAGACCAGGAAACGGGAGATGGGCAGGGAGGGGGCGTACGAGTCGATTTCGCGGGAGACCCGTGCTCTACTTGCGGTGAGATGTATGCGCACTGTCGGCGCAGAAGTGCGATGTGAGATAACTGCGCAGAGAACTGGGTGATGCCGATTGGGATGACTTCCGCGAGGAGGAGGTTAACGTGATATGGGACGGATTGTCCGATGAGATCGGGGTTGGATTATTCGGCCCACTTGACACACTTTGACTAGAAACAAGGGGGAGTGGATATGGTGGGAGATGAAAGGGAAGTACGAATGAGGTCAAGGAGGAAGAGCAAAGGGAAAGCGATAACTGTTCGTTGGTAGGGAACTCGCAAGTTGCTGTGCACAGAATCGGGCAGTCTCTCTCTCTATACCGCACTGCCTCAGGCGCAGTCACCGCAGCGGCACAACACCGGCCGAAGAACACAGACAGCCACATAACTGTTGTTTACTTTATACAATGATTATACAATCTATCATCAACAGGTTTCTACCTCGCCCTTCCACCTAACAACTTCCCCGTAACCCACCCGAGCGGAGTCACAAGCCCCTCACCCGCCCCTCGACTGCTTACTCCAGATCCGCTCCCGAGCGCGAGCGGATTCGCGGCAGCAAAGGACGACCGTCTTGCCTGCGCAGCCGCTTGGGCTACAGTAAAGAGGCAGACATTCTGTCAGCATGGGCACGAGAGAATGAATAAAAAAACAGGGATAAAAAGCCGCAAGTAGAGTGGAAGAGCGGAATAATCCAATTTCGCGCGCACCCGCAGCTCGCAGCCATCATTCCAACGTGGCAAGAAAGCCTGTACCTCTCTTCTCCCCCACAGCACGAAGCGCAGTCTCGCCTTCCCACAATCAGCAGAATCCCTGGGCCATCAACATCATCAGTCACGCTAGAACTCAAATCATAAAATGCCTCTTGCCAAGCCTAGCAGTCCAAGACCCTGACACCTCCCCTGCGCAGCAGGGAGAGTTTGTCCGGGCTGCGCGCCAGGTATCCGATGAGCGCTCCCGACTGTGCATTGGTATTCTTCTAACTCGTGCATTAGCTAGCACCAGTTCAGACTGCGCTGATGAGGGCGGCTCGGACAAGTTTTGGCCCGAAGAACAGTGGGATTCCACCCGTAGAATTTTGCCAATGCTTCAGGCAAGATGGTGACGATCAACACACCGAGAACGCGGCGCCTATGCCCATGCCCTTCCCATCCCAGGGTTGTGTCTGGCCAAACACCGCCCCTCGGCCGGGGCATCTCCCATTGTCAAACTCCCGAACCCGCCCCGTCAGCGCCGTAATCTCCCCTCCCCGCCCGACCGGCCGGCCAGCGCAGTCCGCCGCCGGTCCTGGGCGGGTTCGCAATACATTGCGCGGGCAGGGCGCGGATTGGCTCAGGCTGCGCGATTAACCGGTTCCTAGGTCTTTTGCTTCGCAGGGTTCTGAAACGACATTGCTTGCGTAAGCAGGGATTGAGCCCGACCTTTAACCAGGTGTACGACCTTGCTCAGAACCAGAAATCGGGCAGGGCAATGGATAGAGGCCGCATTGTCCTTCTACGCAAGCATGAAACCAAGATCGGCAAGTCGGCCTCCTGAAACCAGAATGAGCTGGGCGAAGGGAAACAGTCGCCGCCACACCGATTTCGAAGCCTTTTAGAGATGTGGATTCCCAGCGAGGTGACGGTTTCATCCACGGAGTCGCTGGAAGAAACGTGCCGTCTTTTCGAAAGAGAGCATGTTCAGGTCCAAGTGAATTGGGGTGGGTTCGGCGTGGCTAACTTCTTTCGGTCTGCCCGAACCAGCGTGTCGTAGCCTACCCCTTGAGAAGCCACAAGGCGACCGGGAGACTGTATGGGGGCCTTCAAGACCACCGAGAGAGACAGATTAGGGCGTGCCAATTCCCAGACCATATCTTTGAATTTCCAGACCATTTTCTCCAGTTTTGAGGTTTTTGAGACCAGGATGTTGAGACTCGAGAGGATTGCCAGACCAGCAGCAGACCAGCCAGGAGGTGTGAACGCTGCGCCGACCGGGCCGCAGCAGACAGTGCAGGTTTCCGCTGTTGTTGTCCAGTGTTGCGAATAATCCACGGTGCGGAGAGGGAGAGTAGAAAGAATTGAACAAAAGCGTGGAACATGAAAGGAAGAGACAACACCAATAGGGAGAAAGTGGGAAGCGAACAAGGACAGGAGAGGGAGAACAACTCACTAGCTTCGTGAATCGCGTCGACATTTGTTTCTAGCACGACGCCGCCCTGGACAATTTCGGATAATATTGCATGTGCCTAAACAATGTCAGCTCGTCTATTTAGTGCAACTCATGTGCGACCAACCTCGTCGAAGTGGAACACCAGATCGAGCTCACACACATTCTCAAAGGACCGATCCAGGGACTCGACAAAGACCTTATGTTTATGAGTTCTTGATCTCCATGCCAGCTGAAATAGCATGCGAAACATACCTGGATAAGATCTAATATCCCCAGCTCGCTCTCTCCTTCATCCACCACAAAAACAAAGTACAACGTGGCGTAGTTCCGGTATATCACCCTGTCAACCTCGACCGGGGTCCTTCCGTTCTCCCAGCCGGACTTTTCGTCACCGGTCGCTGTTCCAAGACCTGAGCTCGTACGACGCAAAGGCGACTGGTGGGGAACATCCAGAAAGTTGCATAGTTGAGGAGCGCGCTGCGAGACAAGCGAGAAGATCGCTTTCGGTGAGATGTGTGCACGTTGTGACGGCGGCACGAAGTATTTTGTAAGTCGCGGAAGACCAGTATTGTTGACTGTCCCACTGTCAATACTGCTAGCGTGTAATAATTAGATATACGCGCACAGATGAGCACGGCGTGGATCATCTTGCTCTCGTTGTCCTCCAGATGGTCGTGCGCTTTACCTTGGGCGCTCAATCGGGGGAACCCTGTACGGAGGCAGTCGCATTCTCGACGCGTGTTCATCGTCTCTCCCAGTTGCCACCAACGCGTTCATTAATTACATCATCGTCTTCCTCAAGGTGTTGAACAAGACTTATAGATCATCAAGGCACAAACGACATGGATCGCACACCATCTTTGTCAACCGCCGGCATACCAGCGATAATATCCACCAGCTCGCAATCTAGCCTCCAGTTGTCCGTGTTCGTCCCTCCACCCTCGGAGTCATTCCTGGTGCACTGATGCAACATAGACATCCTCTCCCACTTCTGAACATCTCGGAGCACTTTACGAGGACTTGTCTGCAAACCGACACTCCATCGCCGCTGAGTGCGTTTTACTTATCTGACTGGTCCTTATTACCAAGCCGCTCATGCTGTATTATGACACTGCAGTCGTCGGTGCACTGTTGGGAACACAAAACGGACGCGATGTAGAGATCCTCAACTCGTTTGAGCTTGTTATTACTGGTCATAATGAGGCGGCCATACTTGATCGTGAATTTACGGAAGTTCGCCGAGAACAGTGTATGTCTTCTTTTTTCGTTTCTGCCTTCCGATGTTGATGACTCCCAGACAAACAAGTCTTTCCCTCTCTTGACTTCTTAGGATGGTACACCGTATCTCCCTATCCCACTGCTACCCATCTCGCCATCCACAGTCAATTCGGAGCATACAGCGAATCCCCACTCTTCCTCGTTCTCTCGCCCACGGCGATCACGAGTGCGAGCGAGGATGTGCCGCTGGATGCATACGAGGCAGCTGTGGAGATCGTCGAGCGCAAGAGCAGGACAGTACTTGTTGAGGTAGGGTGGAAGATTGAGACGGGTGAGGCTGAGCGGATTAGCGTGGATTGGGTTGCGAGGGGAGGAGGGGAGGGAGGAGGGAGTCGTAAGCGCATCAGTTCTCAATTATCATCAACGCTGACCTCTCCTCCTTGCAGTCGTCTCGCATCTTCAAACCCAGCGCGCAGCTATTTCAATGCTGCACGAGCGTATCCTTCTACTCGTGCGCTACCTGAGTGGTGTCCTTAACGGCCAGGCCAAGAAGGATCATGACGCAATTCGTGCATTGTCGGCGCTCGTAGCGAGCCTCCCTGCCAGCCAACATTTGGAATTCAGGGAAGAATTTGATACTGTACGTTGTGTTTATATATCTAAGGTGGATACTGACTAGTATATGTCTTTCAGGAATACGAAGATGTACAGCTCACGTCGTATCTTGCTACCCTTACGAAGACTGCCAGCACGCTGAATGACGTGAGTGTCCAGTTTGTCAGACCGACTCACCCTTCTGAACCCTTTCAGCTGGTGGACAAGTTCCTTATCGCGACCGCAAACAAAGAGTCAGGACGAGAGGGCGGTCCGGGTGGATCAATGCACGGAGGACGAGGCTTGGGCGGAGTTGGGCGTGGGCGGATGGGCAGTGGATTTGCCTACCCCCGACCGGAGGATACATGGATGCGCCAGACAGCACGGGTATACGACTGATTCCTTATTGGCTGCATGGGTAAGTGCCTAGAGTGCTCTTTCAACTCCCTCCTAGTGCTGGGCAATTCATTCGTAGCATATGCCTCGATGTGCAATGTTAGAGGAACGTCATCATGATCATGCGGTTTCGTCATGTCCCTTCAACTTCCTACCCCTGCAAGTCAGAAGTCTCTCTGCCAGCTGGGTCAATCATCAAGCCTTCGTTTACACTGCAGCTCCAACACCCTTGGAGCAGATGCTACGCGGGTTGCCATAAAGGGAAGGTGGTCACAATGAGGTGGGACCCTGACGAGCTCTGATGTCAGTGAGGGCGTCATGTCCCGGGCTCGAATGTTCGACTTGCCTTATTGGGTAATCCACCTTGGGGTGGTCATGGGTGGCCAAGAGAGAGGCAAGAAAAGGTATATAAGAGTGACGCATCTCTGCAGCAAGACCTCGCAAACCGAATTGAACCACCACCTCACGTACTCTACAACCGACTTAACAACCCAAATCTACGAACTCCTAACTACTGTAATTCAACATGAACACCACTGGCACCGCCCCTCATCATCACGTCGGCCGGGACGCTGCCCTCGCTGGAGGCACAGTCGGCGCCATCCAACACGAGCGCAACGTCCACCCCGGTCCGATGACCACCGGCGGGGAGCAGCGCGCGGAGAACACGGCTGCCGGGACGGGTCACGGCACTGGTCTTGGCGGGAAGATCAAGAATGCTCTCGACCCTAATGTCGACTCGAACGGTAACCCCAAGACCGGCTACGCCGCGACTGGCGTGACTGGTGCTGGTGCTGGTGCTGGTGCTGGGACGGGGTACCCGAATGGTACGACAGGCGCTTCAGGCACCCATCATCATGCCGGCCGGGATGCGATGCTCGCGGGGGGTGCGGTCGGCGTAGGCGAGCACATCCATAACAAGCACCATTCTGCCAACGCTGCTGATGCTGCCAACGCTAGTACCGGTGCGGGCTACAATGACGGGTACGGCAACACCGCTGGTGCAGGTGTCGGTGCCGGCACTGGTACTGGCACTGGTGCGGGGACAACCACCGGTACAGCCAACATTGCCCCTTCGACCCGACACGCCGGGCTAACGCATGCGAAAGGGAAGCTTCAAGAGGGATTGGGGAACCTCACGGGGGACCGGACGCTCCAAGCCAAAGGGCTGGCGAACCAGGAACAGGCGAACGCGGAACGGTTCCAGACGGGCCAGATTGGGGAAGCGCAGCATCTGGAGCGGGCGGCGGCGGCTAGGAGGGGGGATGCGGTTATGAGCGGGGCACATCCTGCGCATGGGACGCTTGGTGGGACGAACTACTGAGCGCTGAAGGGAGAGTCAATGCGCTAATGCGCAGGAATCGCCTGTAGAAATATGCACTGTAGCCGTATACTGTATGTACAGTACTTCGCATGAATATTGAAATTCCTTCGGGTCCCACGTCATGGCGGATGACGTCATAGACCATTGCTCTGTTTGTTTGTTGTCATATCTCGATGAAAACATTAACCGTGGATGTCATATCTTTGCTTGCTCCGATACCTCAGCTTTCTCTGAGCATGTCTTGCTATGGCACCATCAACACCGGAGTGAAAACAAAAGCAAGTACGTGTACTGCACACCAACAAAGTGAGCCTGACGCACTGTGTTTCAGCAGTACAAGCAACCCATGAAGAACACTGCAAAAGAGCTTTGGTCTCAGTGTCCGGTCTGCATATCGGAATTCCAAGAGGTTCAGAGGTAAGAACAGCAACCTTTATGAGCCAATTGGAGGCAGAGGTCCGAAAGCAACCAACAGAAGCGGATGCAAGGCATGCAGCGCTCCTAATGCAAGGCGTATGGGTTGATTGTGTTCATTCCGAATTGATGAGCTGCGACCTGTTCCGCAGACTCCCCAAGTTCGTTTGCATCTTGAGGCTCGGTTCCACCGCCCGAACCACACAGACTCCCATTACCTCTAAAGAGCCAGCAACATAAGAACATATAAGACAGACGAACCAATCCAAGATAAGTAAAAAATGCCATACTGTACAGTTACATTGCAGAGAGCTCGAGCTTGGAGAAACATGAGTGCACAAAGGAACGAACGAAAGGTGGGAGGAACGAATAACGAATAACAAAAGACGAACGAACGAACGAACGAAAAACGAGAGAATAAATAAATAAATACTGTTCCAGAACTCTATTCCTAACACGTTATTAACGCCTTTTGCCGCATACGCCCGAATACACCAAAAAGAAAGAGAAGAAAATAGAAAACCGGAGCACTCCCCCCCCCCC